TCGGTCACACCGAAACCCCCCCTCCCCCCTCAAAAAAACATTCAAAATTAATTCATCTCCTGATAAACAAAACCCTCAAACTTCCTCTCACCCGCAATAAGTATTCAAACGTTGCCATGCCACTATCGATTCCCGTTTGCGCATGAACTCCGCCACCTCAATTGTCCTATATTCCCACCTCCGAACCCAGTGCAACACTTCGCGTCAACCCCAGAGACACTCGTGATCATGCAGTGCTCGAAAAATCACTCAAAAATTCCGGAAATCCCCTTAAAAATTCCCACAAATTTCCGCAAACTGCGATGCTAAACGCATCAAATCCGCTCCACCGCTGTTGCTCATTGCAATCATCATCCGGCCCACCGGAGCAGAGGAAAACGCGTCGTCTCCATGGTCTCCAATTGCCCCTGCATCCGCAGCAGCTTGCGGGCTGGTTGGTGCTAGCGTTATTATCCCTCGGCGGATTTCTCTCGGTCCTTCCGCACCTCTCCGCAGCGCTCCGCACACCGCTGACAATAACCTTGGGAGTGATACTTGCGGTACACGCGTTGACCCATGTATTTGCCCTAGTGCTTGACCCCTCGGACCCCCAAGTGCGTAAACAACCGACAAACAATGTTGTGCCGGAATTCGACCGGACGAAACATCTGCATGTCATTGAGAACGGCAGGTGTCACTTGTGCAACATAACAATCACCTCGAAGCGGACTAAACATTGCTCGGTTTGCAACAAGTGTGTTAAGAAGTTCGATCATCACTGCATGTGGCTGAATAGCTGCGTTGGCGGACGTAATTACAAATTCTTCATTGTCTGCGTTATTTCCGCAATTGTCGGCGCGGTGATTTTGGTTGCGCTGAGCTTTGGTGAAGTATTGGTGACTATTGATCATCATTTTAACAGTGCCAACTTGACGATGGAGAACATAACGATACCGATAGTGTCGATACAGCCGATCCAGAATACAAGTACATTGGTTATTATTTCGGTCGTTGGGGTTTTGTCCGCAATAGCCGCGGCTTTACTAATCCACCTGTGCATCTTCCACGGATACATTGCGTATTTAGGTTTAACGACTTACGAGTATGTGCGGAACAAACGGGAGCAGAGAGCGCTGATGCAGGAGGAGTCGACAATTCCGCACGGAAATTTCGGCAACATCGGTAATTACCATTTTTGTAAGGATTTGAATGTCGGGGAGGAGCCGCCGAGGGCTACTGACACGAGTCAGGTCTACATATGCTCAACACACACGACGCAAAGTGATAGTAAAACTGGGCGGAACAGAGAGAAGCGGAATTTTCACTTGTATTTTACGTACGAAACGCCGGAGGACGCAACGTCTTTCGAGCTGAGCCAGACGACTGGTCCGGGGGAGCAGAGAGTTCAAGACTTGGCGGAGACGGTGAAAGGCGCGGAATTGAAACCACTGACGCCATCGCCCGTCTCCTGCTGTTTCTCCATAATAAATCACGGCTGGTCCGACCGGAAGAAGAAAAACAAACCGCCGAGCCATAGAAATGAGGATGAGAAGGTTGTGACGCGGTGCACGCCCGTGCGGAGGATCCAGACGTTTCTGCGGAGCAGACTGCGGAAGAACGCGCGCCAGAGAACGCTGGACTCTACGCGCGGACGAAAAAATCGGATTGGACCGATGATCGGGTCAAGCGCGGGGTCTGAGGAGGTGAAAAATGTTCCGCAGATTGAGGAGAAAATTTCGCCGATTGAAAACATCACCGGAAATATTCCGCGCGGAAATCCTGACGTTCCGGACGGCAGTCTGGAGGTTCCGGTGAGACCTATCAAGCTACCGCCACTCAATCTACCGTTCAGGGAGGATATTATTCATGAGAATACTGTGTTCACCCTGCCGGTGACCAAGAGGAGCCAGCAGCTGAGGATTCGGAGGCCTAGTTTTCACAGGCGACCGAGGTTCAAGATGAGTCCGCATGTGACGCAATCAGCTCAATTATCACCTATTCCGGAGTCGGAATTCTCCAAGCCCGCTTCGCCAAGGTCACCACCGAAGCTCAAGCATTTCACGTTTCCGCCCACTTCCACTGACTGATTTATTGTTTTTTTTTTATTAATCAATCGTGTTCTTGAGGAAAGTGGTTTTTTATTCAATTTGTTGTAAAGGATTTTTCAATGATCGATGGGGAGTCAGTCCGGGAGTTAGCGTGCAATTGGGCATGATTAGTATTTTGGGAGTTGTTTTTTCATCTTTGTCGGGGCTCACCGATTTTTGGTTTCATGGTTTTGTCTAGAACGTTCAGAGTAAAAGTTGTAATATAGATGGAGAATTAGAGGAGGATCTGTTCCATTATTTAGATATGAACGAGCAGTTTTGTAAGGACTAATTCGAGGGCAATATTGGTTTAATAATTGTAATTGAATGTTCAGGAGTGAAGTGGTATGAACGGCACCCAAAAAAACGAGGTTGACTTTGAGACTTATGATCTCAAATTGAGACTTTCGGAACTCCGCTTAAGGATATTCCAGTATCTTTTACAGTTTGATGCAGACCACGGTATAGATTCAATTATTTTCAATTATCAAATATGTCAATTAATTTTTTATGGTAAGGATCATGGGAAATTGGAGAAGTAAATAACCACGCCGATTAAATCGTCAAGGATGCAACGTTTCGCTAATTATTTTGTCAATTAATTTGCGTGAGAAAAAATTGAAAAAAATCATTAATATTTAGCGTCATTCACATTACAATTTGCACAGAATTATTAGTTTTTTAAACATTCGTTGTTTATAAATACATAATTGACATTGTTTAAACGATTCCGAACAAATGATTTTTATGATGGTAAATTAATTTTTTATAAATTATTTATAGGAAATGCTTGTCATTTTCAAAAATTGCAATTTTTAAATTATTTCATCAATCTTAATCCAGAAGTAAATTTCTTAATTTTTTTCCAGATTTTTAAAATGTTTTCTAGCGGTTCAATATTGAGATTCAAATTCAGACCTGCAAAGTTTCTTTCTAAATTGAAAAAATCCAAATCGATTTCTGGTGATAAAAATTTGGTACTCGAAATTAACACTCCGAAATAAAGGGTCACAAGGGTCATGAGGGCCAGAATGAGGGTTGTGAGGGTCAGAATAAGTCATAAGGGTCAGAATAAGGGCCACAAGGGTCATGAGGGTCAAGATAGGAATCATGAGGGTCAGTATAAGGGTCACCGAGGATCAGAATAAGAGTCACAAGAATTAGAATAAGGGTATGAGGGTCAGAATAATGGCTGCAAGGGTCATGAGGGTCAGAATAAGGGCTGTGAGGCTCAGAATAAGAGTCATGAGGGTCAGCATAAGGGTCACGAGGATCAGAATAAGAGTCACGAGAGTGAGAATAAGGGTTATGAGGGTCAGAATAAGGGCTATAAGGGTTAGGATAAGAGTCATGAGGGTCAGAATAAGGGACACAAAGGCCCAAATAAGGGACATGGGGGTCAAAAATCAAGGGTTAGAAAGTAAGGGTCAAAATAAAGTTCACGAGGGTTATAGTGAGGTTCAGATTAAGGATCCAAATGAGGGTCACAAGGGTAAGATTAAGGATCACAAAGGTTAGATTAAGAGTCCAAATAAGGTCATGGGGGTCAGAAACTAAGGGTCACAAGGGTCAAAATAAAGCTCTGAATATCTCTCCGCATCGTAAAAATCGACCGATCTATATCGACTTTTATTGATGAAAATTTTGTGCACGAAATTACGACGCAAAATTAAGGGTCAGATATGAAGGGTCAAAATAAGGATCACGAGGGGTATAATGCGGGTCAGAATGAGGGTCGCGAGCGTCAGATTAAGGGTCACAAGGGTCAGAATATGGATCATGGGGATCATATGGGGTTTGCGAGCGGAGCGAGCGCAGGGGGCGTAATTAATAAAATCCCCCCTGGTAATTGATAAAATCATTGTAAAATGTCCGGATACTTAGGGTCAAATGGGGCTCAAATGAAAGCTCTAATGTTCGACTACAAAAGTAGAAAAGCATTCGACTGAAGAAAAAATTGCCAAAATACTTGGATATCCTTGAAAGAAAAATTTCACGTTGAGTTCCGAAAGTTTTGACTTCACGCATTCGAAAGTATCAATTTGAGTCTATGAAAATCTCAAATTGAGACTTTCAAAACTCTCAACTTAACAACTTCAGGCCTCAAATTAAGATTTTTAAAAATCTTATTTCAATTGAAAATCGTATTTTAATACCTCTGAAGTCTTAAAATCAGGTATTATTTTTTTGGTTGCGCATTGATCGCTTTTGTAAATATTTCAGATGTTTTTTCATAGAATTACTCCATCAAGATATTTACATGATTGATCAAGTTGGCCATGGCCATGGGTTATCTGTCGAATTTGAGAGGAAATGTTGAAGGACTCTTTTTTTTGCTCTTAGGAATTTTATTACCTTCATGGGAGGTCCTTCGGCGTTTTCGTTCGAGAATATCTCATTCTGCCACTTCCCTACGGATCTGTTCTGCCGCTCTAAGATTGCAGATATTTAGAGAGTATTTTTGTAATAATGAAAATTTAATTCCTTAGAAAAATGAATAATTAATAACGTAAACGATATCAAAACCTAGAGTCCAGGGCAGAAATTAAATCAGCGGCGAAGCGGTAAAACGGCTCAAGTCGATTTTGACTATTCGCCAGTTTTCATTGAATATCTTGGAATCTAAGAGGGATAGTGAAATTTTTGTTATAACCTTTTTTGTAGCCCTCAATTAGCTCTACAAAAAAGGTTATTACGAAAATTTCGCTATCTCCCTTAGATTCGGAGATATTCCTCGAAAACTCAGCGAAGGGCTAAGTCGACTTAAACTTTTTACCGCTTCGCTGCTGAAATGAATTGAGACTTATTATCAAAGCTGACTGTTTTCCAAAAATTTAAGTTTTTAATTTTTTGAAAGTCAGAGAAAAATCGTAATTATCCGTCCCGCTCAATGAAGAACCTGTCCAAGAACATAGAGATGATTTTTTACATAAACAGTGACTGTACTTGATAATTCGAAATAAAGATCATTCTGATGGACTGTAACATGTACTTGTTTGAAATAATTGTCTTGAAGTTTACTTATGGGAAATAGCCTGGTAGTGACTGGTACGGGGGTCCTCTCCCAGACAACAAATGCCCATTTCCGTTGCGTGACAGAAGTCATCGCGTGACCATTCTCTTTATGCTCTCGTCTAACTATTAGGGGTAAAAGGACTGTGGATAACCCTGTGATCCATAATCATTTTCAGCCACATAATTCATGATTTTGTGAATAAACAATTGTTGTGGTTTAGTTTTGGTCTGATTAGAAATCGAAATATTTCGATTGAAGGAAACAAAAAAATTATCCACTATTTTTTTTATTGAGGCCCGGGTGTACTATCTTTCGAACTTTATCTCGATGTTTTTTTTCATCTTTCGTCATCTGAAATTGTCAATCAAGTCCTGCATCATGCAGAAGTTTTGAAAAATTGTGAATGAATAATAAAAAAAAAAGTAGAAAAAATTCTTAGTTTTTTCAAAGAGCATTTTTTATTTATATTGAGAATAAGTTTAACAAGAAATTGAAAAATGTATCTGATTTACGGTGACAAATGGCGGCCTGTCATCCAATATCATGCAGGGGGAAGACTGATTTCGTAAATCTTTTCCCACACTGCACAGAGACATTTATTACGGAAAAGGCTCTTTGAAAAAAGTTGTAATATTTTGGAGAATTTTTTAATCACACTTTTATCACATAAAAATGGCAGATCGCTACATACCACTGTTTTTAAAATTGAGATACCTAGCTGTCACTTTCCATGAGGAGTTAGTGATTTGTTATCCACCATGGAAAATGACAGGTAATAGATAATTTGCCACAGCGAATCAGATATTTGTAATTTCCACTTTTTTCAACTCATTCTGAATCTTAATTAAAACCGCTCTTTGAAAAAGTTCAGAATTTTTTCAATTTTTTTCTCATCATTCTATCATACCCAGCCAACAATTTACCAGTAAATTTCCGGATATTTACCGGTCTTACGGGGGACTTTTAGATGGCATCCGTAAAAATTATTCCCTGGGTAATTTTTGGAAATTTCTACATGATGTACCACTCAATTGACAGTTTTGAATTACATGAATTACAAAAGATAAAAAAAATCCAGATAACATTCCAAAGATAGTACACCCGGGCCTTGACTTTTTTTTATTATTGGGAGTACTGATGAGAATGATAATTTTACCTTCAGTAGAATGGAGAATTATTATTGAGAAGTTTTGACGGGAGAAGATTTTGTCAATAGATTAATTGAAAAGAAAATGAAACAGCAAAATCCAAAGTCCAGTGGAAGGCCCAGGGGGAGAGCCAGAGGGAGAAAAAGGAAAATGTGATGCTGAATTTCAATCGAATGAAATAAGATGAGTGTAATCGCCCTAATCTAATCAATTGAATTATAGATGAAATATTTAATATTACTTGAAAAGAGAACTGTGGATAAAATTAGAGAAAATTATTAATATTGTCGTCTCGATATAAGAAATGTATGGAAAACCTTCGGGAGTTTCGAATGAGGAGAGAACGTAGACTCAGCGATGACGAGGTCTTAGTTTGGCTGCTGGAGAGTCAGGGGACAAGCTGACTAGTGGACGTTGAGATCGAGATCTAACAGGGGAGTGGGATTCATCTGTGGAGGTAGTCGATACGCTATATCGGGCTTTCGAATATCAGTGATTTCTTCGCACCGCATGGTCTTTTCTACCGAATAGAAAATTATTATTCTCATCAGTACTCCCAATAATAAAAAAAAGTTGATAAACAAAAGTTAACAAAGAGAGAAAGTAGATGAAAAAACAGTTTTTTGCATGAATTACGTCAATTAGTTGTTTTTCGGCGGTCGTTATGGGGTTTTCTACTTTTTTTTGTTTAACAATGTTTTTATTCAGATAACACAATTTATTTACAATATTTACATATTTAAAAACTAGTTAAAAAAATTAATGTACAGTATTTAGATTTAATACATAAACTTATGGCTGATTAGTAGCTCTCGAGTTTAATCTTTATTAAGAGCATTTCAATTCTTTATTTTATCTATTAGCAAAATATCTATTAAAAAAAATTTTGTTTTCTTTAATTATGCGTATTGTTACATGCGATCGCTATTTGTTTGTTGTATTTGTTTTTTTTACAACTATTATGCCCAAAAAAATTAAATGAGTGAGATGCACCATGTGTTTTTAAAAAAAGGCATTAAATTATTGGCATAGAGAAGGGTAATAAAAAAGATTTTATGATATGCGAATACGAGATTAGAATTAGAATAGAATTTATTTCTCCTGATGTTACAAACTTTTTCCTTTTTTTACATCTCCGCTAGCCTTTTCTCCTTTTACATATCTCTTTGGTCATACTTTGCATCATTTACATTTCTGATATGCGAATATTAATTCAGTAGCGAAGTGGTGAACCGGTATAAGTCGATTTTGACTATTGGCCAGTTTTCAATAAATATCTCGGAATCTAAGGGAAATAGCGAAATTGTTGTAATTTCCTTTTTTGTAGCTCTCAATTTGCTCTACAAAAAAGGTTATGACAACAATTTTGCTATTTCCCTTAGATTTTGAGATATTCATTGAAAACTGGGGAATAGTCACAACCGACTTATACCGATTTACCACTTCACTACTGAATTGATGATTATAATAATTATAACAAGGTATCGGGGAATGAGTCTTCTGCTATTTCGAATCTATTTAACTTACAGAAAGTAATTATCAGAAGTTTTATAATTTTAATATTAATATTGATTGCCGTGAGTTAAAATGAAAGAATAATTATATTAATGGGGTTTTCTAATCGCGGGAAGTTGATGGGCTGCGCCGCAGGCGAGGCCTGCCATTCCCACGAGTTTCAAAACTGAATTGAAAGATTAAAAATAAATTGCGCAAAAATTACAAACATTGATGGAAATAATTTATTTTTATGATCTACAATCTTTTGATGAGAGGATACTTTTCTTTGCTTGAAGTTTCTTAAAGTATTAATGGAGCATTGAAACGAGTAATAACATCGAAGACGATAAAATCTGGTTAATTATCATCTCTGGAATCTTAAAGAGCCATTCGAAGTCTTAACAAAGTAATAAAAAGGGACTTTAATTATGTAGGATTTTTCGATCGGTGAGGACGTTTACCATTCCAGTCTGAGGCTCGTGTGAGGACTTTTCCCAATCCTGTTTCGACATCATCGAAGCACCAAGTACCCTTTATCTCGAATAAATCTGGAATTATGACAATAAGGTAAATGATCCCACGCTCGTGTAGCTAAGGTGAACACATCATTAGTCCAATATTTCTATTGAAATGAGTGTAAAGATGCGATGTTTTAAATTACATATCAGAAAGTTAAAACTTCAGAATTAGAATTCACTTATATTAATCACGATAATCACTATTTTTAATGAATAATAGTCCATAAACGTGGAAAGTCCCATGTCCCTACGCTCGCTCATTTGTCCCCATGCACGTTTGACACATGTCCCTATCCTCGTCTCGTGATTTGAATGATATGGAAAGATTATATCCGAACTAATTACATCGTGAGTATCCTATTTGGGATAAAACAACATTAAAAAATATCTCGAGGCACAAAATTATGTTTCAATTGGACAGTCCAACTTTTTAAATGATTTTTTCATCCGTTTAATCCGTTACCAGTTGACAGTTGGTTGCAAAACGAGCATAGGATCAGTGCCATTTCCATTGTACCTATTCTTTTAATTGCCGACATTTCTGTGAAATATTAAGATATTACTATAATTTATGCATTCTTATTGTTTTTTAACCATCCGAAACCTCAGTCAAGGGATTTTTAATCCCATTTTACTATTATAACGGAGATATCAGCATTTTAAAATTGTGAATTTCTCAACTTGCGGCTTAAGAATTTACTCTGTCGTAGCACCCGTTGATGTGGATGGGATTTTTCTCTCTTATTCTTCAATAAATCACTGTTCATTGGTGTCTATAACTTTCCTTATTAACTAAAATAATAACTCCAATCGTATTTCACTCTTGATAGACTCTTGGGACTGGCAAAATAATTAAAATGTGATAGCTCACGACATCTGAACGAGCACAGAGACAGGGACGAGCACAGGTACATTTACCTTAGTTGTGAATTATGGGAACAAGAAAAAATCACGTAAAAGATTATTGTAGAATATAGGTAATTGGCGAGCTGAATTGTTTGACAGGAATTCTCATTCGAAATTAAGGGAAAAATGTTAAGCGAAAGATGAATTTTCAGAAACCTTCAATTCCTCACTGGAAATATTTTTAAAACTAGTTAAATTCGGTCGAAATGTCCTATTTTCATCGGCAAATCAATTTCTTTTGGGCCTATTCGGAAATTGATCTCTCATTATCAGATCTGGGATGATCTAGATCATCCCAGTTCTGATGGAATCGAGTAATTGAATTTACTTACTAGCAATGCAAGTCCAGACATTGCTGATGCTCTTGAGAGTGATCTTGTCCCCAGTCTTTTTGACTGCAGTTAATCTCATTGCGACTTCTCTGTCGAGAAGTCGTGAAAGAATCGCCAGTGCTTGCTTCGATACCGATGTTTCCTTTGGATTCCAGAAAAACTGAAGCAATTTCATCTGCAATTTAATTAATTTGTTATTGACGTGGAGATTTTTTTAGCATCTGTATGATGACATTCAACTGAATTGCTGAATTATCTCAGTAATGAGTGATGCCAGAAGACATCAGAAGAAACATCTTCATTAATGAGTAATTAATGTGTCATTAATGGTTGATTCAATGGGAGACTGTCAGAAGATTTTATTTGAGAAAAATTTTCTCAACTGTAAAAAAATTATTTAATAATTTCCCTTGAACTCACTCATTCTCCAATTGTTTTCCTCATTAAGAATGATTCCATATTAATTATAACTTTTTTTGTGGATTTTTTTCTCTTTCATTGTTGGAATTCATTGGAAAATGAAAATTCTCTCCTTTGTTATGATTCTTCTTTCCATTTTTCTTTTAACAACCGAAGACAATACAAGAAAAAATATTCAATTTTTGATTGTTGAATAGTCTTGGTGATCAGGTATTATCGAAAAATAATATGTTAATTTCTTTTAAATTCAATTATTCCTCAAATATTTTCTTAATCAAATTCCATATCAATTGAAATTTCGTTTTCCGATGAATTTTTTTCCCTTCATTGTTGGAATTCGCAAAAAAAATGAAAATCATATTTTTGAAAATAGGGAACGTTTTTATTTTTCTTTATTTATATCCCCTATTTAATATTCACCTACTTGAAAACGATTCCAGATTAATCAGATTTTTTTCTGATGGTTAATTCTTCTCTCAATGTTGAAATGCAGTAAAAAGCGAAAATACAATTTTTTTAAATAGGGAATTCTGTTACTCTTTATTCAATTTTTTAAATAACGAAGGAAAATGAAAAAAATGATTAAAGAATGGTCTTTTCACAGCTGAGGAAATTCTATGCAAAAATGTCTTGACTCTTTCTCCTGAAGTCATCCATCTCCTAGATGAGGAGCTGAACAAACTATTTTAATCGTAATTTTCTTGATTGAAATTATCCGATAACTCACGAAATCTCGTTGGCAATCCTCAATCAGAAGCTTTTCATCCAGGTCCAGGAGATTTTCCATCGTAGGCAGTGGAAAGGGAATATTATAAATCTGGGAGAAAGACTCCCCGAAGGTACCGCTCTGCAATGCCTCCAAAGTTTCCTTGTCTCTCTTCTGTTCAAGTAAGAGCTTTAGGATTTTCTGTTGACTCCTCGAAATGCCGTCCAATTTCTCATCGACTCTCGCCTGGAAATCTTGAAGGTCTGCAAAATGGAAGTCAAATTACCATAAAATTACCATAAACAGGGGGATCCGAGGAGAAGGTGTTGTGATAGTCTCGTCGTAATGCCAACTCCACTGAGAAAAAAAAGTTTTTTGAGAAGTACGTCTTTACTTGTATGAAGAAACTCGTGAATCGAAAATTAACAGAAAGAAAATCAGTAGGAAAACGGTAAAACGATTCACGTGGTCTTAGCTGAGTTTCAAAGGAATATCTCCGAATTTAAGGTGTTTGGTGTGTAGATCACCGGGGGGGAGGGGGCAGAAGGGAATCTTATTGTTCTCGAGCCCTAATTCAATCACTGAGCACGAAATTTTCCAATTTTCAAGTAACTATTCAAGTGTTCATTTGCACATTTTTTGAATATTGATTTTATTTCTCAGATTGATTGATTTGTTTCTCATCACCTACGGATTTTGAATGAAATTGGAGAAAATAGTGAATTTAAATATCAAATCGGAGAAAATTGTGAATTTTTTGGATGAAAAATAGAAGAAAATTGTTCGGTTCAGAGAACATTTGCTGAAATTCTGTAATTTTCTGGAAAATAGGAGAAAATTGTCCATTTTGCAAAAACAATTGAAGAAAATTGTACGATTTAACAGAGAATGAAAGGAATTTGTCCGGTGTTATAGAAAATGCAAGAAAAGTTATCGATTTTTGACTACATCCGAGAAAATTGTCAATTTTTTTTTATTGCATGTTTTTCTAATTATTGAAATAATATTAAAATGCGTCTCGAGTTGGTAAACCTGTCTGTCTGACTTTTTACACGCAACACCTTAAGTTGAAGTTGAAAGATGATTACGATAGCTATATTGGTTGATTTGATTTTTATGATTGCTGAAAATTTTGAATTTTTCATGAATTTCCCTGAATGTGAGCTTTCTGATGGTTTTTTTTTTCAAATGTCATGTTTCAAATTCATTCAAGTACGTGTAGAGGAGGGTGGGGTAAAATGGACACTTTTGACTTCTTATAAAATGTTAATAAGAGCTTAAAATGTTGGTGAAATTCAATAATTTTTTTTTCAATGCAAAAAACATTTCTTTCCCTTTGGAATGAGCCTAAACTGAGCTCAATTGATAAATTTGTTTCTGAGTTATGAGCAATTTTAAAAAAGTCCAAAATACCCATTTTACCCCATCCTCCCCTAAATAAAATTTTTCTATTAACATTTTATCGAAGGGCTGAGGGAACAGATAGAACTGTAGAAAAGACAATTATTTGTATAAGAACAAAGAGATAATAAGAGATAACAAGAATAATCAAATCGGACAAAATAAGTTAAAAAGAAATCTTATTCAATTTAATAAAACGAATTAAACAGTGAAAGGGAATTACATGCAAAATAACTGTTCGGAAGCTTGATAATTTATTACCAAAAATAACTATAGGGGAGGGTAGGGTAAAATGGACACTTTCGATTTTTCTCAAATTATTCATAACTCAGAAACAAATGTATCAATAGAGCTCAGTTTAGGCTCACCACAAAGGTAAAGAATTGTTCTTTGTACTGAAAAAAAAAGATTAAATTTCATCAACATTTCAGCTCGTCACTAATATTTTTAAAAAAGTCAAAAGTGTCCATTTTACCCCAAACCCCTGTACTAAACGCAATACAAGAGCAAAAACCTCAATTCAGAATCAAAAATAAATTCCAGCATTTTCGAATATTTTACAATCTCACCTTTTTTGGTGACAAATGCATCGTTCATGTCAAGAGGATCAGCAAAGACCCGGGCAACTTTAGCAGGTGGTTCGTCTGAAGCAGTGAATTCCTCATCGTCGGAGCTCGGTGCCTCAGCCTTCAGCCCTATCTCTTCTGGTGGTGCCCCGGGGAAAATTCCATTCTGCAGAATTTTCCAAAGTTCGCAGAGATTTTCATCGTCCATTCCAGTTTTAATCGCCCACGAGCGAAGTTGCGATGCCGTCCTCTGCGGATTGGGCTCCATTCTGCTAATTATTGCCTCTAATTTACTTTGTTGGAGACAATTGTCAACGAACTCGTCCAATAAGTCTAGCTCGTAACCTGTTTCTGTGGTTTGTTGGGTGGAAATGGTGGGGAAAAAGATGGTGGCAGTACGGAGCGAGCTCGCGGCAGGCGGCAGCGCGACAGCTGCGACATTCGTGACGAGGCCGCCCTGTACTATACTGCGCCGTTCAATAACGGGGCCTATTTCCACCGGGGAGTTGGACATGAGTAGAGTTTAAGTAACTTGTCGGGTGGAAACACAACGATGAGTTTGTTACTTTCGGTGGAAACGGGACAGGAGTTGGCTATTATTTCCCATGTAAAAGGAAATCCATCGAACTTCTTTTGAGTTTATGTCTACGCCAACAACACTTCAAGTTCGGCACGGTGGAGATAGGCTCACGGATGCATCGCAAAGTATGGAGGTTCATTCGAATGTCTTGATTAAGGATGTATTAGGGGAGGTTGGGGCAATATGGACACCAGATTTAAGGGTGCCAAGTGAATTTGGCGATGACCTTGAAAATTGACATTCACCAACAAAGTTATAATTTTTTAAATTAATAGTATTAGACAGATGGTGAACATCGGTGACAATTTTAAAATTTTAGAACTCAGGGATATCGAGAAATTAAATAAACAAAATCAGTCTTATACACGGCCTCTTATGGAGTTTTGATTAAATCGAACGTTTCAACCCCCTAGGAACTCATGAAAAATTTGAAAAAATTTGAAGATATGGGGAATGATATGTTCAATGTGATGGCGACAAAAAACAATGGGGTACCGGGGTGAATAAGAGAGATATTTCAAGCCGCCGTACCCATTTGATCCCATCCTTTCTCGAGGTTCGTCACGCGAAATAGAGGATTTTCCGCATTTATTTTCTCGATGTCTAGTTCCGGTTGCGGGTTTGAAATTTCGTCGGATGGATGAATACATATTTCTCCAATGATGGAGGGAAAGAAAAAATTTTTTAAACATTTTTTTTCAAATTCACTTGTCACCCTTAAATAATGAGTTGAATTTGATCAAATCTACTGTTTCGAGTTCATTTAATGATTATAAAAACAAACACATTGTCATAAGACTGCGTCGTAGGAGTTGCAAAGTAAAGCAAAAACGGGGTAAAGTGGACACCTTGATTTCTTCCTGAATTTCCTATGTTTCAACAATATTATTCAATTTCAGAAACACTGGTCATGACTGCGATTTTCAAATTGAAAAAAAAATAGTATTTTTCCGGCCTGTTGCGATGGGGTTTTTTACTCGTGTAGTGTTGGCCGNTTGCAAAGTAAAGCAAAAACGGGGTAAAGTGGACACCTTGATTTCTTCCTGAATTTCCTATGTTTCAACAATATTATTCAATTTCAGAAACACTGGTCATGACTGCGATTTTCAAATTGAAAAAAAAATAGTATTTTTCCGGCCTGTTGCGATGGGGTTTTTTACTCGTGTAGTGTTGGCCGCCGAGCCGTAGGCGAGGAGTGGCCAACCACACGAGTAAAAAAACCCCATCGCAACAGCCCAGGAACAATATTTTTCTGTAGTGATTTTCAAGTTTTCGAGTTTGGGAAGTATGTAATACCAATTCCCAGACGAGAAATCGTGAGAAGCAGTACAGAAAACAAATTTTTTATTTTCGTCGTGGAAGGTGGTAACCCAAATTTTTCTTTGCTCATTTATCCTCCCCTCCTCCCATTGTTTCGTTTGTGAGCAGAAAAGTAGACAAGTAGACATCTTACAAATTTCGCAAATGGACAAAAGGTCAGTTGTAGAGTGCGTGCAATTGTTCATTGAAAAAATTAATAATTTCAAAGTTATTTCAATAGTAAAACAGGAAATCCAAAGCTACTCTATGTTTCAAACTTCAACGTAAAATTTAATAGAGTTGAAGTTTATTTGTTAATATCTCTTCCAACTCGAAGTTCTCCCTACAAAAAATACCCATACGATTCTGTTGGAAAATGCCTGTTGAAATTTTTTTGACTTTTCGAATAGAATCAACTTTTTCGGGTCTTTATTTTAGTCCATCCTAGATGGATTTATCAGGTGTCCAGATTGCCCAATGAAACAATTTTAATAAATTTAAATTTTGAAAAAAAAAAAATTCTAAATTCTTTGAGTGTCTATTTTACTCCAGGTGTCCATATTACCTCACCCTCCCCTACACCCTTTTCGCAAAAATTCACGTTTTTTGAATTTTTCTGGCAAATTGTTGGTCGGATTGACGTGAAAAAATATACCGTTTTTGCATTTTTTCTAAAACTTTTCTGAAATTCACAAAACTTTAGAAAAAATGCAGGAAAATGATTGCACTACCATGAAACTTCGTGAGTCAGTCAATAATGATAAAACGCAAAAACGGTATATTATTTCGCGTCAATGCGATCAATAATTTGCCAGAAAAAGGAAAAAGCCGAGAGTTACCATTCCGAATGGTTATTTTGCACTCAAAGAAAAGATTGAAAAAAATTTCCGAAATTTTCCATCAAATACTTGTGGCGCTTGAAAAAAGCGGTGTGACCCCCCTTCATAAATTGCAAGCAACAACTCAATTCCAGTTGGAATCTGTGCCGTGTTTTCTCCCTAACGATTATCATAAATGAAGAAACTAAGTATAGGAAATTATTTAAAAAATTATTCTCCCTTTGTGTGGCCCAGGATTCCTGCACATCATCCGAGGAATCCACCGAAGAGATAGAAGATCTTTGGGAAAAGCTGGGGAGACCTCGGAACATCGTGGCCCCAATGGTCGACGCCAGTGAATTAGCCTGGCGACTCCTCTCCCGTCGCCACAACTCCCACCTCTGCTACACCCCCATGTACCACGCCCAAGTTTTCTGCAGAGACTCCAAATACAGGAAGGATGCACTCGCAAGCTCTCCCGAGGACCGACCGCTGATAGTTCAAGTTCGTAAATACAGTAGAGGCTTCGTAGGGTGAATCGTCCAGTGTTCGAACGAATAAGGTCACAGTTATTTTTGATTGATTGATTGATTGATTGATTGATTGATTGATTGAGTTTATTGCTGTACATTATGTTGTACAAAATTATGGTGGCAAAACCACATAAGCTGGTATACAGTAAATCACAGTGAATATCGTGGAGTAATCAATACATGCTAATAATGATAAATACATAAAATACAGAGTAAGATGAGAAGAAGCAATATGCAACAGAAAGAGCAGGCTTCGGCGGGTGCCAAACAAACGGATGAATAGCAAGTGCGAAATGGTAGCGATGAAAGAGGGAAGGGTGTAGAATAAGAAGGGATAGGAATAAAGGGGCAAGAGGGGGAGGGAAAGTGAAAAGAGGAGAGCAAAGGGTAGGAATGGCATTAAGAGTTGTCCCTCAGATAATTCCGCACAGCTAATCGGAAGGTCCCGCACTGCAGAGGGAATTGAGTTCCACAAATAAGCCGCAGACACGTGGCAGGAGGATCGCATGGCTTCAGTCCTGAAAGGCTTGATCATAAGGGGACGTAAATTTAAAAATATAACCAAGTCGAAAATTGATTTAAATAATAGAAAATAATAGAAAAAAATATTATGGATATTAATTGACGATACAATTAATGATATGAATACAAAAAGCTGAAAATGTGTGAAAACCCAGTAATCGAAATGCGTATTCTGTAATGGGAATATGCTATTGGCGGCGTGTCATCGAAAACTGTTTTTTCCGCTGGTAATAAGGTAACTTGGACATTTTCAATCACCACAATATCATTTGGAAATGTCATAATTTTATTTTTCATGTATAATGCGAGGCATCTCTACCTTCTACTAATTTATTGTATAGAAAAAGTACCAATTAGTTCGATTACTGGTCTGGTTCGAACACTGGTTGGGTCACCCTATAAGACTAGCGAACGGGCACTTCGCGTCCGGCGCATTGGCGTGGAATAACTCATGTATTTTTTATTACAGTAAAGAATTAATTTGGCTTTTATTCACAATTACTGTAAACAAAAGATTACAGTGCATAAAAACTATACTTAGACAACATACTACATTACTTGATGAGCGAAATAAAGGCTTCAAAAATTGTTACACTGGATTTTTTAAAAGTGGATTTTTATTTCAATTCATTTCGTATTTGGCTAATGTGCATTTTTGCATGAAAATCACGAACATTTTTCATACATGTAGATGAACCTTTCAGTTCCTTTCAGTTGCTTTTGCCTGTCTCTAACATAATATTTGCCTTGTAAAGTGCTGCGATGGAAGGGGAGGGTAGGGTAAAATGGACACTTTTGACTTTTTCAAAAATATTCATAACTCAGAAACAGATTTATCAATTGATCTCAGTCTAAGCTCATCACAAAGAGGAATCATTGTTTTTCAATTGGAAAATAAAATTATTCCATTTCATGAACAATTCAACGCGTCATGAATATTTCAAAAAAGGCAAAAGTGTCCGTTTTACCCTACCCTCCCCTATATTTGGTCATTAGACAAAAAAAAAAACTTTTCTGGTGAATATGAGTTTGCAGATGTCAGAAGAATAGACTGGCTTGTTTTTCTCACTTCACCAGTGACTTTCTTTGTCCTATCCCACTGTCTCTCATCGATTACCTCATTTATGGATGAATCTCCTTCATTTTTCACTTCTCTTTCATAGTTCTGTGGAAACGATCCCATTACACTGCTGGAGGCGGCGCAGTTGGCCGAACCGTTTTGCGATGCAATCGACATTAATATTGGATGTCCCCAGGCTATCGCGAAACGAGGACGTTACGGTGCTTTTTTACAGGACGATTGGGAACTTCTAGAGAAGATAGGTAATAATCGTTTTTGCCCGATCTCATGTTCAGTGTCTGAATGATAGGGGAAAGGAAGTCAATAGAGTTGGAGATAATTGTGGAACAAATGGACTTTCTCGTTATTGTGGAAATATCTTCGGTAGAAAAGACTTCAGGGTGTTGTTTTTTTTAATTATTCCAGGAACGCAATTGACAATCATAAATTATTTCAGTAGCGAAGTGGTAAAACGGTACAAGTTAATTTTTTTTTATTAAGGCCCGGGTGTACGATCTTTCGAACGTTATCTCGATGTTTTTTTTTTCATCTTTCGTCATCTGAAATTGTCAATTAAGTCCTGCATCATGCAGAAGTTTTGAAAAATTATGAATGGATAATAAAAAAAAAGTAGAAAAAATTCTTAGTTTTTTCAAAGAGCATTTTTTATTTATATTGAGAATAAGTTTAACAAGAAATTGAAAAATGTATCTGATTTACGCTGACAAATGGCGGGCCTGTCACCCAATATCATGCAGGGGGACGACTGATTTCGTAAATCTTTTCCCACACTGCACAGAGACATTTATTACGGAAAAGGCTCTTTGAAAAAAGTTGTAATATTTTGGAGAATTTTTTAATCACACTTTTGTCACATAAAAATGCCAGATGACTACATACCACTGTTTTGAAAATTGAGATACCTAGCTGTCACTTGCCATGAGGAGTTAGTGTTTTGCTATCCACCATGGAAAATGACAGCTAATAGATTATTTGCCACAGCGAATCATATATTTGTAATTTCCACTTTTTTCAACTCATTCTGAATCCCAATTAAAAACGCTCTTTGAAAAAGCTCAGAATTTTTTCTAATTTTTTTTATCATTCTGTCATAATTTTTGGGGATTTGTACATGATGTACCACTCAATTGACAATTTTGGATTACGAAAGATAAAAAAATCCAGATAGCATTCGAAAGGTAGTACACCCGGGCCTTAAATCTGAAATTTTCACCAAAAATTGTCAATAGAGAAATCGATTGAGAAATCCCGTCTCATGTAAGGCGAAACGATGATATCGAATGAAGGTGGAGTTATGAATTTGTTGTCAATTTATTTTCAGTTAAAACATTGAGTAGAGAATTGAAAATCCCGGTGACCTGTAAACTTCGAGTGTTCTCTGAGATAGAGAAGACAGTGGCTTATGCTAAAATGTTGGAAGCATCGGGAGCCCGATTATTGACGGTTCATGGGAGAACGAGAGAGCAGAAGGGTCCAATGACAGGTACAGGATGAAAAATCAGTAGTACAAGTCAACCTGAAGTCTCACGGCTTCGTTAATCATGCAATTAAACTGAAATAATTTCTTTCGTGATTGAGAAGAGTAAAAAAATTGCTCTCAACATTTTACTTTTACTAAATTCGATGCTTATAAATTTTAATTATTTACATAGAAAATTTTAAATTAAATGAAACCAACTTTCATGAGATCATTATTGGATTTTTGACTCTTTCGAATCCATTCTGATTTTCTTAATCGTGGAATTATCTCGAAAATGATCAGCATAGAATGGAAAACGCGAATCATTTTTTTGTGATTGATAAGAATAAAATTTTGTTTTCAACATTTTTCTTTAAAATCATTTATAAATGAAATATTCATAAATGAAGCGGCAAAACCAAATGATTCGTAATTATAGAGACTTCGTTAATTATTAAATTATCTCGTGAACGAGACATTTTGGAATAAAATGTCGAAAAGCGCTCTTTCCAGCTGAGAGAACAGCCCACAAAAAATGTCTTAATATTATTTTCATAAGACAATTTGCTAACGAGATAATTCCGGAATAAAATTGTTTACATTAAATTATTAAATTATTTCCTGTTATTTATTATTGAATGATCATTTATTTATTAATTTCGCATTTTGAAAATATCAAATTGATTTCAATTGGTTTGATGAGATCATTGTTCCATTCTTTATTATGTCAAATCAATTCTGATGTCCGCTCCAGGAAAAAAAAGTCGAATAAAAAATTTGATATCTCTGGTGACACAGAAAGAAGTACTAGAACAAATCAATTGAAATAATAGATGTAATGAACTATTGAGAACTATTCTAATCCCTTGGAAACTATCGTGATGTCAAAATAATGAAACAAAAATTATTTCTGACAGGCTTAGCTTCTTGGGAGCACATAAAAGCAGTTCGTGACTCTGTGAAAATTCCAGTATTTGCGAATGGCAACATCCAGTGCCTCCAAGACGCTGAGAGATGCATTTCAGAAACTGGGGTGCAAGGAGTTATGTCAGCAGAGGGGAATTTGTTCAACCCCTTGATTTTCGAGGGCTGTTATCCCCCGAGTTGGGAACCAGCTGAAGAGTACCTGAATCTAGTGGAAAAATATCCAGCACCGCCTGCCTTTATTCGCGGGCACTTGTTCAAATTATTCCAGCATACGTAAGAGTTTATTATTATTCTGAATTTATTTTTACAAAGGGCTTTTGAAATGCTTCTTTATTCTAGATTATGTTCAATTTGGATTATTTTAAGCATTTAAGGCCCGAATGTACTATCTTTCGAATGTCATCTGGATTTTTTTTATCCTTCGTAATCCAAAATTGTCAATTGAGTGGTACATCATGTAGAAATTCCCAAAAATTAAGATAGAATGATTTAAAAAAATAGAATAAATTCTGAACTTTTTCAAAGGGGGTTTTTAATTGAGATTCAGAATGAGTTGAAAAAAGTGGAAATTACAAATATCTGATTCGCTGTGGCAAATTATTTATTAGTTGTCATTTTCCATGGTGGATTACAAAACACTAACTCCTCATGGAAAGTGACAGCTAGGTATCTCAATTTTCAAAACAGTGGTATGTAGTCATCTGCNCTCATGGGAAGTGACAGCTAGGTATCTCAATTTTCAAAACAGTGGTATGTAGTCATCTGCCATTTTTATGTGATAAAAGTGTGATTAAAAAATTCTCCAAAATATTACAACTTTTTTCAAAGAGCCTTTTCCGTAAAAATGTCTCTGTGCAGTGTGGGAAAAGATTTCCGAAATCAGTCTTCCCCCTGCATGATATTGGGTGACAGGTCGCCATTTGTCACTGTAAATCAGATACATTTTTCAATTTCTGGTTGTTCAACTTATTCTGAATATAAATTAAAAATGCTCTTTGAAAAAATTAAGAATTTTTTCTACTTTTTTTTGATTATTCATTCATAATTTTTGAAAACTTCTGCATGATGCAGGACTCAATTGACAATTTCAGGTGACGAAAGATAAAAAAAAACATCGAGATAACGTTCGAAAAACTGTACACCCGGGCCTTAAGTTCCTTATGTACATTTCTTTTGCTAAGAAAAGATTTTTTAATGATCATGAAAAATTGTACATTTGCATTCTTGAACACTTTTCGTTAATTTGATTATTCCAACATTAGTAAGAACTCATTATTACTATAATTTTTTTCTTTTCCAAGTGCTGATGCTTTTTTTATTTTAAATTAGGTTCAATTTCATCATTTTAAGCACTTACATAATTAAAAAAATTCTTCATAATTCAAATAATCTTTTAGTGGAATCGATTCCCTTATGCACATGTTTCTGCTGATAAAAATCTACAATTACTTTGGTAAATTTTTTAAATTGGGAGAGAACAATAATTAAATCAGCTGGAAGCGCCTAGAAACAAGGAGAATTGATCTTTGGAATTACTGAATGATCATGGATTTTCATTAGTGACAGAAAAATTCATCCAAATATTTCTTAGTATTATTTTAGTGTACGGAAGGACTCATCATCATTATAATTTAATTTTTTCTCGTCCGAATTTATTTACAATGCGCTGATACCTCTTTATTCTAGATTATGTTTACCAGAGAATGGGGAAGAGAGAGCCAACTTGGCGAGTAATTCGAGTATGGAGAGCTTTAGAACTGTAGTTAGCAAATTGAAGGAACGATATTCGCCTTATCACGAGGGGAAGATCGTTTGGGACTCGAAACAAGAAGGTTTGAGGATTTTTGCTATCATTGTTGACATAAAAAATGCATTTTTCATTTCTTGATTCCTGAAAGACTCATATACATACAAATTATTGCAGCCTATTTAAGTAAATCGAAGTACTTTGGCCTTTTTTGTTAAAATGATTCATTTTGGGACAAAATCTCAAGACATATTTTAGTAGCTCATGAACCCTAGAAAAAAATTCACTTGATTTCAACAATTACTAATTGGCGAGAGGTTGATGTGATCGTCGAATCAATTTGAAAATGACTCATTATTTATTCAATTTTTCTCATTATTTTATTTATTATTTTTTTTATTGTTGGGGGTACTGATGAGAATTTAGTATATTTCGTAACGAGTGCTAAAAAACATTTTTTCACGAGTTACGAACAATATTTTTCATCACAATGTGGCGGAAATTGGACTTTTAGGCACGCGGAGCGTGCCGAAAAGTTCACTTTTCGTCACAGCGTGATGAAAAATTTTTTTGCTTGAATTGCGTCAAATAGTCGTTTTTCGGCGGTTTCATTTTGCCCCACTCTCCCCTATAAATTTTAAATAGATTGAGCAGTAAATTCACGGATCGATGCGAGGCAAATAATTTTTTCATTGTATTATAAAAACCGTAAAACCATTTTTATTCATTTGGTCTAGACTACAATCTAGTTCTTCCTCCCTGGCTTTGTCAACCGTACGTCAGAGATTCCCCTGAGGTTCACGTAAACAAAGTTGAAGCCAGAAGAAAAGAAATGGTAAGCAAAGCAAAATTGATTTCTCGGTTCTTGAGACTGAGCTTAATTGATGGGTTTTTAAATTAATCTTTTTGTATTGCTGATTATTTCTAAGGAAACTATAGGGGTGAAACGGGATTATATGGACGAAGAGGGCAACCTCGTCTCTCGGAAGAAGATGAAGAAGCTGAGGAGAATGGCCAGGAAACCCCATCGAGGTCCCAGTGTTAAGAAGGGCTCAGAGCTTTGCACTGCGTGTCCAAATCCTGTGGTAAATTTCCATCACCCAGATATCAATTTATTCACAAATTTTCCGTTATGAGGATTTTTTAATTAGACTCAGTAATTCCTGTAAATTAAATAACTTCAACATTTGAAGAGTCCAAAATCATTCCGAATGATTAAAATTCATATCCACTTCATTCAACTCAAATTCCAGTAATTTTTTCATCATTTACAATGTCAATTTGCATTCTACATTTTCCAGTAGAGAATTCCAAAAATTAAAATCAGATTTGCAAGGATAAATTTTAATTTTCCAACTGTAATTTTTAATACTTCTATTGAATTTGGACATTTTACCCATTTATCCTATCAAAATGTCTATTAACACTTCACATTGTCGTTTATCAGACTTGATTTTCATATTTAAGTTAATTTTTTGTTGAAAAACAACAATTATAAACTAAGACAAGTGATTTTTCAAATTACTGAATGATCATTAATTTCCATTATTAATTGAAAACTAAAAAAATTCAATTTTTTCTTCTGTTCGTTTTCTAGGGCACAAAGTGCGAATACAAAATGTGTCGTCAGTGCTGTAGAAATAAATGTTTCAATGACAACCTAGACTGCCTGGGCCACAGGAATCTCACGAAGACTCGTAGGAAAATGGCAGTGGAGTTCAGAATGCAACGCGGAGAAGAATACTCCACAGAAAAACTGATCAATAACACTGATTAATTAAAAGACAAATGTTATGTATTTTTTAATAAAATAGTGAAAATTATTTTCACAAATAGTTTAATCATTTTCGCAAATAGGAAATAAATAATGAAGAGATATAAAAAGCACGAGACACGAGATAAAAGAATGATGACAAAGAAAGAGGGAGGCAAGCAACAACTAGCAATAATATCATTTTAACGAGATAATTTACTCTTCATCATAACTTAATTACACAATGGTGATTTATGTACATGGGGGTGATGAACTGTACACGTTTGTTTTTACACAATTAAAAATCTATTAATCTACGCTGAGGTCGGCGAGAACAGCCTCGTTGAGGTCTCAAACAAATCTGCAACTTTTGCACTAATTTTCTGACTCGTCGTTTCATCGCTCGCTCCACTGGCCCAAGATTTCTTACTGCACAGCATCATGAGCATTAAAATTGGGAGGTGAATTAAGGAGAAACGAAACAGCTTTCGAGAACTTGCACTGTCTGATTTCTTATTAAACTGCCAGGCTAGAATCAAAAATAGCAAATCATTTTTAGAATTATCATAAAAATGCATTCGTATTAATTTATTATCAATTCATTCGTGAGAAAAATTTGACTGATTATTTTTCCAACCCAAATATCGGGCAATATAATTGGCCCATTCGACATCACGTGGTACAAGCTACAGGGTTTTCAACTGATAATTTTTTGACAATTTTCTCTGGTAGTTGCTATATAAAAAACAAAACATCATGCAGTCGAATTAACCCCTCGTCAAACTGACAGATTGAATTCAATTGTGGTAATCCGAGGATTTTTATTCGAAATGAGTGTTAATTATACAATTTTCGTTTTTCAATTGTGAGTTTCGTCTCATGGTCCAATTATATTGCCTGACATTTGGATTGGAAAAATAATCCCCTGAATACCACACGAGCTTCAAAAATAATCGGGCATTTAATTGCTTCGCACTCGTGATTTTTCCTGAAAAACTTGACGACTTCGTTTCTATACAGGGAATCTTGAGGAAAACTTGAAAAATTCAGGAGACATGATTTGAGGAAATGAGATATAAATTCACCTAAATATAGGAAATATGCATTGAGCGGAGTAGAGGCAGCTGCGAACCACCAATTAGTGACCTCCAACATGGGTGATAAATACGAGAGTCCCATTAATACACTAGTGTATCGCAGAGCAGTCCTCCTGCAGAGTCCCGGGTTGGTGACAGCCATCATCCTGTACCCAGCTCGACTGTAGTCAGGTCTGAGGTTCCAGGAGAGTGCGTTGAAATGGGGAAACTGCCATGCGTACAGCATTCCCGACATTATCCAGGCCCCAGGCGCTAGAATGTCTCCAACACAGCCTGCCCAACCCATCAGAGGTGGAATTGCTCCAACTGAAAATATTGAAGAAACGCGGCTTAAGAATGTATTACACTCTTTTCGCCAAAATTTACGTTTTTTAAATTTTTCTGGTAAATTATTGATCGGATTGATGTGAAAAAATATACCGTTTTTGCGTTTCATCATTACTTAATCACTCACGAAATTTCATGATCGTGCAATCGATTTCCTGCGTTTTTTCTAAAAAATTTCGGAAATTCACAAAACTTTAGAAAAAATGCAGGAAAAATGATTGCACTATCATGAAACTGCGTGAGTCAGTCAATAATGATAAAACGCAAACACGGTATATTATTTTGCGTCAATCCGATTAATAATTTGCCAGAATAATGAAAAAAACGTGAATTTTGGCCGAAAGGGTGTAGTACATCCTTAAAATAATAATAGTTTATTGTAATCAAACGAGGCGAAGAAAAATATAACAGGAAGTGTAGAAAACAGAAAGAAAAAGAATAATGAATGATAAAAGAGTGATGCTAACTTCAGAGGAGATTCGGAGGAAAGAGAAGAATAAATAAATCATAGAACGGAATTGAAAAGTTGAAGATTCGTTACAATATTATTAATCATCATTTTCCTGTATTTCTCTTCATTATAAAAATGTTATTATTTGAAGATTTAATTGAAAGATAAGTTTAAAAATGAGTTATTTTAGAAAAAAAACATAGTAATAGATATTTATTGTTGGAAATTTGTGCAGCTGAATAATGTATTTTTACATTTTCCTTCTCGACATTGATAATTAACATAATTAATCAAAGAGTTGGTGTAAAAAAATTATTTCAGTAGAAAATGTCAAGAAACAATTCTCCAGCTCAAGAAATTTCTAACAGAAAATATCGAAATATAGTGAAAGACTGTCATTGTTCATATCTGATGTGAATAAATTATCAATAAAAATGGGGGATAAACTTGTCAAGTTTCTAAATTTAGTGAAAAACATTAAGAGTATTTTTTAATTTGCGGCGATATTTACCAACGGATCCAACCCACGTGTTGAGAATCGACACTCGTTTCATTGGTGTATAAATAAGCGTGTACAGCACCAAGTTGGCTGCGCCGAGTGCGGCGGTCAATCCATTGACTGTGAAATACAGTATCGAGAGTCCAGTGATACCGGAAATCGTTGCAAAGGCGATGGCATGTGCAGGTCTAAAACACCATAAATTAATCACTCATTGATTGGCAGCCAACATTGTCCCAATGGTGGCAACCAGTATTCCCCCAAAGTTGACTGTTAATATTTTTTACCTTTTTTTAAAAAATCCCTTTAAAAGAACGTTACATGTTAACTTATTGTATGAAGAACGTAATTAAATAGTATACGAAAATAAAAAAATATAAAATATATAAAAAATTTTTTTTATAAATATGTTTATTTATCAATATAATATATAATATATATTATACATTATGAATAATATATATTATACATTATAAATAATATTATACATTATAAATAATATATATTATATACATATATTTTTCTCAAAAATACGATTAAAATTTTAAATTTCAATTCTTTAAAATTATTTGCATTATTATAATTATTATGATCATTATGTGAAATATATTATATATACCATACATGTATATGCATGATATACATAATTATAATCATTTTTTTATTTTTCTCGGAAGATTGGTTTCGTAATAAATTTTTACAACAACAAATGATGCAATCAAATTTAGTTATCCTGACCCAAAATATTAAAAATTTCGGATTTGACGAATACAATGCTTCCATTCGGAAGCAAAAATGATGATTTAGTTAACTCACGTGACATGTCCCCGTACAAGTACTCGATTCTTCGTCCTCGACATTTGAGCATCGAATGGAACTTCGAAAAATTGATTTATGGAGTTTGCGGTGGCTGACACAAGACCAGTTCCTAGAGCACACAGGACGAATGTCTGAGGGTCAAAAGCACCTGGGGCCAGGGCATATCCTCCCATTGTCGTAATTACAACTAGAGCTGCGTAAACGAAAATAAAATTCAGTGTCAAATGTATTTCAAACCTTCAACAATAAACAAATCAATCATGAATTTTAGGAAACTAATAAATCCAAGGACATTCATGGAGTCATTGCTAATTAATCTTTTCCCTCATGAACAAATGTTGAAATAAAATGTAAAGAGCCTTTAAAGAATATTCTCTGGTTTTCTCATGAGGTACATTGAATTTCAAAGCAAATATAAATCCAAAAAAATTACAAAAAAAATTAAAATTGAAATTAAAATAAAAAATTAAAAGAATAATTTAATAAATCACTAATGATCACTTTCATTGCTAATTAATCATTTCCCTCATGAACAAATGATGTTAAAATAAAATGTAAAGAGCCATTAAAGAATATCCTCTGGGTTTTTTTAGGAGGTACATTCAATTTCAAAGCAAATATAAATCCAAAAAAATTACAAAAAAATTAAAATTGAAGTTGAAATAAAAAATTAAAAGAATAATTTAACAAATCACTAATCATCACTTTCATTGCTAATTAATCATTTCCCTCATGAACAAATGATGTTAAAATAAAATGTAAAGAGCCTTTAAAGAATATCCTCTGGTTTTTTTATGAGGTACATTCAATTTCAAAGCAAATATAAATCCAAAAAAATTACAAAAAATTAAAATTGAAGTTGAAATAAAAAATTAAAAGAATAATTTAACAAATCACTAATCATCACTTTCATTGCTAATTAATCATTTCCCTCATGAACAAATGATGTTAAAATAAAATGTAAAGAGCCATTAAAGAATATCCTCTGGGTTTTTTTATGAGGTACATTCAATTTCAAAGCAAATATAAATCTAAAAAAATTACAAAAAAATTAAAATTGAAGTTAAAATAAAAAATTAAAAGAATAATTTAATAAATCACTAATCATCACGTTCATTGCTAATTAATCATTTCCCTCATGAACAAATGATGTTAAAATAAAATGTAAAGAGCCTTTAAAGAATATCCTCTGGTTTTTTTATGAGGTACATTCAATTTCAAAGCAAATATAAATCTAAAAAAATTACAAAAAAATTAAAATTGAAGTTAAAATAAAAAATTAAAAGAATAATTTAATAAATCACTAATGATCACTTTCATTGCTAATTAATCATTTCCGTCATGAACAAATGATGTTAAAATAAAATGTAAAGAGCCTTTAAAGAATATCCTCTGGTTTTTTTAGGAGGTACATTCAATTTCAAAGCAAATATAAATCCAAAAAAATTACAAAAAAATTAAAATTGAAGTTGAAATAAAAAATTAAAAGAATAATTTAACAAATCACTAATCATCACTTTCATTGCTAATTAATCATTTCCCTCATGAACAAATGATGTTAAAATAAAATGTAAAGAGCCTTTAAAGAATATCCTCTGGTTTTTTTATGAGGTACATTCAATTTCAAAGCAAATATAAATCCAAAAAAATTACAAAAAAAATTAAAATTGAAATTAAAATCACAAATTAAAAGAATAATTTAATTAATTTAATTTTAATTGAATTGTTAAATTTAATGAAAAAATTTTATTATTAAATTACTGTTATTAATGATTAAAATTGGAGAATAAAATAAATAAATATTCACATTTTTAATAATTGGAGAATAAAATAAATGAATACTCACATGTCAGACGGATTTTCGATAGTGCTAAACAGTGTTTGTGTAATTTAGTGGAGTCTAGTGCCAGTTCTTTCCACCCTCCCTCCAAATTCTTGGCATTTTGAATACTGCTGGTGTCAAGTTTTTTCGCCAGAACCTGGGCAGGTGGTATTAAATCCTCTGGACTCAATTTTGATCTATCCAGGGGGGTCTTCGAGCCACTCGAGACTGTTATCCATGGTGGCTCCCGGAGAGGCTCTTCTTTCGTCACAGGTCTCGCAGAGTACTGTTTAGAACATAAGGACATTCCAATGAATAAATGCATTGGGACAGTTAAAATTTCAGTTTCCAAATTTCAGTGAGGTTATCACTTGATAAAATTTCCAAATCTCAATTTTCTCAATCAATTGAAAATTTAAGAATATATCGTCGTCGTAGACCCAAAGGGGCGTAACAGCTATGGTAATGCATACCACTTACGACGATATTTACCTGAATTTTCTCAATTTTTATTAATTTTCATGAAATAATTCGACTAAAATTGAGTTTGAGTCTATTTTCTTCACATCACACTGTAAAGTTTCAATCACAGATTTCCTCCAAATTTCAGTGTAATAATCACTTGATAAAAATCTCCAAATATCCGCCAAATATAGGGCAAACAGGCCAATAGCTGAACGCTTAAGGAAATGTTGAACTTCATTAAAGGATTTAAAATCGATGAAGTAGCGGAATGAATAAAAAATGAGTTCTAGGCCCGAAAGAATATGTGAATTAGGAACAAACAATAATTTGAAGTGGAAAATTTGAAGAGAAGAATAATTAAATGAGGGAAAAGTGAAATATCGTCCAAATCTTTCATCCAGTTTATACAAACATGTGAATTTTGTTTTACTGAATGCGAAGAAATACAAGGCCAAATAGATTCTCAATCTTCGGGATGTGATTCTCCTTCTGAAAATATTGTGCTATTTCCCACATCTGACTCTTTCGGAAGAGAACTTTTTTTTCTCCACGACACTTTGTCACTGATGCTTAGCAAATTGCAGCGCCTCGCCACCCACCACTGTACCTCCCGAATATTTTTTTTTCTCGCTGTAATGTTGATATTTCGAAAAAAACTCCATCACATGATTACACATAAGTGTTATTATTGATAATGATAACAATCCGTGCAGTTTTCATTCTATTATTTACAGAATATTCAATAAAAGGGGAAATCGTCCAGCTATTGGTCTGTTTACTCTATTTCAAACAAAATTGTTTAACCGTGTACAAGAAATGTATCTTAATTGTCTCGTAAGTCTCTTCATTAATGATTGAAAAATTCTACTGAGGGAAGGATTCAAAGAATTAGTGACTATAGGAGAAAATTTCAAGAGTGATTTGTCTGACGGAAAATTCATCAAATGAAAAATTGAGTGAAGATATCGTAAAATTTTTCTCCTCCAATTTTCGTGGAATCGAAACCCCTCTTTGCAGTTGCCATCACTCATGCTTTCAATTTTCTCATCAACAATCAAAACATAACAACGAAAATAGCAACAATATCCTCACAATCAAAAAACCCCAAGTCTTTCTCTCGAAAACTTTGATGAACGAATTCACAACGAACTTATAGGGGAGAGTGGGGTGAAATGGACACTTTAGACTTTTGTTTTAATTAGTCATAACTCAGAAACAAATTTATCAATTTAGCTCAGTTTAGGCTCATCGCAAAGGGAAAGAATTGTTCTTTGCAATGAAGAAAAATTTATTAAATTTCATCAACAATTCAAGCCGTCATTAACATTTCTGTAGTGAATTGGTAAACTAGGATAAGTGCATTTCAACTGAGGACAATTATCAAGCGATATCTCGTAAATAAAAACAGATATCGAAATTTTTGTCAGAAACTTTTTTGTAGCCCACATCTCCCTCTACAAAAAAGGTTCTAATAAAAATTTCGATATCTATTTTTATTTACGAGATATCGCTTGATAACTGTCCTCAGTTGAAATGCACTTATCCTAGTTTACCAATTCACTACAGATTTAAAAAAAAGTCAAAAGTGTTCATTTTACCCCAATCTCCCCTAATTACAAAAGAAAGCCAATTAATACTCACTGAAGTTGTTAAAATTTTGTTGCAACATTTGGTATATCTGCAGAGCCTCAGTGAAACCGATAGTGATATCATGATAAAAGAATTACTGCCGCGCTAGCCCAACATCATCCTGAGGATAAAATAGCCATTACAATTAAACCTAACAATCAATTAGCCAAATTTTCCCGCAGTGACACAAACTTTTTGACTTTCTCTGTCAACTTGTCAATGAAAAATGACCCCGCGTTTGTTGATGACATAATCACAAGGGGATGTGAACGAAAATAACCTCGAAAAAGCTGGAAAACCCCCAATTTGTCGTGAATAAATATGAATTAGCTTTGAATAAAATATACATACGTGGAATGGACTCGTCGCGGCATATTAATTAACAACGAAATATCGCAAAGTTGCCACACACAACATGCACATCGATTAAGAACGTTTTTCTTCGCAGACTAATTTTCCATTCTGTCAATGCGTAAACACATGAATTTTGCGGAAAAGGTGGTTCCAGGAGCAATCGTGATGAACTGCGTGGCGCTGGAATCACTCATTTACCCGTCGGTAAAGAAGAGCATTACAGAAATTACAGATTAGTATATTTCGATACAAGTGCGACGGGGTGGTAACGAGTGTGAAGTTGGCGGCCCGAGGCGAAGCCGAGGGCTGCCAATCACACGAGTTAAAACACCCCGTCGCACGTGTATCCGAACAATATTTTTCATCACGCTGTGACGAAAAGTGAACTTTTCGGCACGCTCCGCGTGCCTAAAAGTCCAATTTCCGCCACATTGTGATGAAAAATATTGTTCGTAACTCGTGAAAAAATGTTTTTTGCACTCGTTACGAAATATACTATTTTGTTAGTGATGTTACGTTCAGCGAGTGCCGAACTGTGCCATTTTTCGTTTACTAGTAAACGAAAAGTCGAAACTTGTGAACGAAAAGACTTTTCGTTTACTAGTAATTTCCACATTTTTCCACTCATTCTGAATCTCAATTAAAAACGCTCTTTGAAAAAGTTCAGAATTTTTTCTCATTTTTTCTATCATTCTATCATAATTTTTGGTAATTTCTACATGATGTAGCACTCAATTGACAATTTTGGATTTCGAAAGATAAAAAAAATCCAGATAACATTCGAAAGATAGTACACCCGGGCCTTAAGCGACTATTTTTAGGCCATGATAACTGAAATAGTATATTTCGTAACGAGTGCTAAAAAACATTTTTTCACGAGTTTACGAGGCACGCGGAGCGTGCCGAAAAGTTCACTTTTCGTCACAGCGTGATGAGAAAATAATTTTTTTCATTAATCTAATTCGGATTTAACAGTTTTCCCGTCGGTAAAGAAGAGCATTACCAAAATAAAGACGGTGAAATTAAGGACAATAGGGCGAGAGGAGGGAATGTAGGAGCTATATTGCCCCACCCGCCCCTAATCCTATTTACTAAAGATGAAAGAAACGTGAAGTTGTTTTATATCGAAATATCTCGAAACTGCCTGACCGCTAATCCTTAAATTCTGATTGGTCAATAAGTGACACGAAGTTATTCACAAAAAAAAACACGCAGCATTTTCAAATTCTTCAGTGGTAAATTTTTTTTAAATATATATATTTCACATGTACAGATATCATCGGTGAAATTAATAAATTCTGTCCTGTCATGGAGACCGATTATTTAAAAAAATTGAAGATAATTAATTGAAAATGAAAAATTCTTTATAGATTCTTGTACTCTACTTCGCTATTCACTTCAATCATTAGTCGAATTCTCTTTGATTCATTATCAATATTTATAAGGTATTCATGAGAAAATGAAATTCAATGAATTTCATTTCTTCATTTCAACAAATGAATAGATCAGCGCGCGCGAAGGCGCGCGCATAGATCTTGAATATTATTGGACAGCTCGTGCAGTCGTTATTCAAAAATTATCTTTAGCCGATTGCCGCCAAAACAGTGCCACCTGTCGGATGCAATTGGAATAATTTGTACGACTTGGGGAGCTACTTGCCCTCTCGTATAATTCATAGCTTCAGGTGCATCCTATCAGAGTTCGGGGAAAACCTTCGCCGGTTGTAATCTATTTTTTTTTTCATTAAAAATTTTTATGAGAAGATTATTTTAAATTGCTACAATATTATTATAAACATTCTGAATGTTTCGCGCAATTCAGTGGGTAAAATAGAGTGAATAAAGGCCAATTTTCTCATTGAACGTGGATATTAAAACACTGAGTATGGCTGACATGTCTGACGATCAGTCAACAATTGCCCAGAAAACGTGGGAGCTGTCAAACAATGTGGAGACGATTTCCCAAGCTGATGGGATTTACAAATATGACAGAAAAGAGCAGCAAGATATTCTCGCGGCTAAACCCTGGGAGAAAGAGTAAGAAAAATAAATCGAATAAGTGAATGATTCTTGAATTGTTTTCTTTATTATGACGTAGGGGAGGATAGGGTAAAACGGAGACTTTTGACTTTTTTTGAAATTTTCAGGACGATTTATTTTCTTATAGACTTTTTTATTATTTACTCTCTTCCCCTTTCAGTCCTCACTTCCTCAAAGACTGGGAGAAAGAGTAAGAGAAATAAACCGAATAAATGAATGATTCTTCAATTGTTTTCTTTATTATGCCGTAGGGGAGGGTAGGGTAAAACGGAGACTTTTGACTTTTTTTGAAGTATTCATGACGATTCATTTTCTTATAGACTTTTTTATTATTTACTCTCTTCCCCTTTCAGTCCTCACTTCCTCAAAGACTGGGAGAAAGAGTAAGAGAAATTAACCCCATAAGTGAATGATTCTTCAATTGTTTTCTTTATTATGACGTAGGGGAGGATAGGGTAAAACGGAGACTTTTGACTTTTTTTGAAGTATTCATGACGATTTATTTTCTTATAGACTTTTTTATTATTTACTCTCTTCCCCTTTCAGTCCTCACTTCCTCAAAGACTGGGAGAAAGAGTAAGAGAAATTAACCCCATAAGTGAATGATTCTTCAATTGTTTTCTTTATTATGACGTAGGGGAGGATAGGGTAAAACGGAGACTTTTGACTTTTTTTGAAGTATTCATGACGATTCATTTTCTTCTAGACTTTTTTATTATTTACTCTCTTCCCCTTTCAGTCCTCACTTCTTCAAAGACATAAAGATCTCCGCCCTCGCCCTCCTGAAGATGGTGATGCACGCGAGGTCGGGGGGAAGTCTCGAGGTGATGGGTCTCCTCCTGGGAAAGGTCACAGCCAACACAATGTTCGTCATGGACTCGTTCGCTCTACCCGTTGAAGGCACTGAGACTCGTGTCAATGCCCAAGCTCAGGCGTACGAGTACATGACAGGGTACATTGAGGCTGCCAAACAAGTTGGCAGGCAGGAGAACGCCATCGGCTGGTACCACAGTCATCCTGGTTATGGCTGCTGGCTCTCGGGGATCGATGTCTCCACTCAAATGCTCAATCAGAATTTCCAGGAGCCCTTCGTTGCCATTGTCATCGATCCTGTCAGGACCATATCCGCTGGGAAAGTGTGTTTGGGGGCTTTCAGGACTTATCCGAAGGTGCAAATTAAACATATATTTTACAGTTTTTGATTTTGGAGGGCAGCGTTGTAATAGTCAATTCCGAAATTTCCAGTTTTTTGTGTTAAGGCCCGGGTGCACTATCTTTCGAATGTTATCTCGATGTTTTTTTTCCTCTTTCGTCATCTGAAATTGTCAATTAAGTCCTGCATCATGCAGAAGTTTTGGAAAATTATGAATGAATAATCAAAAAAAAGTAGAAAAGATTCTTAATTTTTTCAAAGAGCACTTTTTATTTATATTCAAAATAAGGTGAAGAACAAGAAATTGAAAAATGTATCTGATTTACGCTGACAAATAGCGGCCTGTCACCCAATATCATGCAGGGGGAAGACTGATTTCGTAAATATTTTCCCACACTGCACAGAGACATTTATTACGGAAAAGGTTCTTTGAAAAAAGTTGTAATATTTTGGAGAATTTTTTAATCACACTTTTATCGCATAAAAATGGCAGATGGCTACATACCACTGTTTTGAAAATTGAGATACCTAGACGTATCCAACGAATAATTTACACGGAATTTCCATTGATCTTGCTATTGATAAATCAGTCAATGTTCTTGAAGAAGAACAGAATAGAATTCTTGAATATTCAATGAAATTTGATTTCTCGGGTTCATAAGACAATGGAAATTACTGAAAATCCTGAAAATTCAGGGACCTTTTCTTCTGAATTTTCAATCGGTTGCTAATTTTCGCGATACGTTTGAAAGTCCAAGTAGTCATTGAAAATTCAATGATCATTCATAATGAAAAACTCACTTTCATTAAATTTTCAAGATGAATCAGGAATTCCATGAGCAATTTAGTATGAAATTGAATTCAAGTTCAGAATATTGAAAATTCAAATGCATCTGTTACTTAAAGTTCAAAAAATTTCTAACAGTGTATGTAAAAAAGACTCAGCATTTCCTTCTCCCAAATGCCTCCAATAATCATCGATATATGATAATAAAAGTGATTTTATTATCTGAAGGATTAATTTTCTCCTCAATGTGCATCTCTGGGGCGAATATCGCAGCAATTTTTTGTGTAAAATTTCTCTTAAAAAAAATGTCATTAAATTTCCTCCTAAAAGCACTCATTTCCTAGCATAATGTCTACATTTCCTAGACAATTACCTGGTGTAAATCTTCAAAAGCCCTAATTAACGTTTAACAATCACCCCAGGGTTATAAACCAGCGAACGAGGAGCCCTCAGAGTACCAAACGATTCCCCTCAACAAAATAGAAGACTTCGGAGTCCACTGCAAGCAATACTACTCCCTGGAGGTCTCCTACTTCAAATCATCCTTGGACAAACGACTCCTGGACTCCCTCTGGAACAAATACTGGGTCAATACCTTGAGCTCCTCTAGTCTCTTAACAAACTCGGACTACACCACAGGTCAGATCTGCGATCTATCCGATAAATTAGAACAGTCGGAGGCTGTTGTGTCCCGAGGAAACCTCGGATTCATTGTGGTGGGTGAGTCTCACGACCGCAAGACTGAAGATAAACTCGTCAAAGCCACTAAAGACAGCTGCAAAACCACGATCGAAGTCATTCATGGACTTATGGCGCAAATTATCAAGGACAGATTATTCAATCAAGTGGGAACGACTAAAATGGAGTTGTAACAGCTTTAATTGAGGATTAGATTAATTAAATTTTGTGAAATGTCTCGAGGAAGAGTGATTTTAGAATTACACGTCAAGAGACTGTTTGCTAGTCACCCATTTTCGAGTTGTTTGCAAAGTAATCCGGATGATTCATGGCCCTATACGAATTGAATAATGATTATGGATGCTAATTAAATAATGAAGAACTCAATAAATTTGTGGAATAAAAATACATTTTATTTTCACACCTTGATTCACTAGAAATTATATACATTTTTTTGCTTTTTCATCAGTTATTCATACCATTTTCATCCATTATCCATCATTTCCTTACAATAATCTCTTCTTCATACATAATATCATATAAAGAAAAGTACGTAAACTCACATTATTATTCAATTATAAAATTAAAATAATGATAAGAAACAATATTGGAGCAATTACATTTTGCCTCGATAATTTATAAAATTCATTAGAAATCACCAGAGAATTGATGTTCATTCGTAATTATATTCATTTTTAATTTACAAGGACGGAGGGAATTTCATACTGTGAAAAAAGAACAAGAACGAGTCGAAAATGATTAAGTACGTAGAGTTTAATTGATTATTTGGCAGGAAAATACTTGGGAAATAGATCAAGTGTATTCGACATTCAATTCTCTGGTCGTAAAATTCAATTAAAAAATGTCTTAGCTCCTCTGATGATGGTTAAACATAGAAAAATTATGTTGGCTAGTTAATACATCATAGAATAATTCAGTTTATCGTTATTTTCCTCTGAAACCAGGTTTTTTCTTTCAGTTTTTTGCTGAATCTTTCGGTTAGAAATAAGCTACCTAGTATATACAGAGCTTCTTGTTAATTACAAGCAAAGTAGAAAAAAAACGACACCTGGAGGGCGATTTTTTACTCGGACATTATCCTGCTTTTTTGGGATTAAATAATTGAGGGATTAATTTAGTAATGAATTGGTTAAACTGAAGTTTTCGAATGAGCAGAACAATTTTTTTATTATTGATTTTTACCACTCCAAGACCAAATTAATTGAATTAATCATTTTTATTGTTGCAGTGAAATGATAAAACTTGAGTTTTAATAACACTTTACCTTATTTCACAAATATCTCGAGCAATATGAAATTTTAAAGAAAATGTCAAAAGAAATTTTTCATAGGAAATTTTCTGCTCTACAAAAAATATTTTCTGATGTTTTTCGCTAAACCTAATAGTTTTGGAGATACTTACAAAATAAGTCGTATGAATTTTTGATGTTTTTATTTCAATCACTGAAACTATTGGATTTAACAGAAAATATCAGCTGTTATTTTTTGTTCATGATTTTTCTCTAGAAAGAGGTTTTTTGAAATCTTTCTCTAGAACCAATAATTTCTGAGACGTCAATTGAGCAGATTTTTTTTTCATTATAGATTATTACCGCGACTGAATTAATTATAAATGAGCTGTACAATTTTTTTTATTATTGATTTTCACCACTCCAAGACCGAGTTAATTTAAATAATCATTCTCATTGTCGAAGTGAAGTATAAAACTTGAGTTTTAAACTGAAGTTTTCAAATGAACAGAACAATTTTTTTATCATTGATTTTTACCACTCCAAGACCGAATTAATTTAATTAATCATTTTTATTGTTGCAGTGAAATGATAAAACTTGAGTTTTAATAACACTTTACCTTATTTCGCAAATATCTCGAGCAATATCAAATTTTTAAGAAAATGTCAAAAGAAATTTTTCATAGGAAATTTTCTGCTCTACAAAAAATATCTTTTGATGTTTTTCGCTAAACCTAATAGTTGTGGAGATACTTACGAAATAAGTCGTATAAATTCTTGATGTTTTTATTTCAATCACTGAAACTATTGGATTTAACAGAAAATGTCAGCAGTCATTTTTTGTTCATGATTTTTTGCTCCATAAAAACAGATTTGTCAACATCTTAGTCTAGAATCAATAACTTCTGAGACATCGAATGAGCAGAGCAATTTTTTTTCATCATGGATTATCATCAGGACAGAATTAATTCAATAGCAAAGCGGTAAAACGGTTCATCTAGAACGGAATATCTCGAAGTCTGAGGGAGATAGCGAAATTTTGCTCATAACCTTTTTTATAGTTCTCAACACGCCCTACAAAAAAGGTCATTACGAAAAATTCGTTATCTCCCTCAGATTCAGAGATATTTTTCAATAACTTAGCTGAGGGCTAAACAGAGCCCTCAGATGCTTTGAGTCGTTTTACCGCTTCGCTACTGAATTATCGGAATCATTCTTACTGTTCTCTGGGTTTTGTTTTCAAGGGCAGAGTATTGCAAAACCACCCTCCAGATTAATATCCCGTGTTTTCTAACGATTAATAACACCTGACTCCTCTGTCTCAGACACTCTCGATGGTATTTTGGAGTTTGTTGGGTGGGGTTGATTCAAGCAGGCGTATTTACAAGATTATCAGTGATAATATGTCACTGGGACCCAAGGGCTGGGAAGCTGTTGACCTCAGTCTGCTCGAGAACTGGGCCTGAGTCGCCGCTGTAGGAAATACGAAGACGCATTCGTAGATTTCCCTGAAAATCATTCGTTTTTGCATTATAAAATTGTTTAGGACATCAAATATTATGTTTTCATCATCTCATAAATTTGTAAAATGTTAATAATTAAGATGTTAGGAATTTGAGAGCTTATCCTGAATTTTTTTAAATTTAAGGTGATCATAATAATTTAAAAATATAATAATGTTATCTAGATTATTTTTTGTCGATTTCTTCATTTGAAAGTTTCAATTCGATTTTGGGTGATGCAGAGAATCACAAAAAAGCAGATGCATGCTTAAAAAAAAGTAAAAAAAAATACATTTCCAATTTTCTCATTTTTTGCATTATTTCCCAATAAAAATGAAAAACGCTCTTTCAAAATTTCCCAATTTTTTGTTGACTTTTTGTTGAGTATACATTTATATGTTTTTGCAGTTCTCTGCGTCATGCAAAACCGAATGGACATTTCCAGATAAAAAAATGGACAAAACAGATTCTAGATCATATTTGAAAGATAATCCAACCGAGCCTTAAATTTAAATTTAAATTCAAGATAATTATTATCACCATTTGTTCCTGATGATTTAGTAATGAAGAGGTGAAGAAGGAGACATCAATTTATTTCCAGAATTATTAAAAAATTTCTCAGACTCGAAACTTTGTAAAATTTTAGTAATTACGATTTTAGGAATTTGAGAGCTTATCCTAAATTTATTTAAATTTAAGGTAATCATAATAATTTAAAAATATAATAATGTTATCTAGATTATTTTTTGTCGATTTCTTCATTTGAAAGTTTCAATTCGATTTTGGGTGATGCAGAGAACCACAAAAAAGCAGATGTATGCTTAAAAAAAAGTAAAAAAAAATACATTTCCAATTTTCTCATTTTTTGCATTATTTCCCAATAAAAATGGAAAACGCTCTGTCAAAATTTCCCTATTTTTTGTTGACTTTTTGTTGAGTATACATTTATATTTTTTTGCAGTTCTCTGCGTCATGCAAAACCGAATGGACATTTCCAGATAAAAAAATTGACAAAAAAGGTTCTAGATCATATTTGAAAGATAATCCAACCGAGCCTAAAATTTAAATTTAAATTCAAGATAATTATTATCACCATTTGTTCCTGATGATTCAGTAATGAAGAGGTGAAGAAGGGGACGTCAATTTATTTCCAGAATTATTAAAAAATTTCTCAGAATCGAAAGGAGATTCTGGGAAAATTTCATTTGGGAGCAAAATGAGATCTACAAAAAAGGCTCTGGCAAAATTATATTCTCTTAAATTTCAAGATATTTTCCCAAGAATCATTGACTCTACAAGGAAATCAACTCATTCTATTACACTAATTCATTAGATTTCTTTCTTCTGCTAATTAATGAACAAAAAGTTTTTTTTTTCTTACCGAATTCATATTTGAGACCTTCAGTACTTGAGTCACTTGTCCGGAGGGTGAGATGACGGTGCTCGACGGTGGCAGCATTTGTAATTGGAATGTCTAGAAAAATAAATGCAAAAAATAAAAAATTGTGGATCAATTGTGGAAAATGATTGTTAAAATCATTGTTTTATTTACTCGAGGGACTGCAGCCTCAAACCGAAAATCAGTGAGTGGTATTCCTGTTGAATTGACTGCAGTCATGTTTATAACGAGAAGATCCGGTGAGTCCAGTGGTCGTTCCATCTTGAAGTTGATTTTCAGTCCAGCTTTATCCAAAACTAATACACTTGGCACTTCTGGAATTTAAGAAAATTAAAAGATAAATTCAGTCGGTGAATCGAACCCTCAAATATAGTTACGTTTCATAAAACTCCGTTTTTTATGATTCAAAGAAAGTTGAGATGAATTTTTCCATCGAAAGTACACGAATAATCTGAATGCTCATTTCTAAAAAGCTCATAAATCCTTGGAAGAACAACCACCTTATTTTAGAAAAATAAATAATTGGGAATAAACAATTCATATTCATAAACAATTTATGAAGTTTTCAATACAAACGTTGAAGGAAAATGAAAAAAAAAATTATTTTCAAATATTGAATTTTCATCTTGAATCTTTTTCCATTCTCATATTATCTCATATTTGAAGAAAAAAGTAAATAAAAAAAAATATTTGAAAAAGAAAAAAATTTTTAACAGAAATTTTGGTGAACAAATAAATTTCAAAATACATATTTTTCCTCATGTCTCACAATTAAGGAGTAAAAATTCGTGATCATATAAAACAATTATTTAAAAATTCCGGATTGACGTTGAGGATTTTTTTGGTCGGTCGGAAACATTTTTGACCCTCGGAATCGAATTTCTGAGAATTCTCAAAAAATACTATTTTGTGCACGATTTTTCCTCAAGAAAGTTAATTTTTTTCCGGAGTGAACTTCCCCTTAAACATTCAAACCTCCAAAAATTCATAATTCCCCTTTTCCAACTCACCATTCTGGACAGGAGGAGTGAGTAATCCATCAACCAAGAAATTGCCAGTGGAAGTGGGGCTGAAAATACCTTCGTTCCCTCCCAGGACTCCCAGAGGACTTCCCACCTCCTCAATTCCATTTCCAGTGGTCCCAGCGGGCGTCGAGAGATCCAGGCCCCCAAGCAAGTCCAGAAGATCATTATTTCCAACAGCTGGATTATTCACAACCCCCGGAGACGTCACCAAAGCTGGTACAGACAATTCCGACGAGCCAAGAAGATCCAGAAGTGCACTGGAGTCACTCGCAGGGGTCACACCTGTCTCGACAGGCTTATCCTCCTCGATCTCTTGCTCTCCATTCACCAGTCCAATTATACCATTCGCCTGGGGTCTAGCTGTCTCCATCGGGGGCATTCTCTCCAGCAGTGCTGGCCTCAAGTGATCGTATTTCCTGAATAATTGAGAGAACTCGATTCCTCGCTGCTGCAGCTCAATGTGCAGATTACTACCGAATGTGTCTATTATCTGGCGTATTTTCCTGTAAAATCGAGGCGTCCTACTGAAATAATTTCGACCGATGGTCATGCATACATACACAGCAACTAGACGACAATTAAATGGGTAAATGGGTTGTTGGATGCATTTTTTGTTGATGAAAAATATTTCAGTAACGGAGCGGTAAAACGGTTGAAGTTTTCGAGGAATATCTCCGAATCTAAGGGAGATGACAAAATTATTGTGATGACTTTTTTCATAGAGCGAATTGAGAGCTACAAAAAAGGTCATGACTAAAATTTTGCTATCTCCCTTAGATTTTGAGATATTCATCGAAAACTGGCCAACAGTCAATTTTAACTTGAACCGTTTCACCGCTTCACTACCGATTTTATTCGTATTTTTTTATTTTGAAAAACCATTTTTCAATAATTGAGAATTATTGAAACGTCTACATTATGACGTCATGATGTAGACGTTTTCATTTGCCTGTATCTTGTTGAATTTTTATAATTTATCGTAGTAAAAAATACGAGAATAATATTTGTCCTCCAATTTTGGTATCGAGAGATGAAAATAATTCATGCAAAATCCCAATTAAGTGGTAAAATTGAGGAAATATTGGAGTGCTTTTACGGGAGATGAGTTTTTGAGGAATATCTCCGAATCCAAGCGAGATAGCGAAATTATTGTAATGACCTTTTTCATAGAGCGAATTGAGAGCTACAAAAAAGGTCATGACTAAAATTTTGCTATCTCCCTTAGATTTTGAGATATTCATCGAAAACTGGCCAACAGTCAATTTTAACTTGAACCGTTTCACCGCTTCACTACCGATTTTATTCGTATTTTTTTATTTTGAAAAACCATTTTTCAATAATTGAGAATTATTGAAACGTCTACATTATGACGTCATGATGTAGACGTTTCCATTTGCCTGTATCTTGTTGAATTTTTATAATTTATCGTAGTAAAAAATACGAGAATAATATTTTTCCTCCAATTTTGGTATCGAGAGATGAAAATAATTCATGCAAAATCCCAATTAAGTGGTAAAATTGAGGAAATATTGGAGTGCTTTTACGGGAGATGAGTTTTTGAGGAATATCTCCGAATCCAAGCGAGATAGCGAAATTATTGTAATGACCTTTTTCATAGAGCGAATTGAGAGCTACAAAAAAGGTCATGACTAAAATTTTGCTATCTCCCTTAGATTTTGAGATATTCATCGAAAACTGGCCAACAGTCAATTTTAACTTGAACCGTTTCACCGCTTCACTACCGATTTTATTCGTATTTTTTTATTTTGAAAAACCATTTTTCAATAATTGAGAATTATTGAAACGTCTACATTATGACGTCATGATGTAGACGTTTCCATTTGCCTGTATCTTGTTGAATTTTTATAATTTATCGTAGTAAAAAATACGAGAATAATATTTTTCCTCCAATTTTGGTATCGAGAGATGAAAATAATTCATGCAAAATCCCAATTAAGTGGTAAAATTGAGGAAATATTGGAGTGCTTTTACGGGAGATGAGTTTTTGAGGAATATCTCCGAATCCAAGCGAGATAGCGAAATTTTCGTGATTACATTTGTTGTAGCTGTCAATCGGTTCTACAAAAAAGGTTATAACAAAAATTTTGCTATCTTCCTTAGATTCGGAGATATTCATTGAAAACTGGTCAATGGTCAAAATTGACTTGTACCGTTTTACCACTTCGCTACTGAATTGGATCCAACGGTATCTCCTGAATTTTTCTGGAGACTTTTTCGTAAATAAAAACAATAATTAAACAAGAATGGGTTTTCAGATAATGTCATGAAAATTTAAAACTGATTCTCAAAGATCGAGATAAATTTCCCAAAATTTCATATTAGGAGAAAAATTCTCATGATATGAAATGGAGATTCTCTTTTTTCGCCTCTACAACAGAGCATAGAGATGGTTTTTTTATTGATAAATTTGAATGGGAGAGGAATCAATGAATTTTGATGGAGAATTTTTCCTGTAGAAAAAAATGAGCGAATGAAAAAAATCAATGAAAAATGACAACTAAAATTTGCCTCATTTTACCACTTTTTCAAAAAACAATGAGGGGTTTTGGAGGGATTTCTGGGAGCGAGAGGGAGAACTCACTCGTTTCCTCGTTGGAATCTTGTGCTGAGCTTCGTCAGGGAGAGCAGAGTGTACTGCTTGGTGACCACTGTGTTCTGAGGACTCCAGAGGAGCCTTTGATAGACATCTATCACATCGTCTTCTGTTAACTGAAAATAAGAAAGACAAACAATTGTAATGATGTGAGTTAACAGCATTTCAAATTTTTGAAAGAGTTTCTTGGTTATCATCACCAATTTTCGTTTCTTAATTATGGGAAATGAGGGAGGAGACGCATTCTGAAGTTCATTTCAATGGGTCAATTTTATTCTCCAAAATTTCGCATGATAATCAATTAAAATTGGTGAATTTCCATTGAAAGGAGGGAAAATGAATCGAAATAGTGCATGAGAATCATTAGACATGGCGTTGGCATTCGTAAATAAAGATTAGGGGAGGGTGGGGTAAAATGGAAACTTTAGACTTTTTTATAATTATTCATAACTCAGGAACAAATTTATTAATTAAGATCAGTTTAAGCTCATCACAAAGGGGAAGAATTGTTGTTTACCTATATTGAAAAAAAAGATTAAATGTCATCAACATTTTAACCCGTCATTAACATTTTTAAAAAAGTCAAAAGTGTGCATTTTACCCCAACCTCCCCTATACCTAATATTTGAACAAGAAAACAATTTTTTTCTTGAGATATTAATAGAAATTTTGACAAACGGATAAATTTCAAAATGCATTTTATCCCCCATTTTTCATAATTAAGGAACGAAAATTGACGGTCATATTAAAAAAAAAACTATTCCAAAAATTGATGCATTGGCGATTTTTTAAAAGTTGAATTTTCGGTTACAAGGAAGTCAAATTTCTAGTTTTTAATATTAATAATAGAAAGATCTATTTAAAAAATTTATACGTTGGGGATTTTTTTTTCAGTTGAATTTTCCGTTACAAAGAATTCAAATCTCTATTCCTGAGGAGTTATAGTGCAAAAAGTAGTACTTTTAATAAATTTTCCTCAAAAACGAAAAAGTTTGTTTCTCAGGGTGAACCTCCCCTTAAGATTTTTGCGTGAATATCGGTGAAATGAGATTGAATTAATGAAATTTCTTCAAACGGAAACCTGTGTAATATTCTTAAAATCACAAAAATTTCTACTTATTTGCCTTTCTGATGGCACTACCCAATTATTTCGAAAGATTGTAAAAAATAATGAAGTTCCAAAATTCAATACTTCCACGGACGAAAAAATTTAATAGAAAAACCTATCGAATTCGTTAGAAAATTCTATGGAATTTCTATTGAACTGTTGTATTAGTTGTTGGCCGATTCTATTGAAATGTGCAATAGAAAATATTCAGTAGAAAAAGTCAATAGAATTCAATTCTTCTATATAACTTATTCTATTGAGATATTTTCTATAGAATCTCCTGGGCTCAAGTCTTTTCGTTTGATTTTCTTGATGAGAAGAAAAGAAAAATGGAATGAAAAAAACTTAGAAAATTAGAGTCGAGCAAATTCTATAGAAAATATATGAAAAGAATAAGTTATATAGAAAAATCGAATTCTGTTGACATTTTCTATTGAATGTTTTCTATTGAACATGTCAATAGAATCAGCCAAAAACTAATAGAAAGTTTAATAGAAATTCATTAAACTAAATTTTCTAACGAATTCGATTGGTTTTTCTATTAAATTTTTTCGTGCGTGTCGTCTTCTGAGTTCTGACATGTGTTTTTATTCTATAATTTCTTTATTGACATTGTTCAACTATAATAATTTATTTCCTTTAGTACATAAATTTCTTTTTCTGTACATAACGTTCACATTTTTTTCTGAGAAGGCTTGGTGTTGGTTACTGATGACGATAATATTTATTAAAACAAAACAAAAGAGAACAATATCTATATATGCTGAAATTAAATGAGTTGTACCAAATGTTGAGAGACTGAAAAAGTTATGAGAACAAATTGTTCAAATATCGAAGCCACAAAGGTATTTGAGATGCGAACAACGTGAGAAAGTGAGATAATGGGAATGAAATTTATAGTTACGGAATTTTGTTGAGGAATGTCTGCGATAGATAATATTCGGAATTTTAAGCGTTCGGTAGAAAGATACTCACATTGACTGGAACTTCCACATCCTCTGGGGGTGGGCCATATAATAAAAGATCCCCGTACTCCCCGATGCACCACGTGGCAACCTGCGCCAAAGGTTGTTTATCGAATGTGTCTCGTTCCAGTGCATGCCACAGTGCATTCACTGCATAGCCCTGTTGAGGCTGGGCCTCGGAGATCAGTTGGATGGTGCAAGCTACCACGTCGTCGCGAACGTAATTTCCAGCCTTGGAGGACAGAATAATTGAAATATTTTAGAAGAATCTTGAAGCGAAGTGAGGAAAAATTAAAAAAGAGACAATTGGAATATTCCATATCCATTATTTGCTAATATCTCAGGAAAAATTTGTTCTCATTAACTTGTGTTTATCAACTTTTTTTTATTATTGGAAGTACCGATGAGAATAATAATTTTTCATTCAGTAGAATGGAAAATTATTGAGAAATTTTGACGGGAGAAGATTTTGTCAATGGATTAATTGAAAAGAAAATGAAACGGCAAAATCCAAAGTCCAGAGTAAGCCCCAGGGGGAGACCCAGGGGGGGAAAAGGAAAATGTGATGATGAATTTCAATGGAATGAAAAAAGAAAAGGGTAATCGCCCTAATCTAATCAATTGAATTACAGATGAAATATTTAATATTACTTGAAAAGAGAACTGTGGATAAAATTAGGAAAAATTATTAATATTGACGTCTCGATATAAGAAATATAGGAAAAAGCTTCGGGAGTTTCGAATGAGGAGAGAACATAGACTCAGCAATGACGAGGTCTTAGTTTGGCTGCTGGAGAGTCAAGCTGACTAGTGGACGTTGAGATCGAGATCTAACAGGGGAGTGGGATTCATCTGTAGAGTTAGTCGATACGCCATATAGGGCTTTCGAATATCAGTGATTTTTTCGCACCGCATGTTCTTTTCTACCGAATAGAAAATTATTATTCTCATCAGTACGCCCAATAATAAAAAAAACACAAAAGTTGATGAAAAGAAAAATTTTTTTGCTTGAATTGCGTCAAATAGTCGTTTTCGGATGTTTCATTTTGCCCCCCCCCCCAAATGATTCTATTAAATTGAGTAAATATTAGACAAAACCCTGAGAATCTGTAGAAATGAAGACAATTAATTTTTTAACAATGATTTTGATAATCGACTCACTGCTACGAGGACTTTGAAAAGCGTCTCCAGGTGCCAGCGTTTGTTCGGCGAATATCTCTCAGCAGACATGACAATGTTACTACTGCACTGAGCCTTGAATTCTGGATCGGCTTTCTCCAGGAACAGCAGAAGCTCTTTAATCATATTTCGGATATTGTTCGAGTTCACGAGAGCAAAGCTCAACTCCATCGCACGTCTTCTTATTGATACGTCCGGGTCTTTCAAACATTCCTGGGGAAGAAAATATTAAATACAGACAATTAATAGAACATCATTATTTATGTGAAGGAGGAACTGTTGAACAATTTAATACAGATGATATTGCGTTCAGAGTTTGGCAAAATCATAATATAGAATTGAAATCATTCCATTAAATTAATAAATACATGATAGTAACAATTGATAAACCACATAATTACGTTAAATTAATACAAATACGGTGAATTCAACATTAAAAAAATCCCCAACGTATAAATTTTTCAAATGGTTCTTTGAATGTGATCACTGATGTTCGCTCCATAATTATGAAAAATGGGGGAAAAGATGCATTTTTAAATTTAGTCGTTGTTCAAAATATCTATTATATTATATTCTATACTATTCGATATTATATATGAGGTATTCCACGCCAAATGAGTCAACCGCTGACCCTCACCCTCTTGGAAATTGATGGCGATTTTTTCTACGATTGGGGAGATTGAAATCTATATCTCAAATTTTTTCAGATTTTTTCGGCAGCCCAGTTCGGAGATATGATTTTTGTTTCGTTTTTCCGGTTTTTTTCAATAACTCGAGTTCTATCCATCCGATTTTGATTTATTAAGCGTCAAAATTTTTCATTTTTTACTGCCTATAAGAATATTTTTAGTGAATTTTTTTTTCGATCTCTAAATGCGCATAATAACGACTTTTCGACTAAAAAAGTTGAAAAACTTGAATTTTGCAAATTACGTCACGGATGATTTGTTTAATTTTTTTTCAGTATTTCTTGTAATCAAAACAAGTATTTTGAGCCATCATACAAGTTGGGCATCGTCCTGGATCTATTTTATTTTCAATTTTTTCGTTTCGAAATCCCGTAAATTTGGTCGCAACACCTCAAAATGGCGTTGATTGACTTTGATTATAGACAGTATAAAGTGGATTTGATTGTATACCTATATATTACATATTTTTTCGATACATAATTGAAGTAGTTTTGTGGTTTTTTGACTAAATTTGCGAAATTTTCAAAAGGAAAAATTAAAAATAACATAGATCCAGGAGGATGTCCAACTTGAATGACAGCTGAAAATACTTGTTTTGGTTATGAGAATTACTGAAAACAAAATTTTGAAAATCAACCGTGACGTAATTTGCAAAATTCAAGTTTTTCAACTTTTTCTTTCGAAAATTCGTTATTATGCGCATCTAGGAATCGAAAAAAAAAATTACTAAAAACCGTCGTATAGGCGGTAAAGAATGGAAAATTTTGACGCTTAATGAATTAAAATCGGACAAATAGATCTCGAGTTATTGGAAAAAATGGAAAAATGTGAAAAAAATCACATCTCCGAACTGGGCTGCCTAAAAAATCTTAAAAAATTTGATAGTTTTTCGACCTCCCCGATCGTAGAAAAAATCGCCATTAATTTCCAAGAGGGTGAGGGTCAGCGATCGATTCATTTGACGTGGAATACCTCATATACTATGTATAATATACAATACATAATAGAGTAACATATGTATTATAAAATATGATATATTATAATATAGTATAGTATAGAATATAATATGCTATAGTATCATCATAATATTTTTAATGTGTGCTATCATCATTTATAAAAAATCGAATGACACAGTACGACGAATAGATTGGCTTCAAAAAACGTTACACTGGATTTTTTATTTAAGGCTTGGAGACAATTTTGACCTGCAAAATCGCGTTCCTGAGGGAAAATCATGCGTTCCATCATAAAGTTTTATCATAATTACCAAAATAGTTGATCGATGTCTCTGAACAGCCGAAGTGTCCACGTAAACAGTTTTCAAAAGTGTATTGAGAGCAACATAACGAATATTTTTATCGTTATTAAGCAGAAATCGTCCAAGAATATTGACAGCTAGAACCCTGAGGCCACTCTCACTCTTGATGTCCATGATGGAGAGGACAGTCTCGTAGAGAATGGTGTTCCCAACGTTTTTACTTGTCTCAGTGTTGGTGGCGACTTGTGCAAGGATGTCGTTCATTGCTTCAGAGGCATCCACATCGTTTCTCCCCAGAATTCTCAACAGGCGAAGGATCTTCACCTGCAGAAATGGATCGGACACACCAGAGACGTCGTGCTCAGGGGAATATCCCGCGAGGATCAAGTTCTTCAGGATTCTCACCAAATTCGGAACAATCTAGAAACGATAATCAAAGTTGTTTCGTTATTTTCTGGATTTTTTGAGGGTTTTCAGTGGAAAGATAGAGGGAATCCATCGAGAAAGAGGGCAGGATCCCTGCAATACATTTTTCAACTGAAATAATAAATAATAAATGGATGATTTGGATAATTTTCTTTGGGGCTTGGAGATTTCTCGAGAAATTCCGAAACACTCATGAGTTAAAATGGATTTCTTGGAAAATTTCCCATTCCTTATTTTCTTTTAGGTAATTATTTCACATTTTAACTTCTCTTACGATTTTTGCTTCCGAATGGAAGCAGTGTGTTCGTCAAATCTAAAATTTTCATTTTTTTGTGTGAGGATGACACTTTTGGTCTCAGGAGCTCGAATATGCAGTTTTTAGATCATGTCCCTATGTGAGTTTTTTTTCTAATTTAGTTTTTCGACGATCACTCAAAAAATAATTGTGGAAATCTTTTCAATTATGGCTTAAAATATTCGTTTGGATGTTATCTCGGTCGAGTTCGAAGATAGTGGCGATCGCATGATTTGCTTTGAAATTATAGCCTTAAAAAGCATTTAATCGGGGTTTAATCATGGTTTAGTCGGGATTTAGTCGGAGGTTAATCAGGGTTTAATCAAGTTTTCGTCAAGGTTTAATCAATGCTCAGTGGAAGTTTAAACCAGTTTAATTTTAATTTAGTCGGCGTCTGTTAGATGTGTAACCAGGGCATGTGGAGCTCATGTTAGACATTCGGGACATTTAGGGATCATATTAAGGTTTCATGGCTGGTATATCTTCTTCCCCAATTTACCATTCAGAAGCAAATCGCTAATTCATTAGCAAAAAAGTTATACTGGTCTTAAGTCCAGTTTAAGGAAAACTATTCAGGAGAAAAATAAAATTTAAATAATTTACTTAAGACCGAGGAGCCATCAACATTGATGTATAAGGAGCATGAACTATTGTGATATCAAATTTTACATTCATTTTGTTTTCACTCAATCTGTCTAATTTAAAATAAATTCAGTTCACTAAAAAATTTTATCTCTAATTGTCTTTAAACAAAAACTATTGAATTTTCCTGAGGTTAAACTTCAGGAAGGATCCCTACTGATCTGAAATTAATGACAGAAAACCGAATATGCACTTTTTTATTTTAATTCGATTAATCCATTCGGAAGCAAATTGCTAATTTTTAGCAAAAAAACTACACTGGATTTAGACTTGTGCAGTGGGCCACTTGTTTCTTTCGATCGTCTGACGTAATTACCTCGAAAAATCAACAATATCCTTCATTACCGGGTGATAATCCAGGGGAAAAAATTACAATTGTGGAAAATTTCCCAGAAAGAGTGAAAATAATTTTTCAGTATTTCTTTTCTGTGTTGAAAAAATTATTTTGTCTGAGAAAATAAGAAATTATGGAACATGAATTACGCTTGAATTTACCATGCATTCAAATTAAGTAATTTGTCAATTAACATTGATTGGATTAGTTTATTTTTACCTCTCGGTGGCCGCACTCCTAGAGACAGGATAGAATTCATTATTTCAACTATTATTTTTTATTTTAATCGATTGTTTTCTCGAGTTAGAATTTTAAAAAATTACAAAATTTATTTAAATTAAGATTATTTTCTCTTGTGATTATTTGATAATGATCTTTAATTTTTTGAGTGGAAAAATGATTTATTAATAAAAAAAATTGTTAAAAAAACAATGAAAATTCATGGGCTTTCAATCCAAAAAAGTTTGAGGGAATGAATTCTAACGGTTTGAATAATTGAATTTACCTTTTTAAAATGATTGAGAGTGTCCACACTGTTTTCACACATTTCCGTAATTAACGTGACACCGGTAATGAGTACTCCATGATTTTTCTCAGTCAGTAGGCTCCTAGTTGCGGGTAGAAACATCTCCATGAGTTCTGGTACACGACGTATTATTCTAAACGCACAGAGTGCTGCCTTTTTACGAATATATGCGTTTGGTGATTTCATGAGTCTCTCAACTTCAGCTGCTAAATCACGAGCCATTTCTGGTGATGCTATTGCACCCAGGGTACATAGAGCTAAGCCAATTACAAATTGAATTGGACTATTCAAGTCTCTGAAATTGATCGAAACATATTATTCATTAGAAAGTCATTAAATAATTTTTCGAACTTGAAATTAAATTTCATCGTTTCAATAATTCTTTAAATAATGATCAATAAATTGGCTAAAAAATAGAAAATCGTGAAAAGAATAGAAATAGTTTGAGTTTAAAACATAATTATTCAAGTTTTAGATGTGATAATTGTCATAAGTATTTGTATTAATATATCAGTGATTTATTATTGAGTTTTTATTGAATTATCTTAATAATAAAAAATATTTTTTCAAGTTGAAATTAAATTTCATTGTTTCAATAATTTTTTAATTAATGATCAATGAATTGGCTCAAAAATAGAAAATCATGAAAAGAATAGAAATAGTTTGAGTTTAGAACATAATTATTTACGCTTTATTACTGAATTTTGATTTGATTATTTTACGTACTGTTTCAGGCAATTGGTGATTAACAAATGAACATCCTGTCTCTCATCGAGCAACAACATTGCCCCCAGATATCCTATACGTTTGTCAGTGAATCTGGGTGAGGCTATGAGTTTCAGGCACTCCAGTTGACCAAAATGAGCTGGATAACTGCCAAAAAATATTTTCGTTATTTTTATGATTACAAATAAAGAACTTGAGTAGTAGGAGAATAATCACTTAATTAAAATTTCCAAATATACTGGCAAATATAGGGTAAACAGGCCAATAGCTGGACGGTTAAGGAAATGTTGAACTTCATTAAAGGATTTAAAATCGATGAAGTAGCTAAATGAATAAAAAATGAGTTCTAGACCTGAAAAAATATATGAATTAGGAAAAAACAATAATTTGAAGTGGTAAAAATGAAGAGAAGAATAATTAAATGAGGGAAAAGTGGAATATCGTCCAAATTCCCAATAACTGGACGCTAGGGCCAATAGATGGACGGTGGATGGCCAATACATGGACGCTCTGGAGGAATATAGAATTTTCATCCAGTTTATACAAACATGTGAATTTTGTTTTATTGAATGTGAAGAAATACAAGGCCAAATAGATTCTCAATCTTCGGGATGTGATTCCCCTCCTGAAAATATTGTGCTACTTCCCACATCTGACTCTTTCGGAAGAGAACTTCTTTTTTTTCTCCACGACACTTTGTCACTGATGCTTAGCAAATTGCAGCGCCACGCCACCCACCACTGTACCTCCCGAATATATTTTTTTTCTCGCTGTAATGTTGATATTTCGAAAAAAAAACTTCATCACATGATTATACATAAGTTTTATTATTGATAATGATAATAATCCGTGCAGTTTTCATTCTATTATTTATAGAATATTCAATAAAAGGGGAAACCGTCCAGGTATTGGCCCGAGTCCAGCTATTGGCCTCTTCACCCTATTTCCCCTACGAAAAACGTCCTGACATTTTCCCCTGAAATTCCCCCTCGAGAGATCCTCAGGTAATTAAAAAAACACCCTCCCCACTGTGGGATGCATTAATCAATAAATTATAGTGAGAGAGTGTCGTGATAAAAATTTTCTCACCCCAACATATGAATGTACAGTAATTTCGCGATGTTTCGGCATCTCCAGACACTGTCCTCCTCCCTAAACGTCGATCTGATGTACGCACACTCTTTATTCACAACCGTGCGCTCTTCAGCAGCCGTTCTAGCTGCTCTTATCTGCCTTATCAGATCCCTGAGCCTCGTTGGTGCTGGCATTCTCACTGTTGATACTTTCGAAATTACCAAGAGGCGTTATAAATCGTGCTTTCGTGGTTAGAAGATGAATTGTGAGGCGTTAGTGTTACCAGCAGGGAGAAGCTTTGAATTTACTCCATAAAAAATATTAAACATTTTGCCTTTTCACCTGTGACAAAATTCGATACGAAACCTAGAGCAATTTTATGAATTTACAAATTTCGTTTTTCAATTTATAATGAAAATTTGAGGATATTCGAGTACTTTGACTATTTTTTCCAGTGAAATGTTTTTTGCCTTTTGTCGGCGAACATTACAGCTTTCATTTGAGCTCCACTTGACTTCAAGTTTCCGGACATTTTACAATGATTTTATTATTTAAACTTTGCCGGTTTAAATTTAAATCTCGAGATGGAACCGTTAGGAAACATTTTTTATTTGAAAAAAAAATTAGAAATTTTACTTTTGGAGGAAGATTGATGAAATAATTTATAAACAATCAATTTTCCACCATAAAAATCATTTGTTTGGAATCGTAACAAATTTAATATTCGGAATTTTACCAGAAATCGATTCGATGCCTAAAGAAAATAAGATTTCCAAAAGTTGGAAAAATTTCAATTATTTATTTATAAACGAATGTATAAAAATAATAATTCCGTGCAAAATGTAATTTGAATGACGCTGAATATTCATGATTTTTTTCAAATTTTTCTCACGTAATTCAATTGACAGATTTAATAATTGAAAATAATTGAATCCGCGAATTTGGGAGATAGTGTAATCGGTACGAAACTGTAAAGATATTGGATACTTTAAGGAATAAATTTAAAAAATTTATGCCCAAGAAATTTTATAGAAAAATCACAATCTATTGGGTTTTCGGTGGAATATCAATCGAAAAATTGCACACGGTGAAATTCCTTGTAGAACTTCAGTAGCGAAGCGGTAAAATGGTTCAAATCAATTTTGACTATTAGCCAATTTTTTACGAATATCTCAGCATCTAAAGCAGATAGCAAAAATGTTGTCATGTTCTTTCTTGCAGCACTCAAATCGCTCTACAAAAAAGGTCATTACAAAAATTTCGCCATCTCCCTCAGATTTGGAGATATTCCTCAAAAACTCAGCTGAGGCCTAAATCGACTTGTTTTGCCGCTTCGCTGCTGAATTAGCACAAAGCAATAGAATTTCCTTTCGAATTTCCTAGTACGAGCGCAACGTTCTTCTCATTGAATTTTTTCTATGCGTTTTCTCATTCTTTCTAGGATTCTCAATTTTTCAAAATTAGTTTCGGAGTAACTTCAAAGCTGATGAATAGCGATAAGCGAATGAAAGACGGGGATGTAGGAACAGGATGAATGAATGAATAAAACGTGTTGATTAGTTTGGGAGTGTACCCACCTCTTTCAACAGCCTCATTCAATGCCTGCCTTATTGAGGCCATGTTAAAGGCTGGGTTAAACCTGGAAATACACAAACAGGTACAAATCCATGCATTTCCACTCGCAATCGTGGTTAAACGAATTTGCAAATCATTATTTGTGGCAGCAAAATCGAATTTTTTTTTTTATTATTCAGCACAAAACCAGTCGGTTTGTACAGCTGAATTGCATAATTCGTAAATTGTTATTTAAGGGGAGACTACTGTGAGTTTCAAAAGTCGTGGGTTATTGGAGTGAGACTTTTCATACGTTGAAGATCGATTATATAGATCTGAAAACGAGTAATTGGTGCAAAAAAAATTTTTTTCATTGTTCGTTTGCCCGAAAACGCAAAATCCTAAAAACAGTCCAGGGCCTCCAATTTTTGAACTACAAAAGATTTTTTTTTTCAAAATTTTCGGAAAAATGTGTGGAACAACAATTACAAGCCAGTTTTTTGGAATTCGACTCCTACACAACTGATTTCGATTTTTTTTCATATAAAAAAATTCACTATTTGTGTAAAAAAATACAAAAAAAGCAAATTTTGCCATGTAAGAGGTGAATTGAAGAAAAACTAGCTCGTAATTGTTATTCCACATATTTTTCCGAAAATTTTGAAAAGAAAAATCATTCGTAGCTGAAAAATTGGAGCCCCTGGACTGTTTTTGGCATTTTAAGCGTTTTCGGGCAAATGAACAATAAAAAAAAAAATTTTTTGCACTAATTATTCGTTTTCAGATCTATATAATCGATCTTCAACGTATGAAAAATCTCACTCCAATACTCCACGACTTTTAAAACTCACAGTAGTCTCCCCTTAAGATTTTACAGTCAAATTGTCTCTAATTAATACCGTTAAAAAATTTTGTTAAAAAATTTTGACTGAAATCTCCGCTAAACTTCTTGGAAATTGACATCAGTTGAAGTTTAACTGCAATTTCAAGTAACTTTGTAATTAAAAATTCAGAATCTGATGAAAAAAATCAATGAAAACCTTAAATTTTAATTCAATTCAATTATTTTATTGAAATCAATAAAAATCCAGAAAATTCTGGTAAATTCGGTCGTGAATATTCATTTTTTAAAATTGAAACTTTAAGTAAGTTTGAGAATTCTCAATTTCCTGCTCAAAAATTTGAAACTCCATTAAATCTTCAGTGCAATTTAAAATTCGATTATTTTTCCCCCTTAAGTGGAATTCAACGTCGTTCTTATAAAAATGACTATTGAACTGCCCATGAAATTAATTTTTTTTTCCAACAGTTATTCTAGACTAAAATATCAATGAAAATTTTTTGTAGGAAACTTAAATAAATTATTATTCCGCGAATATCTCTGAAACCGTTGCACTTAGAGAAAAAAGCCGGAAGACATTTTTTGTGGCGAATTTTATGAGCTACAAAAAGTTCTTGTCACTTTTTCCCCTCAACCAGCTAGCGTCGGAGATATCCGTGAAATAATATGAACCTGAATTTTTTCTCATCTCGATTTCTTCGATTTATTACAGAAATGGTCTTTAAACTTAAATTTTTTTTCAAAATTAATGCTTTGACGTTGTTTTTTTCTAAATTGACAATGCAGTAACGTTTGAGATCTACTCCAGAGATAATGAATGACTAGAGCGATGAGTTTGTTTGAGATTTACGTTAATTGATTAATTTATTACCCATGTTCGGAGGCATTCATGGTTCACAACGTGTCTCCTGACGTGTTTCAACGAATATAAAATACTGGAATGTATTGGATTAACGAGAATCAGCTCCAAAGTGCACGGCTCGAGTCCTGCTGGATATCGTTAGGAATAATTAAAGCAAACCTCCAAATCAGGTGGAGAATTATAACACTGTTTGAGTCATTTCGACGGTTAATTACTGAATTATCTCGGCGATGAGTGATTTCAGAAAAAAATTTCAAGCGAAATTCATTGGTGGGAATTATTCCGGCAATTTTACAATTTGAAAGAAAATCTCAGAAACTATTTTTCTTCAGAAATTTTCTAAGGTGAATGACCCTACGCTCGTGTAACTAAGGTGAACACATCATTATCCCAATATTTCTATTGAAATGAGTTTAAAGATGCGGTTTTAAATTACATCTCAGAAAGTTAAAACTTCCGAATTAGAATTCACTTATATTAATCACGATAATCACTATTTTTTAATAAATAATCGTCCATAAACGTGGAAAGTCCCATGTCCCTACGCTCGCTCATTTGTCCCCGTGCACGTTTGACACATGTCCCTATCCTCGTCTCGTGATTTGAATGATATGGAAAGATTATATCCGAACTAATTACATCGTGAGTATCCTATTTGGGATAAAACAACATTAAAAAATATCTCGAGGCACAAAATTATATTTCAATTGGACAGTCCAACCTTTTAACTGATTTTTTCATCCGTTTAGTCCGTTACTAGTTGACAGTTGGTTGCAAAACGAGCATAGGATCAGTGCCATTTCCATTGTACCGATTCTTTTAATTGCCGACATTTCTGTGAAATATTAAGATATTACTATAATTTATGCATTCTTATTGTTTTTTAACCATCCGAAACCTCAGTCAAGGGATTTTTAATCCCATTTTACTATTATAACGGAGATATCAGCATTTTAAAATTGTGAATTTCTCAACTTGAGGCTTAAGAATTTACTCTGTCGTAGCACCCGTTGATGTGGGTGGGATTTTTCTCTCTTTTTCTTCAATAAATCACTGTTCATTGGTGTCTATAACTCTCCTTATTAACTAAAATAATAACTCCAATCGTATTTCACTCTTGATAGACTCTTGGGACTGTCGAAATAATTAAAATGTGATAGCTGCCGACATCTGAACGAGCATAGAGACAGGGGCGAGCATAGGTACATTTTAAAAATGTCCTGATATTAATATAATATTTATTAATACAGCCACTTGACCAAATGTTTCAAGTGGATGGATGTCAAGGCAATTGTGGAATCGAGGAGGAAATGCCACAAGTTTTTTGTGAGAAAAAAATGTTCTCTTTCAAAAGCAGGAAAAAGATTCTCTCGGATTTTTTTTTCGTAATTTTTCACTCACGCCGTTGATAATTTTATAATTAACAAGTTGTTATGTTTCGAGGACGTGTTATACCACTCCAACACTGGATAAAAAAGGAAAAACGAGGGGATTAATTGATGTTGTTTCTCTGTTTGTTCCTTTCAGTCGTTCGTACTGCGAAAGCGAGGGGCACATAGACGAGTGGAGGCTAATGAAAGGTAAATTCGCAGGAAGAACTTCCAATCAACGATTAATCCAGTCAGCAAAGTTCTGGGATTGACGGTGAAGTTTGTGATTATTCAGCTCGGTGGGAAAAGCGTTTTATTTTTACGAGAGAAAAAATGGAAAAAGTTGAGAACAAAGTTGAGACAAAGGAGATTAAACAATGGAAATTCCTGAAAGAGTTTAGGGAAGTGAATGAACCACAAACAGTTGAGGAATCCTTTTGTTGAGAGCTATGAATCACAGCATGAAGAAAATGTGGTTCTTCAGTCACTATTGAATTTCAACAATTGAGGAAATGTTTGAAACAAAAATAATGAGACGATACAGTATTTTCGTTCTTTATGACTGGCACATGAAAATTTAGAAAAGTCAGGGAATTAATTCACTAGCGAATTGTTTTCATTGAATATCTCGGAATCTAAAGGAGGTGGCCAAATTTTTGTTATAACCTTTTTTGCAGAGCCGATTGAGAGCTACAACAAATGTAATTATGAAAATTTCGCTATCTCCCTTAGATTCCGGAATATTCCTCGAAAACTCAACGGAGAGATGAGTCGACTTATCTCCGTTTACCACTTCGCTACTGAATTGGTGTTTAAACTTGATAATGCAAAAAATTCGTTAACAATTGTCTCTAACAAAGCCCTTATCGTCAACAATTCCCCAAAGCCAAACTCCGAATGGCAGAAAAATCTCTGATAATTCCGGGATTTTCCCTCTCAGAAATGAATCCTCGACCCAGTAAACAATTTCATAAAACCTCAGCCTTTCGAACTTCTTCCAAAATGTGAATAAAACCCTGAAGCGATTATTTGTCAATTTGGATGAAAGATTTTCTCCCAAAACACGAGAAAATCTTCGACGAAAGCGTAAAATCTTGAGTGTTGATCCTCTCGTAAACGAAATCAATTGGAACCTAAAAAATAAATTGTTAATCAAGAATTCAATGTCCTCCTCTCTCCCTTTTAAGAGAAAAAATCCTCAACTCGAGACGATCCCCTTATTGAAAACAACAGAGCCAAAAATTCTCAAACTCCAAAAGTGATAAAAACTTCTAATTCACTCAACCAATCTCGAGTTACTGATGACTGAAAACGGCCCATTTTACCCATCTGTCCCCAATGAACCTGAGAAAACCCTCAACAACAGGTGATAACTCTCCCATAAGACCTCCAGAAGGCTCTACCCCATAAAAATCAGAACTCGCTCATCAAAAAAATTAAAGAAGAATGAGGAAAAGCCAAAGTAAAATGAACCTCCTTACATCATCAATATCTCCAGTTCAAGTGATACTCTCTGAAAAAATCACGTCTCATTTTGAAGCCTGAAAAAATGCCCTCAAAACGATGAAAAACTTCTAATTCACTCAAACAATCTCGAGCTACTGATGATTGAAAACGGCCCATTTTACCCATCTGTCCCCCATGAACCTGAGAAAACCCTCAACAACAGGTGATAACTCTCCCATAAGACCCCCAGAAGGCTCTACCCCATAAAAATCAGAACTCGCTCATCAAAAAAATTAAAAAAGAATGAGGAAAAGCCAAAGTAAAATGAACCTCCTTACATCATCAATATCTCCAGTTCAAGTGATACTCTCTGAACAAATCACGTCTCATTTTGAAGCCTGAAAAAATGCCCTCAAAACGATGAAAAACTTCTAATTCACTCAACCAATCTCGAGTTACTGATGACTGAAAACGGCCCATTTTACCCATCTGTCCCCCACCTGAACCTGCGAAACTCGTCAAGGTTATCACATCCCCGAATTTGGTTATCTGTCACCGTCTCCGGGTGCTGGGCAGGTGCACCATCCCCGACTCCCCCCGCGCCCCAGGGGAGCCAATGGAGAAGCCTATCGAGAGAGCAGCAGCCCGGAGCACAGAAAAATGTGTTGTAATGCCACGGTGTCACTCCAATGTTGTAGAGACCTCCACAGACACGATGTTGCGGCCGTGGCCAGGCCCCTCTGGCTCCTACCAGCGCCCTCCCTCACCTCATCGACGAGGAAAACGTTCCCTGGACCACCACAAAGCTCCCCCAACATCAATTAATCCTCACACTCGATTTTTCCACGTTTTTTTTCCATTTTCTTCACACGATTCTCTCGCACTTTTCGCTGACAGACGTACCTGAGCCGAAACACTGACACTTAAGTACTAATGGTCTTTTTTAAGGGCCACAAAAACCATTATTACGGGGGGGAATGTGAAATGTAATCGGAGTTTGGAAATTTGGAGGTCGTGAAAATCGCTGGAAAATCAACCTTCATCGGTCTTTTCTTCGATTGTTCGGTGCTAGTTGGGTTTTCCACCTCTGGGCTCAACTCTACTTGACTCTACTAACCCCCCCACCACCGCTACCTGAACGTTTTTCCTCCAACGTGCAAAGCAAAATGGCCGATGGGGGGGGATGTTGGTGACACATTGGAGGATTTTTTTTTTATTTTTTTGACGGGTTATCGGCCGCGAGAGGAGGGGTTTCAGGTTTTTTTATTGTTCCGGGGGTTTTTGGGGAGTTCGGAAAATGGGAATTGAGCGGAGGAGAGTCGCCGGGCTGACTTCGTCGGTCGCAGCGGGAGAGGCGCGAGATTTGAAATGGAGCGGTATGCTGACGGGTGGAAAATTACCAAGCAGCACAGTTCTGGAGGGTATCAGCAAGTATACCAAAAAGGCTTTCTAATGTCTGTCCAAAAAGGTAACTTGTGTCTAGAAGTTACCTAGAAGTTAAGTAAAAGTTATCGTATGACGGCAAGATTTGCTACTTCGATTGGTATTTATAGGAAAAATATTTCAGTAGCGAAGTGGTAAAGGGGTTTAAGTCGACTCATCTCTTAGTTGAGTTTTTGAAGAATATCTCGGAATCCAAAGGAGGTGACGAAATTTTCGTAATAACCTTTTTTCTAGAGCAAATTGAGTGCTACGAAAAAGGTGTTGACAAAAATTTAGCTATCTTCCATAGATTCCGAGGTATTCACTGAAAACTGGTCAATAGTCAAAATCGACTTAAACCGTTTTACCATTCGCTGCTGAGTTGAATTTTTAATAACGCTGAATTTAGGGGGATTTTTATGCACTTCGGTATTGACGAATCGGTTGATTTCTTTCATGTTGAATGGAATTCCGATTTTCTGGCTAGGGTAATGATAAGTGTAGCAAATTGGGATTATTCGGGCTGCTATTTTTCGGAGCTCTCGATCTATTGAAGATTCAATTGAATGTAATGTTCCATTTTCACAATCAGATGGGAAATTGAAGCTGCCATAGAACTCACTTTTGCTGAGTTTTCCAAGTGCACGTGATAATCCACAATTGAGATGCTGTTACTTGAATTTAAAAATTGTCAACAGTGCAAGTAGTTCTCAATTTTTTTTTGCTTGAAATAATTTTGAACGGTTGTAGTTAAACATCAGAGTTAAGTTCTCTGTCGGGGTTTCCATTCTTCACTAGTGTTGCACTGGGAATTTTCAGAATTCTAAAGAAAATTTGTAACAATTTTTTGACGCAAATGAATTGAGAATTTCAGGAGATGATATCGAAGGATATTTTTCATTAGGAATTTCGTAAGCTACAAAAAATGTCTTTTAGTATTTTTTCTCCGAGTCAGTTGCTCCGAAGATACTTTCGTAAATGGAGAAAGAATTTACATTTAACTTGGAGTATTTTCCAGTTTTACTAGAGAAATAATGAAAGACAATTCATTGGATTGCAAAATTGACGAATTGAAAAAAAAATACTGAAGATTTTCGCATTCAGAAAACATAAACTGTTGTTTCTCCCAATTTGCACGAGTTTTTTGACTAAAAAATTGATCCACAGAATTCCGTGACAAAAATTAATACAAAAATCTGGGGGTTCGTTTCCTCTCAATTGGCTTTTGATGTGAGCCGCTAGGAGGTCTAGCACAACACTCAAGAGTGACCCTCGTGACCCTTTATACCACTTGACGAACCCCATTCAAAAATCTGCAAGTTTGGAACCTTTTATATACTAAACCAGCAGCCCACAACCACTTGTGAGAGCGGATGATGAGACCATGACCTTATTATCCTTATTACCCTGGCTGTAGAAAGGCGCTCATTTTTCTAATTTTTGAACAAATTGTCTACCGAAAGTTTTCGATACTTTTCAAAATCAAAGCACATTAATCTCTGTGAAAATTTCGCAAAAAACGGTGGTCCTCTGTTACCCCTGCACCATAGCCAAATTTGGGAAAAGACATCTATCGACAGGATCAGTAATTGCGTGTTAACCCATTATGCAGCTAGACTAAGTAAGAGAGCCGCAGAAACATTCGATATTACCGACAATAGCTATTATTGTCTCATCAACTTAATAACCGTTTTTTCTGCTATTAGTAGTGCAGTAAAAATTGTAAGGGTGACATAAACTTTTCGAAAGGTTCAACTCGTGGTTTGGGATTTCGTATTGTTCTGCAATATGTAAATGTGGCAAAAAAGATGTACCTTGTGCAGAACAGGATTTTTTCGAAAAAGAAGAAGGGGCTTTATATGGCGTAGGAATTGCTGATTGAGTGTATTTGATTTTTTTTTGTATCATAATATCTCCATGAATGGAGTACCAAATGTTCAACGTCTTTTCCTTCCTGTCACAGGAATACCTGACCCGTCTCACCCGGAAGTTCAAAGGCGATTTTCTCGGAACTAAATTTTCAAGAATTTCACAAGACTGTTTACAGAATATTTCAAAAAGTTATTCACCAATCAATTTGAAATTTTTACCACCTATTTGACATCTACATATCTCTCGCTCCTCTAGTAACCTCAAAATAATAGCTAGTGGGCCTTATTATCCGAAAAGGCAAAATATTTCATCAATTTTTTCATTTATCCTATTTATTCTACTAGGGGACAGAGCCAGATGTTTGTTGAGTACTACAATATGCAATTTTCTTATTTCAGATGTGTTGGAACCTCAAAACTCCGTAATCAATCATTAAATCAGTGTTGGGGCCCGTCTACTTCGTCATCAAATCATCAATTCCAGATTGTTTGGGGGCATAGAAAGTTTTGTTACTTCACTAGTAGAAAGATAATAAAAAATAATGAAAAAAAATCAAATTTGTAACTTGTTTTTTCATATGAAATAAAAATTGTGGAAAAGTTCCATTTTCACTGCTCGGACAAGCGCAGACCCCCTTAACATTAAAAAAATCCTTCCGCCTATTCCAAATTACGACTTTCTCCACGTTTGGAAAATTGCTATTTTCTATTGTCACCATTGCATTGTTAAGGATCACAACAAATTTCTTCTTCGACCTCTCATAATCGATATCCTTGAAATTAAAATTCCCATAAGAAATTGGATTTATTTTCAAATTAATTTAAACAATAAAAACATAACAGTAAACATTTTCAAAAGGATTCACCTTCGATTTAGCTCTGGTAGCAGTATCACTACTCATGGATAATAATCTCAAAAAAACTCCAAAGTATCGCTCAATATATAAAAAAAATATTATAATTAATAATTAATTAATTATAATATAAAATATTAATTGAATAATAATTTTCTTCCCTCCCACCATCTCTAAATCATAATCATTCTCTTCATTTTTAGAAAATTGCTACTTTCGATTGTTATTACTGCATTGTTAAGGATCGAAATGTATCATATTTGACAATAATTTTGCAATTTTCTTGATTGCAATCGATTCAAACTCTTATAACAGATCTCCTTGAAATAAAAATTCCCACATAAGAAATTGGATTTATTTTCAAATTAATTGAACAATAAATTGTAATTATTTTCGGATTAATTTAAACAATAAAAACATAAAAGTCAACATTTTCAATAGAGTTCACCTTCGATTTAGCTCTGGTGGCAACACACTCCAGTCCTCAGTATCATAATACGCCCACATATCACGTACAAACCACAAAAAATCACAATGTACACACAGCGAATGTCGTTGAACCCGAAAAGCAAACAGAGTGAACTAAGAAATAGTGGGAAATATTTTCACATTAAGACCAGACCCACGTAAATCCAGGAGCCATTTTTCGGCTTTCATTGCAGAGTCGACAAGAATCGAAAAAAATGAGAAGTGAGTTATTCGTCTCCCACCGTCTTATCTCTTATCTCCTCTACCTGTGCTATCGCTTGGACTATTTTTGATTCATTTATCACACGATAAAGGAAAACTAAATGTAATCAAATTTTATTACTCATGTGTAACAGTCTTTTGGAATTTTTTATTATGATTTGGGTTCAGTGAACGATAAGAAACGTTTTTGGGGACTGCTGGGGGTTGGAAGGGGGCCCTATGATAAACAGTTGTCGTCTTGATTTCTTGGGGGTCGAACGTCGCTGTTACGCTTTACGCAGTCGACGAGCCAGTGAATCCCTTCGTCAACTCCATCCCTGATTGAAAATTAAAATGAGAATATTATTTCAAGTGGAAAGTGATGACGTTGCAGATATCAAGTGCATTATTGTCTTTAGAAGATTTGCGAATGAAGAACTTCAATAGAAAAATCCAGCCTAAGAAATTATATGACGTATTCCACGTCAAATGAGTCAATCGCTGACCCTCACCCTCTTGGACATTAATGGCGATTTTTTCTACGATCGGGGAGGTTGAAAAACTATCTCTCAAATTTTTTCAGATTTTTTCGGCCGCCCAATTCGGAGATGTGATTTTTTTTACATTTTTCCGTTTTTTCCAATAACTCGAGTTCTATTTGTCCGATTTTGATTTATTAAGCGTCAAAATTTTTCATTTTTTACCGCCTATACGACTGTTTTTAGTAATTTTTTTTTCCGATTCCTAGATGCTCATAATAACGAATTTTCGAGAAAAAAAGTTGAAAAATTTGAATTTTGCAAATTACGTCACGGTTGATATTCAAAATTTTTTTTCCACTAATTCTCATAATCAAAACAACTATTTTGAGCTGTCATTCAAGTTGGGCATCCTCCTGAATCTGTGTTATTTTTAATTTTTTCTTTTGGAAATTTCGCAAATTTGGTCAAAACATCACAAAACCACTTCGATTATGTATCGAAAAAATATGTAATATATAGGTATGCAATCAAATTCACTTCATACTGTCTATAATCAGAGTCAATCAACGCCATTTTGAGGTGTTGCGACCAAATTTACGGAATTTCAAAACGAAAAAATTGAAAATAAAATAGATCCAGGACGATGCCCAACTTGTATGATGGCTCAAAATACTTGCATTGATTATAAGAATTACTGAAAAAAAAATGAAACAAATCATCCGTGACGTAATTTGCAAAATTCAAGTTTTTCAACTTTTTTATTCGAAAAGTCGTTATTATGCGCATCTAGAGATCGAAAAAAAAATTCACTAAAAATATTCTTATAGGCAGTAAAAAATGAAAAATTGTGACGCTTAATAAATCAAAATCGGATGGATAGAACTCGAGTTATTGAAAAAAAACCGGAAAAACGAAACAAAAATCATATCTCCGAACTGGGCTGCCGAAAAAATCTGATAAAATTTGAGATATAGTTTTTCAACTTCCCCAATCGTGGAAAAATTCGCCATCAATTTCCAAGAGGGTGAGGATCAGCGGTTGACTAATTTGGCGTGGAATACCTCATAATATAGAATTTCTGTGGAAACTTCATAAGACTTTTGCAGTAAATTCGATCTTTGATGGAATTTAAAATAGCGTAATGCTTGGAAATAGCAATTTGTTAATTGTTATAAGTCTTACTTAAAAAGTAGACCTTTTGATATTTTTTATATTCATTTTTCTAATCGTTCATAATGGGATATTGAATTTACACCTTTAAAGTTTGATGAAGAAACGAAATTATTACAGAATCTTGAACGAGATTATAACGAAACAAAAATGGTGAAAAGACTTGAATATTCTGAAATTCTTGATTCCATCTTTTTTCCTTTCTAATTTCAGTGGCAAAACGGTAAAACGGTTTAAGTCGAATTTGACCATTTGCCAGTTTCTAATGATTATCTCGGAATCTAAGGGAGATAGCAAAATGTTTGTTATGACCTTTTTTGTAGCCTTCAATCTGCACTACAAAAAAAGTTATTATGAAAATTTCGCTATCTCCCTTAGATTCGGAGATATTCCTTGACAAATTTAATTGAACTTCTTCACTCTCAAAATATTCGTAAAATACGACATGCGTGAATTTCAGAGTTGTTCCATTTTAATACTTGAATTAAGTTAGTTTTTTAATTCTATTAAAAAACTGAAAATATCTTCTGGGTAAAAAAAATCGAAAGAATTCTGTAACTGGAAATTTCTTCAGTTACAGAAACAGTCTCTTCCCATTTTCTCTCGTTATTCTTTCGTTTTTTAGATAAAGCCACAACTGGAAAAAAACTTAATAATGGTTCTACCCCTTCGTTGATTTCTCTATATATTTAGGGAATGACGAATATATTTTACCCTTTTAATGCAGAAACTGGCATCACCATGCAGTCTCTTCTTCCAATCAAATGGGCATTGCGATTGAATATAGGTTTAACTTCTCTTATGCCCATTGAATCTAGAATATCCTGCTTGTTCGCGAGAACTAATAAGGGAACACCAGTCAAGTGCTCTGAAGATATCACTCGATCTGAAAACAAATTGATTCATTAATAAGTTAATCAAAACACTCTGGGAAAGTGTTTTAATATTTATTTTTAATTGAATTCATCACGAGAAGCTTGCGACTGGCTCGAGGGCCTTCATCCTGATATTTTTTTTATTTCTTTTAAGAAAAAAAGATAGATATTTAGATAATAGCTATTGTCCGCTTAAATAGGAAAAATAATAAGCAGTTTTACATTGTCATGGATGGGATAAGGATGAATGATATGTATAATTACCAAACGTTTCTTTGGAATCGGGAATCCTCTCACGATCTGAAGAATCTACGATGTAGATAACTGCGTGTGATTCAGCATAATACTGTGAAAGCAAAATAGAGTCAATTCAAATACAAGTTTTAAAGCTGAATGAATGGAAAATAGGGAGAAGCGCAGTAAAGTGAATCACCTCTGATGAAACGCCTTATAAACATTACAAGCAAAGTAAAAAGTATTTTATGTGCCCCACCCTCTCCTAAGGACTCACGAATTTTTTTATCAAATGCAATAATTTTTCATCACATAAAAAGGAGAATTTTTTCCCTTTGTGTTGAGCCTGGACTGAGATCAATTCAGCAGCGAAGTGGTCAAACGGTTTAAGTCAATTTATTCTTCAGTTGAGTTTTCCGGAAATATTTCCAAATTTAAGAGAGATAGCAAAATTTTCATAATAACCTTTTTTGTAGAGCGAATTGAGTGCTACTAAAACGGTTATGAGAAAAATTTTGTTATCTCCCTTAGATTTCGAGATATTCATTGAAAACCGTTTGACCACTTCGCTACTGAATTGGTAAATTTCTTTCTGAATTTAATGAACATTCAAAGAAAAGTAAAGTTCATTTTTATCCACCCTCTTCTATAGAAATGTTATGAATTAGATGAATATCCAGGGATGTAGAGGCCTTAATAGAAAATATAGAGAGACGTTTTCTTATATTTCAACTCGCTTATTATGAGAATAACTGAACAATGAGTTTAGAAAATTTAATTTACCTTGTCCCAGAGTGATTGCAACTCCTCTTGACCCCCCAAGTCCCAGAAATTAAGTCTCACACCATCGATATCAATTTTTCCAATATTGAGACCAACTGTCGTTGTTATTTTGCTGGGATTCATTCCTTTGTAATTCTTCGTGAATTTCGTTTTAGCAGCCTCCAAATAGGTCTGGACAGAAAATTTAAAAATTCAATTGCATGATCTGAAATTGAACAATTACGAGTAAAATTATGAAATAGTAGTCAATGATTCAAAGATATTAATGAGTATTTTACTCTCGGCAATCGAATCCTTGATTGAAGACGATTGTTGAAAATCTAAGAGGAGTAATTGAAGAAGGGGCAACTACTTTTCAATGGAAAATGAACAACTCATCTTCAAACATGTAAAGAAAAAATACAGTGATCATTTTCATTCCATTTTATTTCCATACGGATCCACCAACACAATCCCAACGAGTCTAGGGCAATATTTCCCTCGTCAACATTTCTCCTCTAAATTAAAAAAAAATTCCAGTCGATGATTCCAGTCAATTCTCAAAATTTACAATTTTGTACGTGAATAAACCCTTACTAGTCCTACAATTTTCAAGATTTCTCAATGTTTTTTTTTGTGTATTCGATATGAGTTTGTGCAAAATATATCTATGGAATTTGAAATAACTCCACTCCTTCTGTTAAATAACAAATAAATGCTATTAAACGATGAAAATTTCATATTTCATATGTACAGTTACATAAAGAAAGAATTGAAAGAATGCTTCTGTTAAATAAAAAAATGTTATTGAAAAATGAATATTTTATGATGATTCATGCCTACATTTTTTTACATAAAGAAAGAATTGAAAAATCCTTTTGTTAAATAAAAAAATTATGTTATTGAAAACTGAAAATTTCATGATGTTTCATGCCTCTATATTTTTTTACATAAAAAAGAAATTGAAAATTTCTTCAGTTAAATAAAAAATGAATGCTATTAAACAATAAAAATTTCATGTTTCATGCCTATATTTTTTTACATAAAGAAAGAATTGAAAAATCCTTTTGTTAAATAAAAAAATGTTATTGAAAACTGAAAATTTCATGATGTTTCATGCCTCTATATGTTTTACATAAAAAAGAAATTGAAAATTTCTTCAGTTAAATAAAAAATGAATGCTATTAAACAATAAAAATTTCATGTTTCATGCCTATATTTTTTTACACAAAAAGTAAATTGAAAAATCCTTTTGTTAAATAAAAAAATGTTATTGAAAACTGAAAATTTCATGATGTTTCATGCCTACATTTTTTACATGAAAAAGAAATTTAAAATTTCTTCAGTTAAATAAAAAATGAATGCTATTAAACAATAAAAATTTCATGTTTCATGCCTATATTTTTTTACACAAAAAGTAAATTGAAAAATCCTTCTGTTAAATAAAAAAATGTTATTGAAAACTGAAAATTTCATGATGTTTCATGCCTCTATATTTTTTACATAAAAAAGAAATTGAAAATTTCTTCAGTTAAATAAAAAATGAATGCTATTAAACAATAAAAATTTCATGTTTCATGCCTATATTTTTTTACACAAAAAGTAAATTGAAAAATTCTTTTGTTAAATAAAAAAATGTTATTGAAAACTGAAAATTCATGATGTTTCATGCCTCTATATTTTTTTACATAAAAAAGAAATTGAAAATTTCTTCAGTTAAATAACAAATGAATGTTATTAAACAATAAAAATTTCATGTTTCATGCCTATATTTTTTCCACAAAAAGTAAATTGAAAAATTCTTTTGTTAAATAAAAAAATGTTATTAAAAACTGAAAACTTCATGTTTCATGTCTACATTTTTTACATAAAAAAAAATTAAAAAATCCTTTTATCAAATAAAAAACTAATGTTATTGAAAACTGAAAATTTCACAATGTTTCAGCCTCCACTTTTCTCACAAAATGACAAAATTTTAAAAAATTCCGAAATTTCCCACAAGCCCTTCCGCTACTAGAAAAAAGCGGTGTGACATAATCTCAAACTACCCCTGACTCCTGCAACCTGCACATCCGCGGAAAAAATTTCGCAAAAACCCCTTGCGTTCCACCCCACTCCGCTCCAAAAACCGCCCCCTGACAATCGCCACTCAACCCTAACCTAAACCCCGAACTCACCGTTTTGCCGGCATTATCAAGCCCGAGAATGAGCACAAAATACTCGTCCTTCTGCACCAGATACTTGTAGAATCCATTCAACAGCGTATACATCTTGAGGAACAATAGCACCCCATGAATCCAATCTTGTCGTCCGCCAGTCTCCCATCAAAATAAACACACCATCAGACCTCGTCATCGCAGATCGCCCAATCACAATCTCCAATTGCCCCCCACTCTGTCGCCCATAAAACTCGGCAAGAGCCGTCCAATGGCACTTCAAACCGAACGATGACGTCAGGAGGTCTCCAGCCACCCGAAGAAATTCACTGTGGCAGAAATCTACGGAAAATCGGTAGTAGAAATCAGTCTGTGCACCCTGCGGTGCAGTAAACCTCTCAAAGATTAACTGACAAACTGCCTAAATCGTCGATAAATCGCTACAATAAAAATTAAATGAACAATGACCTCGGAGTGATCGAAAAGTGCCCAAAAAATCGTAAACGAACCTGAAGAAGTGATAATTTCCCATCGAGTCATCGACTAAAATCGACAGAATCATCATCATCAGTGATCGATCGACAATCATTGATGAGCAGATGACCTCAGAGTGATCGCAAATTTTGACTGAAAGTGACAGAAATCGAGAGTGTGAAGTTGTCGAGGGGAGATCAATAATTCAAGATGAGCACGATGACAGTTCTGTGTCAGTCGAGGGTTAATTTGGGAGCTTTTGTCCTGGGGGGAGGGTTCAAGTGCTGTTCGAGGGGGTGGCTGGGGCACAGGAGGATCTCCGGAGGGAAGAGGAGGCTCGGAGCTGCCATCGGAGCGACAGCTAGTCCTGGCACACTTCCTGGAGCACTCTCCAAGCAGCAGGCGAAGGAACTCGCTGTTAAACTTACTAATGACGAGCGGACGGTGTTGATTCATGCTCTGCAGGAGTGCCAGTCGGAGAAGACCAGGGCGGAGTATGAGGGTGAGTTTATTCACTAGAGTTTGCGTTTTATGGGGATTAGGGCAATAAATAGGGGAGGTTGGGGTAAAATGGACACTTTTGACTTTTTTAAAAATATTAGTGACGGGTTGAAATGTTGATGAAATTTAATCTTTTTTTTCAATACAAAGAACAATTCTTTCCCTTTGTGATGAGCCTAAATTGAGCTCAACTCGTAAATTTGTTTCTGAGTTATGAATATTTTTAAAAAAGTCTAGAGTGTCCATTGTACCCTACTCTCCCCTATAGGGGAGGATGAGGTAAAATGGACACTTTTGCCTTTTTTTTAAATATTCATAGCTCAGAAACAGATTTATCAATTGAGCTCAGTCTAAGTTCATCACAAAGAGGAATCATTGTTCTTTCTATTGAAAAGTGAAATTATTCCATTTCATGAACAATTCAACGCGTCATGACCTTTTTACAAAAAGTCAAAAGTGTTCAGTTTACTCCACCCTCCCCTATATTGAATTAGAGCAGGGTGGGGTAAAACGGACACTTTTGACTTTTTTAAAAATATTAGTGACGGGTTGAAATGTTGATGAAATTTAATCTTTTTTTTTCAATACAAAGAACAATTCTTTCCCTTTGTGATGAGCCTAAATTGAGCTCAACTCATAAATTTGTTTCTGAGTTATGAATATTTTTAAACAAGTCTAGAGTGTCCATTGTACCCTACTCTCCCCTATAGGGGAGGATGAGGTAAAATGGACACTTTTGCCTTTTTTTTTAAATATTCATAGCTCAGAAACAGATTTATCAATTGAGCTCAGTCTAAGTTCATCACAAAGAGGAATCATTGTTCTTTCTATTGAAAAGTGAAATTATTCCATTTCATGACCAATTCAACGCGTCATGACCTTTTTACAAAAAGTCNATCATTATCATGTACAGTAAATTGTTCCGTTTGTGCTGCGATGGGAGTGGAAGTACGGAAGTTCAGACGTTTGTACCCACATCAAAACTTCACGAACTACATATGGAATCCATTACGATGATTTTACGGTTGATAAAAATGGAATCAGGTGATTTGATGAGAATAATAATGATAATAATAATAATAATAATAATAATAATAATAATAATAATAATAATGAATAATTTTCGTTGGTACAAACGAGTACTAACCATTTAGATNACTTTACCCGCTTCTAAAATCTTAAATGTATGAAGGACGTCAGGAAAACACAGATAGTNAAGTATTGAAGGGGTTGATAAATGAAATGGAAAAATATACAAGTACTATCCATGCTGAATCCTTGCTCATGAAAATTTTTTCCGTACCTTCATTTCCGACGCTACACGATTTTTCCCGCACCTCTTACGTCTAGGGGTGCGGGGTACAAATGAAAATGAATGTAGTACATTCAGGTACTCACTGAGTACAATCGATACTATAAGAAAGACAATCGATTTATCAAACTTCGACTCCAATTTCACACAGCTCTCAGAAACAGATTTATCAATTGAGCTCAGTCTAACTTCGTCACAAAGAGGAATCATTGTTCTTTCAATTGAAAAATGAAATTATTCCATGTTATGAACAATTCAGCGCGTCATGAACATTTTTAAAAAAGTCAAAAGGGTTCATTTTACTCCACCCACCCCTATATTGAATTAGGGGAGGGTGGGGTAAAACGGACACTGGACTTTTTTTTATTATTCATAACTCAGAAACAAATTGATCAATTGTGCTCAGTTCAGGCTCGGCACGAAGGGAAAGAATTGTTCTTTGTATTGAGAAAAAGAATATTGAATTTTATCAACATTTCAACCCCTCATTAGCATGTTAGAAAAAGTGAAAAGTGTCCGTTTTACCCCAACCTCCTCTATACCGACAGAAAAAATTAATTTTATCAAGAGAATTTATTTGAAGCAACCATCATTTGGTTTTTAATTTTCGAATAAACATGATTTCAGGGTGAATTCCAGGTATCTCTTCTTGAGATACATTTGATTGGGAGAAATCGAACTTCTCTAGAATTGAAGTTTCTTTTATTTATCGTAATAATGAGAGTATTTGATTTCTTTCTAGCCAAAAGTTTGCCAACTCCAGAAATTCGTTGGTTTACTCAAAAATAAAAATTATTCTCATGACCAAATACGTTGTTATCTCAATCAACACGATCATACGTTGTCCCAAGTAAATTATAATTGAAGTGAGCATTTCGTATGTCGAATCAGGATGAATATTGTTACGCGGAAAAAGCTTTGAGATTGTAGTAAGATGTCGTTGAGTTGAAAGAAGTTTATATTTCTTGACTAAAAAAATCGCATTAGTTTACAATAACAGAATCACAGATTACGGCAATTCTACACAAACATGGACATCACAAATTTCGTTCAATGTGATGTACGGAAAGCTCAATTTAAACATCGGCTTCATTCGAGATAACAACATTCAATTCATTCCTCAATGTAATCATCTCCCAGGTACGAATTTGTGATCAATTCATGAAAGTAGAAAATTTCTCGACTGGAGATTATATTAAGTTTAAAAAAATAGAACTTTTCCATTTTTGTGGTGAATACCTGTGACTTGACGCCAAGGACTGCTTTATTTGATTCAAGTAAATGTATCTCAAGAAGAAATAATTGATATTCACCCTAAGCTCTTATTTATTTGAAACTGGTTCAAGTATATAATACTTGCTCCAAGGAAGAAACATCTCAATAAAAATAATTTTCTCTATCAGTGGAGGGGACAATTTTTTTGTCAATAAACACTTATAATTCCCATGGCATAAATTATAATTTCAAGAGGAAACTACAATTTTTTTCGACGAAAACTGTATTATTAGGAAAACTAAATAATTTCGAGGAAATAATTTTTTTTTTTTGGGAAAAATATTCTTTCTATGGTATAAACCTGTGGAGTTCTCTGAGATCAAATGATTGTCGCACAATAGATTATATTTTTTCCTGCTAACAGTTAAAATTCTTCTATTAGGGATATTTCTGATGATCACGACAAAAATTTAATTTCTTGAAAGATATTAAATTTCCTTCTATTAAGTTGATTAGTTTCCCTCAAGTAAATTTGTTCCACTCCATAAAATATTCTCACGTGGAACATAGTTTTTCGACAGAGATAATTTTTTCCCTCAGTATATGTCATGAACAAATCAGTAACGAAGCGGTAAAATGGTTCAAGTAGATTTTGACTATTAACCAGTTTTCAATCAATATCTCGAAATCTAAGGGAGATAGAAAAATTTTGGTCATTACCTTTTTTGTGGCTCTTAACTCGCTCTACAAAAAAGGTTATTACCAAAATTTCATTATCTCCCTTAGATTCGGAGATATTCCTCGAAAACATCAGATGAGAGCAAAGTTGATTTGAACCGTTTTACCGTTTCGCTACTGAAATGATAAGATTTTAATTAGTCCGGCAGTGTTTTTAGATGTGAAATAATGGCTCTTTAATGAATGAAAAAATGTTAATTTTCATTCTGACGATCTCAGGTTATTAGCAGAGCCGGACACTGACCCCAAGGTACAAATGGTATCTTTATTAGTCTACCCAGGGTTGCGGCCATACTGACTCATATATCGACTGACACATGACAATTAACTAGTTAGATGTAATGTGACTGTCATAAATTTTTCTGTTACAAAATCTTGTGACAAATTTTCAAATTTCCCCGGTTTTTCGTTTCCAGGGAAACTTTTAGCCAGGGAAATTATTATATTTCGATACAAGTGCGTAAAAATGTTTTTTGTCATTCCGGCCATGAGGCAGCGCTTCACGGACGCCTCGCCTTCGGCTCGGGCTGCAAACTCATATTCGCCAGAAAAGTATTTTTCGGCCTAGTGACGAAATATACTATTTTACACTCGTGGGACGTGTGTAGCGGTCGCCGAAGGCGAGTACTACCCTCCCGAGCGTCAAAGGACACTTTTTCCGCGACTGTCGAACATTATTTTTCACAGAGTGTGAAAAGTAGATTTTTTTGCATGCGCAGCGCGCGTAAAATTTCACTTTACACACAAGTGGTGAAACAGAGAGTGTCTGTTCCCACGAGTGTCGAGCCCTATTTTTCATTACAATATGCAAAAAGTGGGATTTTGTGCACATGTAAAATTTCATTTAACGCACAAGTGATGAAACAGAGAGTTTCTATTCTCACGAGTGTCGATTGCTATTTTTCATTACAACATGCGAAAAGTGGGATTTTGCGCACTTGTAAAATTTCATTTAACGCACAAGTGATGAAACAGAGAGTTTCTGTTCCCACGAGTGTCGAGCCCTATTTTTCATTACAATATGCGAAAAATGGCATTTTGCGCACTTGTAAAATTTCACTTTACGCACAAGTGATGAAACAGAGAGTTTCTGTTCCCACGAGTGTCGAACCCTATTTTTCATTACAACATGCGAAAAGTGGGATTTTGCGCACTTGTAAAATTTCATTTAACGCACAAGTGATGAAACAGAGAGTTTCTGTTCCCACGAGTGTCGAGCCCTATTTTTCATTACAATATGCGAAAAATGGCATTTTGCGCACTTGTAAAATTTCACTTTACGCACAAGTGATGAAACAGAGAGTTTCTGTTCCCACGAGTGTCGAACCCTATTTTTCATTACAACATGCGAAAAGTGGGATTTTGCGCACTTGTAAAATTTCATTTAACGCACAAGTGATGAAACAGAGAGTTTCTGTTCCCACGAGTGTCGAGCCCTATTTTTCATTACAATATGCGAAAAATGGCATTTTGCGCACTTGTAAAATTTCACTTTACGCACAAGTGATGAAACAGAGAGTTTCTGTTCCCACGAGTGTCGAACCCTATTTTTCATTACAACATGCGAAAAGTGGGATTTTGCGCACTTGTAAAATTTCATTTAACGCACAAGTGATGAAACAGAGAGTTTCTGTTCCCACGAGTGTCGAACCCTATTTTTCATTACAACATGCGAAAAGTGGGATTTTGCGCACTTGTAAAATTTCATTTAACGCACAAGTGATGAAACAGAGAGTTTCTGTTCCCACGAGTGTCGAACCCTATTTTTCATTACAACATGCGAAAAGTGGGATTTTGCGCACCTATAAAATTTCACTTTATGCACAAGTGATGAAACATACTATTCTAGCGCTCCCTAGCCACACCTCAATGACCTAAAAAAATCAAAATTAATCTACGAAAAGCGGAATGTGATTAATAAGAGTTTACCACAGGTCAATTGGCAGCATTTCGCTGGCGGAGTAAATTCGGCAGACCCAGCAGTGTTCCCACACTGGGAGACGTCGACCCCACTGGGAGTTACTGTGCAGTACCCGACGACTGGCTACTCAAAAAGTATGGTACGAGTGTCTTAATAAAAAAAATGTTGATTTCAGCTTTCGAGGGAGGCAGCGGTGGTGGTGGGCGCTATTAACCCCTTTCAAGAATCTTCCTCAATTCATCTGATGGCGAAAAAGTTTCTTGAAGCTCTCATCAACCCAAAAACTCAATTAATCAATGAATCAATCAATTTTTCCTTCAAATTTAATTCTCAGAAATTCTGAAAAGAACATGAATTTGCTATTTTTCGGAGCAATATTTTTTTTTTAATAAATAAACAATTACTCTTCATGTTCAGGAATGACATAAGTTCAAGGAACTTTTTTAGAAGATTAAAAAATAACTTGTGCTGCTAAAATTAATATCTGGAATTTGGAATGTTTTTGCGGAAAGAATAATCAATTTTTGATACTAATATTGAACTATTGCTTTAAGCGGATCCCTGGGGAGAACAGTGTAAGCTGGCATGCACCTAAATGTTAGAATAACAAAAAAAAAACAGACATAAAAATGAACAATCTAAGTGTGATTATTTTCTGTTTGTTTAGAGAATTCTCACTGTCCTCTGCCTTCCACCCAAGCTCTGGGCACATTTCTATGATTTATCTATCGTTTGTTGTTCCCAATTATTTATACGAAAATTACTATTCATGGAATCTGTCTTACTGACACAGGCTGTCTCCTTTCTGCTTTACCTATCACACTGGACAAAAAATATCTAATTCTGTAAGTCTGCCTCAACTACATCTTTTTCTTGGATTATTTGTACTTTTATCGTGGAATCACACGGAGCTATGGAATGACGCATGACAATACTCGTATTTTTGGTTAAGAAATAGGTATTTTTGTGGAGTGGGAACGAAGAGATGAGTTCAGACACCGTGAGGTTATTTTTTTTCTCTTATTCCTACTTATATTTCATTATATTGTGATTTATTTTTGCTTCACGTATGAAAAAATTCAAGAGAAAAAATAACGAATTGCCTAGAAAATTCTATTGGAATTCTATAGGAATTCTATGGAGTTTTTGTAGGAAATCCTGTAGAAACCCCATAGAATTCCTACACAATTCCAATAGAATTTTCTAGCGAATTCGCTAGGTTTTCTATTAAATTTTTTCATGCGTGTTTCCTTGATAAATACTCGCGCATGACCACATTGTCAACTCAATTAGAAATAAATGAAAAAAATTGTGAGTTTAAAAAAAAAATCTCAAAAAATCTTTTCCATCGGAATAACGAAGAAATTATTCCCCTGGATTGAAAGAATTTTTCTGCAGTTCGAGTCTATTCATTTTTTTCATTTTATTGATGGAAATTATTTAAGCATTTTGGAGACTTTGTAAGAGCTTGAGAATGATGGCTATAGTGTCTCAATAAAAATTTCATTCATCAACTGAAAATCAAATCGATCATTGCGATTCATTCTCATCAATTTCGTCGCATTCATTAATCATTCGGATCTTTTTGTTCATCGGAAACGGGGTCCATCTATCATGCGGTCATTGAATGAACGTTTTTCAAGGACCCATGAATTATCATTTTTTATGTTGTTTTCAGTTGAAACAGTACCACAGCCACAACGGAAAGATCTGATGAGAGGTAAATATTTAAAAAACAGTTACACTGAACTTAGAATTTTAAGGCACGGAGAGAAATTGTTTAGAAAAATTCTAGTGCTAGCACCAGAAAAAAGGCGCAAAGTGACGGCCAGGAAAAAATTTCAGTGCCGGCACTAGAAATTTGATTGGGGAAAACGCGAATTTTTCCTCGCATTCCTGTGAGCATTTCACAGAAATCCCCCGAAATTTTACCAAAAATACCAAGAAGTTTTACCTGAACAGCACTAGAATTTTTTACAGCCGGCGGATTGTGATTTTTTCCAATACTCGTACTAGAATTTTTCTGTACGCATTGCGTATAGAAATTCTATAGGATTTCCGTATATGATATTCGGATATTTCTATACAAATATTTTCTGTACGAATTATTTCAGTAGCGAAGTGGTCAAACGGTTTATTAAGGGGAGACTACTATGAGTTTTAAAAATTCCATGACTATTTAACACAAAACAAATTCAACACACAAATTAAACACGCTACAACTCAACACATAGGCAATTCAACACAGAACAAATTCCTCACAACATGAATTCAACAATACATTCACTCAGTACATAATCAATGAGTTTATTTGCTTCTTCATAAAAAATTCATATGTAAAATTCATATGTAATTTGTATGTAGTTCGTGTTAAAAAAACTATGTGTTGACAAAACAATGTGTTCAATACACTATATGTTGACTTAACAATGTGTTGAATTGACTGTGTGATGAAAAAATTTGTGTTCAATAGGCTATGTGTTGAGTTGATGTGTTGTGTTGAATTTGCATAGTGTTAAATAATCCTGCCACCGTTTTAAAAGTCGTGGGTTATTGGAGTGAGGCTTTTCATTCGTTGAAGATGGATTATATAGATCTGAAAACGAATAATTAGTGCAAAAAAAAATTTATTAGTGTTCGTTTGCCCGAAAACTCTTAAAATGCTAAAAACAGTCCAGAGCCTCCAATTTTTGAGCTACAAAAGATTTTTTTTTTCCAAATTTTCGGAAAAATGTGTGGAACAACAATTACGAGCCAGTTTTTTGGAAGTCGACTCCTATACAGCGGATTTCGATTTTTTCATATAAAAAAATTCACTATTTGTGTAAAAAAAATTAAAAAAAAAGCAAATTTAGCTATGTAAGAGGCGAATTAGAAAAAAACTAACTCGTAATTACTATTCCACACNGGCGCAAAGTGACGGCCAGGAAAAAATTTCAGTGCCGGCACTAGAAATTTGATTGGGGAAAACGCGAATTTTTCCTCGCATTCCTGTGAGCATTTCACAGAAATCCCCCGAAATTTTACCAAAAATACCAAGAAGTTTTACCTGAACAGCACTAGAATTTTTTACAGCCGGCGGATTGTGATTTTTTCCAATACTCGTACTAGAATTTTTCTGTACGCATTGCGTATAGAAATTCTATAGGATTTCCGTATATGATATTCGGATATTTCTATACAAATATTTTCTGTACGAATTATTTCAGTAGCGAAGTGGTCAAACGGTTTATTAAGGGGAGACTACTATGAGTTTTAAAAATTCCATGACTATTTAACACAAAACAAATTCAACACACAAATTAAACACGCTACAACTCAACACATAGGCAATTCAACACAGAACAAATTCCTCACAACATGAATTCAACAATACATTCACTCAGTACATAATCAATGAGTTTATTTGCTTCTTCATAAAAAATTCATATGTAAAATTCATATGTAATTTGTATGTAGTTCGTGTTAAAAAAACTATGTGTTGACAAAACAATGTGTTCAATACACTATATGTTGACTTAACAATGTGTTGAATTGACTGTGTGATGAAAAAATTTGTGTTCAATAGGCTATGTGTTGAGTTGATGTGTTGTGTTGAATTTGCATAGTGTTAAATAATCCTGCCACCGTTTTAAAAGTCGTGGGTTATTGGAGTGAGGCTTTTCATTCGTTGAAGATGGATTATATAGATCTGAAAACGAATAATTAGTGCAAAAAAAAATTTATTAGTGTTCGTTTGCCCGAAAACTCTTAAAATGCTAAAAACAGTCCAGAGCCTCCAATTTTTGAGCTACAAAAGATTTTTTTTTTCCAAATTTTCGGAAAAATGTGTGGAACAACAATTACGAGCCAGTTTTTTGGAAGTCGACTCCTATACAGCGGATTTCGATTTTTTCATATAAAAAAATTCACTATTTGTGTAAAAAAAATTAAAAAAAAAGCAAATTTAGCTATGTAAGAGGCGAATTAGAAAAAAACTAACTCGTAATTACTATTCCACACATTTTTCCAAAAATTTTGAAAAAAAAAATCCTTCGTAGCTCAAAAATTGGAGGCCCTGGACTGTTTTTGGCATTTTAAGTGTTTTCAGGCAAACGAACAACAAATTTTTTTTTTTGCACCAATTATTCGTTTTCAGATCTATATAATTGATCTTCAACGTGCGAAAAGTCTCACTCCAATAACCCACGACTTTTAAAACTCATAGTAGTCTCCCAGTCATTCATATTGCTCGGAATAATTGATTTCGATTATTTTTTGCAGTGGCTGTCGCTAATGCGATTCCATTCATTGGATTTGGATTTCTCGATAATTTTATCATGATTATTGCCGTGAGTACTTCATAGTTTTCTTCTGAACATGCGGAATGCGATTAAAAATTTGATTTTCAAATGTCAGGAATTACTTGAAAAAATATTAAAATCATGTTGAATTATTTCGATTTTTCGACAGATAATGTTTTTCGGTCATGGAAATTTATGCGAGTTAACTCATTTCATTTCGTGACTAATGGAAATTGAAGACCTGAAATGATTCATTTGATGATGGAATAGTACGAAGAGATAATTTGTATAATGTGATGAAGACTAGCCCGCAAATATCCGGGACCGGTTCAGGAGGATTCAGTGGCTGAATAGATAAATGATATTGACTTCTTCGACTTTCGTAGGGAGAACAAATCGAAACATCGGTTGGTGCTGTGATAGCTATATCTACGATGGCAGCAGCCGCACTGGGCAATACAATATCGGACATTCTGGGGATTGGATCGGCGTATTACGTTGAATTACTCGCGCAAAAAATTGGATTCCAACCGCCCAGACTGACACCGATACAACTCGATCTGCCCAAATCGAGATTAGCAGCTAATTTGGTAATTCTACTTTAATTTGAGGGGAGAATTCTCTGGATTTTTTAACTCTGTCGCACTGAAATCTAGCGAACAAAAGATCCTGGATACAAGTGTTACATTATATTTTTAGTAAATCTAAAAAAACAAGTGGGAAATTGCTCTTATGTTGTATATAGTATAGTTTTTTGCTAATAAATTAGCAATATGCTTCCGAATGGTTATTTTGTACTTCATTTCCTTCTATCATGGATAATTCATTATTTATTTCATTTTATTATATTGAATAAGATTTCTTTTTAACTAATTTTGTCAGATTTTCAACTTAGTTTTTTTGGTTTTGGTTTGGTTTTTTTTGTTTTTTTTCCTGGGCTGCTATTAATGAATTCAAACCTCTTTGAAACATCTCATATTATATGATGGATGCTCACATAGATCTACGGGTGTCCCCAATGGCACCTTTTCTTCTGAAGACATGTTAATTTAAAGATTAAATTTATCAAGGTATTAAAATTAAATTCAAGAGTGCATGGAAAGGCATAATTATCAAGCCCTACCAGCACTTAGCATGACCCAGAAGTATGAACCCCACAACGCCCTAATAATATAAACGGTGTTTCTTTTTTTTCAACTAATTTTGTCAGATTTTCAACTTAGTTGAATGTGATCATCATCATTATTCTTATTATCCCTTTCTTCTACACAACCGATTGTCTTTTTTACGGTTCTATATCTCCCCTCAGCCCTTCGATAAAATGTTAATAGCAAAATTTTATTTACACATACTTGAATGAATTTGAAACATCAAATTTGAAGAAACCATCAGAAAGCTCGCTTTCAGGGAAATTCATGAAAAATTCGAAATTTTCAACAATCATCATCAAAATCAAATCAACCAATATAGCTATCGTAATCATCTTTTAAGTTCGACTCAATGGCATCAAAACAAACATTTTAGGCTATGATTGAATTCGTTTGAAGCATGATATTCAAAGATATCCCCGGAATTCTGATTTAAAAAAAATACAAAATTTTTGCAAATTTTCAAATAAATCAAAATAACGATTATTGCTATCCCCTTCATCTTCGAACTCGTTCAAAAGGACATCCAAACAATTTTTTAGAGCCATTATTCAATCAATTCAGAATATTTTTTTAGTTATCGTGAGTCAACCGGTTTTCGAAAAAATTCGAAAGTTAAAAAACTAATCGATGAATCAATTTTTAATTAATGACGATTGATAGGGCTCAACAATATCTACATTTCAAGAAAAAAAAGATTCAATTCCATCCATTGATTGGCGAATAAAAGAAAAAAAAATTTGTTACATGCGTACACACCTAGTCATGTTTAGAAATTCTTCATTATTAAAAGTATATCACCTGATACCTTGACTCCACCTGATACCGTTGAATTAATGTTCAATTATTCCAGCATTTTATCCTTTTTAAAATAATATTCATAAATAAAAACAGCGAATTCAGCAAAAACCAAAATAATAAAATAAAATAATAAGGAAAATTAATTTCCAGGGTCGAGTTATTGGAGTAACAATTGGCTGCATGTTAGGAATGACTCCACTCCTCTGGTTACACACGGAGTCCAAAAAAGACGACAATCCCGCCGAAGAAGACGCAAAATAAACAATAATTGACAAATAAAAGGGCATCAACGTTTTTTCGCATGACTCAGTCAGTCACTTTGTTAATAGTCGCCACACCCCGAGAACTCAGATAATTTATAAACAAAAAATAACTTGCTAAGCATCACGTCCATGTAAATGTTTGCTTTATGTACGTAAAAATGTATATAGTATATCCATTGTTACGAAGAGCGTTGTAGAGTTTCTAATTATTATTATTTTTAATAACATTTTTATTCATTTTTACCTTCACTACTGATTTTGTAACTCCCTCTAGAGACGAGAATAATTTTTCTGTGAATTAGTTGAGAAAAAAATGAATAGAAACGACACATTAGGGAATTGAAAAGGTAGAAGTGTCCAATTTAAGAACTTTGGAAGAAATTGGGATATAGATGAGTTAATGTGGACCAAGGAATTGAAAAATTGTAACAATAAAAATTCTATTGTTTAGTGGATTGGTAGCGAAAGATGAGTCTGAAAGATTTGGAGATATGTGTGTAATTAATAGAACTGTCTGAGCGAACATTTTCTCTCGAGATAATTGTTCGCAGTACTATAGATCGATATTTGAACTCATTTTCTTTGAGAGACGTTACTGTATTATTGAAGAACAAATGCATTTATGCCAGTTTTCGTATTGAAATAGGGCAGGAATTGAAAAATACCTGATTTAGGCAATCCTGAATTTGTTAAACGTACTGTTAAATTATGATTTTATTGAAATATTTATTTCTGAAATAAATGAAAAACAAAATTCTCTGGTAGAAATTTTTCTGAAAATTTACAGTCGTCTGGACCCATTAGTTGTCAGTCAATCATTTTTAATTGATCAGTTGATCAATTAAAAACCGAGAGGACGATTTTCCAAATAGGGTTCAGTTGATATCCTCTGTCCCTCTGTCCCTGTTGAAGAATATGTAAGAAGACCTTTTGGAGATTCCAAAATTGTCATTGAAAACATTTTCTGACATTCTCCATCAATTCAGTAGCGAAGTGGTAAAAGGAGATGAGTCAGTTTTGACTATTGACGAGTTTTCAATCAATATCTCGGAATCTAAGGGAGATAGCACAATTTTTGTAATAACCTTTTTTGTGGAGCCGATTGAGTGCTACAACAAATGTAACTACGTAAATTTCGCTATCTCCCTTAGATTTGCAATTATTCCTCAAAAACTCAACTGGGAGATAAGTCGACTTGCCACTCCGTTTACCACTTTACTAATTGTTCATTCCCGAAACAAAATCTTTTCGAAAATATGTAATCAAATCCATAAATTCTGAATTTCGGAAATCTGGAAAACCGGCAATTGTCAGTGAATTTGACTGAATTGGAAATGTCAGAGAAAAGTCAAGGAATTATAACTTTCTGGAATTTTAAAATTTGAAACTTGTTTTCTCCAACTCCCCAAATTTTTGGGAATTGGTCTGTTCACAAAAAACATTGTCCTGGAATTTGATTTCATATTTATTTAGAAAAGTGGGATGTTCACATTTTCCCGTGGGACGAGACTGGGAACTCAGTGTTTTGAGAATTGAAAGGCATTCTGCCTTTCAATTTCATTCGGCAACGGAGTTAATGTGCGTGGATCCATTTATTGCTCATTGATTATCAACGTCCGGTGATCCTCATTTTAACATTTTTTCATTCAAAAAGACGTTTTCTATGCTCAGGAAATTTCATCAATGTGACTGGGAAAAGTCAGGGAATTTTGTTGAAACTTCCAGATGAACACCCTGTAATTGAATAAAATACAACTATAAAAAAAACATCGCCATCAAGAAAAAAACAGGGTTCAACCCCCAAAAATCTCAAGCCACAAATTTTCCCAATTACAACTTTATTACTCTCAAATAATCAGAGTCCTAAAATATTCACTCTCAAGATAAATAAAAAACGAAACTACTTGTTAGTCGCTCTTCACATCTCCTCAGCTCAATGCATTAGTACAAAAAATATATTTTTTACATTTTCATGATAAAAAATGCTCCTACACCCCTCATTAGCCATGATTTTCTCATCCCTCGGTCTCATCCTCCGATAGAAATTTTCGAGACCAATTCCACGTAATACTGCCACGAGCTGGAGCCCTGGAGGCCCTCCTTGAGTGTTTCCTTCCAGTTGATCTCAGTGACAAAATCGTTCCATGACTTGTGATCACCAATGAGCACCTGAGAATTCGTAACAAAAGATCCCACAGGATTTTGCAACGGAATTGCAATTTTCTTCAGCTGATTCTTGTTATTTTCTGAATATTCTGGGAGCCAGTTGCTCAATGAGGACAGCCACCAGTGCCAGGAGTCGTTCTGGGCCTCAGAATGTTTATAATAATGTCCAGGAGTCGTGAAGTTACCTCTGAAGTCCATCAGGCCCTTCAAATCCTCAGGGAACCGATCTAAATCGTTCGAATTGTCGTGAGAATTTTCAGGATCTGGGGCAATTCCTGATGATTTCGTTGCGTTTAGGGAGAGAGTGGAGGTTCTGGGGGCCAGAGAGGTCCCTGGGACGTGGCTGGCGATGAGGGCAGACCCCAGGAGGGTGACGACACCTGCTGTGTAGGCTGCCAGGCACACAGAGGAGATGCTGACGAGTGCCTGGACAATTGCTGTTATTCTTATCGTCTCAATGAGGCACGAGAGCTCTTGGTAGGAGAACCAGCCTCGCTTCTTCCCTTCCTTGTAGGCCACGTCCTTCTCTAGTTTTCTCAGGCGATCCCAGAATTGGTCGTTATGAACAAATATTTCCCAATTCTGAAATTAAAAAGGAAGAAGAGCTCAAAATGTTCATCTGCTTTGTTAGCGCCATAGAAAATCCAAAAAGTACACTGAGAGAAAAACGACAAAGTTCTCAAACAAGTCTTACTTGTGCCAAGAAAATAGTTTTTTGAAAATTATCAAAAAAGGATTTTTTGGGCCAAATATGCAGAGGGTGCGCTGGAATGAAAAATTTTTGTCGCAAAAATTGATTTAGTAGATCAAAAATAATTGCAGACTTTTGCAAATTTTCTCGCACTACTCCTTCGTTATTCGATAATCCCATACGTATTTTCCTCCCGAAAAATCTTTGTTTTATGCGAAACAAGGGATAGTAGTTTTTCGTGTCGGCTGTCTAATAATCACAGACAACAAATGAACCCTTAAATGAAACAATAATGATAGGACAGCAATCTTGTAACTTGGGGATTAAATATTTGTTGATAAATTTTCCTCTGTATGAGATATTTTCATCCTGAAAAGGCACCGTCTGGTGTGAATTATCCGCCTCTTGCGCCAAATATTTCGTTGCTGTCGAAAGCAGAACAATTATTCATGTTTAAGACTTTTAAATTCGAACTAAAGAAATTCTTTTTTGGAAATTTCCAACTAGCGATTTTGTTGGCCCAAACAAGACTTTTTCTCTCAGTGTGGGGTAACCCCGTCGTGACTGCCCTTTTATCATGCCTTTTTTCCTCTCAGATTGAGTATTCCTCTTTTCAAACAATTGTTTATAATCTTTCTTATTGCTAAAAGCAATACGACCGATGAGAATCACAGGTCCCAATTTATCAGCTGTTAAATTTTCATATCACAATAAATTATTTGCTCATGTTCAAGATTTTAATCGTAATTACAATTCAATTCCTTCTAGAACACACTTTAGAGTGTGAATTTCTGGAATTCAATGTTTGTTGATACTCTGGTAAAAGTGCGTGCCCACATTGTTATCAATTTTCAGTTAGTTCACACGGTAATTCAATTAATCTGTTGTTCATCTCATCAATATAATTCCGCGCTTAGAACATTGTCATCTCGTGTTTTCAGCACCAAATTAAAAATTAAAATTTCATTTGGAAAATTGAGTCACAGTGTCTTTTTATTCACATCCGAAATTTTTTATTTGGATATTAATATTATTTGTTCAAAGAGAAAAAATCGATCACCATTTTCACTGTATTGCATTCAGATTCTCCTGTCCTTAACGTCAAATATGTGAGATAATCTCTTAATTCTAGCTATTAATTTTAATCAACTTTGTTCGAAAAAAACCTTAATTAACGCAATATTACGAAAGTAGAATTATTCTATTCTCCTCTGACCTAAATGATTTGGACAATTATGATTCATTTATTCACATTTCATAGAATGATATTCAATTCTCTTTTGTTTGGTAGACGGGCTTCATGAAAATTCGACGCAGGACAATTGTTTGAGAAACATGAGATTAAATAATTTTTAAAAAATCATGTAAGGTCCCCATTTTGAAACATCTTTCTCTGATTTTTAGAGAGAAAAAAAAGAGTGAAATTCTTTCGATTTAGTACTCACGATTGCAGTCAAGAATTCTTTTTCCAGTCTATTCATATGTGGTACAGTTAAATCCCCAGATTGTGCCCATTCAGTGTTGAATACTTCGTCCTCCTCGCCATCGTCGTTAAGAAATTTACTCGCAATCATCTGAGGTCAAAGAATTTATGTTTAAAAAAAATCGAAAACATTTGTGAAGTCCTGATGATTCTTCAAGGGGGAACAATTACCAGAGACACGAGGAAGAGCTCAGATGGTGCAACTTTGTACAGGTACTCAGGATTGCAGTCTTTTAAACGTTCCAAATACAGAAGAGCCAGGACGAAGGAGCAGGGGGAGACGCAGGCGTTTCTGGAGATTCTACTGGCCTCCTCGACGTCCAATCTCTCAAGGGTGCAACCACTTTTGACTTCGGAAAATAATTCAGCTGCGAATTCTATATAAAAAACATTCAATCAACTGTGAGCAGCTGTGAAGGTGTAATGTTAATTAATTTTGATAATCAGTGATTTTGGGAGGAAAAAACAATAAATATGTCTTAAGGAGGAGCAGATTTTCTTCAAAAAAGCCCCTTGACGTTTTCTCCTCTCATTTTTATTGCAACAAAATCCAAAAAACCTATTGAATTAATCTTGACAATTTTCTTAATTATGTAATTATTTTTGAGAACTCTCAATTTAAAATAAAAAATATCAGAAAACCTTTTTTATAGCTTAGGAAATTATGTATCAAAAAAGGCGAAAAAAAATAAAAAATCGAATTTGACATTTTGGTTAATATGGATTCTTGTGAACTATTGATTCTAGAGGGACATGTTAAAATGTTTTTCTTTTCATTCGGGAGATTTCCAACAGAAAGTCTCTTGGAAATTTTTGTTCAAAACAACTCATTACGAAGGTAACTACAATAACTAACGAATAATTAACATGACTCATGACATATAATTGTTTCCCGTATTCTCCATTTATCTTGAAAACCAAATACTTCAGAGGAAAATTGTCGAGGGATTTTCATTTCTAAATGGCGAAGAATCCAACAAAAAGTGTTTTTTAATATTTTCTTTCAAAATTACTCATGGAAAAAACTATTTGTCCGCTTCATTCATCAGGATTAAATCGGTAGAGTTATCTCCCAGTTATCAAAACTCCCAGATTGTCGACAAAGTGTTGAAATGTTTACAAAAAACTTCTCTTCTCATTCGGGAAATTTCCAACAGAAAGTCTCTTGGAAATTTTTGTTCAAAACAACTCATTACGAAGGTAACTACAATAACTAACGAATAATTAGCATGACTCATGACATTTAATTGTTTCCCGTATTCTCCATTTACCTTGAAAACCAAATACTTCAGAGGAAAATTGTCGAGGGATTTTCATTTCTAAATGGCGAAGAATCCAACAAAAAGTGTTTTTTAATATTTTCTTTCAAAATTACCCATGGAAAAAACTATTTGTCCGCTTCATTCATCAGGATTAAATCGGTGGAGTTATCTCCCAGTTATCAAAACTCCCAGATTGTCGACAAAGTGTTGAAATGTTTACAAAAAACTTCTCTTCTCATTCGGGAAATTTCCAACAGAAAGTCTCTTGGAAATTTTTGTTCAAAACAACTCATTACGAAGGTAACTACAATAACTAACGAATAATTAGCATGACTCATGACATTTAATTGTTTCCCGTATTCTCCATTTACCTTGAAAACCAAATACTTCAGAGGAAAATTGTCGAGGGATTTTCATTTCTAAATGGCGAAGAATCCAACAAAAAGTGTTTTTTAATATTTTCTTTCAAAATTACCCATGGAAAAAACTATTTGTCCGTTTCATTCATCAGGATTAAATCGGTGGAGTTATCTCCCAGTTATCAAAACTCCCAGATTGTCGAGAAAGTGTTGAAATGTTTACAATTCATCGTGAGTTGTGATTAATTCCGGTAAACATCGCAGTTGCGTAACTAATTGCCAAGAATAAGTGTGGTTTGATTACGAAAGATAAAAGAATTAATTTCGTACATTACGTCTGGATAATAACGAAATTTTGCCACCTAAAAATTTTCTCCTGATTTTTTCTTCTAGAGCCACTCAAGTTCGAAAAAAATTACATAATACTTCAATTATCTCATTCTCATAATTTGGATAAGAATCCGGGGAATTTATATTAAACTGTATATAAATAACCTTTAAATTGTGAAGGAAGATTAATCTATCAGAGTCATTCCAATCTGTACATTTTTTTTAAACGAAAACATGAATTCGAAGCAATCTAATCACTGTTGTACTCAATTTGCATCATTTGAGTATAAAAATTGAGAGGTTGTAAGGCTCCTAAATAAGATTTGATTTGCTGAATTCATACCGATGGGTCAGAAGATATTGAGGATTCAAGGAGGTCAACTGTACCGTTGAATGTACTGTATATGGTTTTGACCCTACGATGAAAGGAGTTTTCTAAGGCTTATCTCTATCTCTCTGTATTATAAAAATACAAATGGACTTCTGATGATAAAAATTTGGTGCTCGAAATTAAGCCTCTAAAATTAAGGATCGCAAGGGTCAAAATAAGGGTCATAAGGGTCAGATTAAGGGTCACGATGGTCAGAGTAAACGTCGCAAGGGTCAGAATAAGGGTCACAAGATTAACACAAGATTAAGGGGCACAAGGATCAGATTAAGGGTTAGAGTAAGGATCGAAACAAGGGTCATGGGGGTTAAAAACCACAGGTCAGAATATGAAGGTCTCCAAGGTCAAAATACGGGTAAAGAGGGTTGTTATGAAGGTCAGATTAAAGGTCACAAGATTAACACAAGATTAAGGGTCACAAGAATCAGATTAAAGGTTACGAGGATCAGAATAAGGGTCTAAATAAGGATCAGATTAAGGGTCGAAAGAAGGGTCATGGGGGTTAAAAACCACAGGTCAGAATATAAAGGTCCCCAAGGTCAAAATACGGCTAACGAGGGTTGTTATGAAGGTCAGATTAAGGATCCATATAAGGGTCCCAAGGGGCAGATTAAAGGTCACAGGATTAACACAAGATAAAGGGTCACAAGAATCAGATTAAAGGTTACGAGGGCCAGAATAAGGGTCTAAATAAGGATCAGATTAAGGGTCACAAGGATCAGAGTAAGGGTCGAAAGAAGGGTCATGGGGGTTAAAAACCACAGGTCAGAATATAAAGGTCCCCAAGGTCAAAATACGGGTAACGAGGGTTGTTATGAAGGTCAGATTAAGGATCCCAAGGGTCAGATTAAAGGTCACAAGGGTCAGACTAAAAGTCACAAGGGCCAGAATAAGGTTCAGATTAAGGATCACAAAATTAACACAAGATTAAGGGTCACAAGAATCAGATTAAAGGTCACGAGGATCAGAATGAGGGTCTAAATAAAGATCAGATTAAGGATCACAAGGATCAGATTAAGGGTCATGGGGGTTGCAAACCACAGGTCAGAATATAAAGCTCCTCAAGGTAAAAATACGGGTAACGAGGGTTGTTATGAAGGTAAGATTAAGGATCCAAATAAGGGTCCCAAGGGTCAGATTAAAGGTCACGAGGGTGAAAATAAGGTTCCCGAAGGTGAGATTATGGGTCACAAGGCTCAAAATATCTCTCTATATGATAACAATTCAAATCGACTTCTGCTGATGAAAATTTGGTACTTGAAATTAAAACTCCAAAATCAAGGGTCGAAATAAGGGTCACTGGGGTGCGAATAAAGGTCCAAACCAGGGTCATGGGGTTCGTAGGGGGGTTGGCGTGCGGAGCGAGCAGGGGACGTAGCCCCCTAGTATAAATTATAAACGAACTCTGGCGATAGAAATCCTATTTTACTAAAGATGAAAGAAACGTAAAGTTGTTTCATATCGAAATATCTCGAAACTGCCTGACCACTAATCCTTAATTCTGATTGGTCAATATGTGACACGAAGTTATTCACAAAAAAAGCACGCGGCATTTTTAAATTCCTCAGTGACATAATTTCAAATTCTTCAGAGGTAAATTTTTTTTCACGTCATATATATATAATATATATATATATTTCACATGTATATATATTATCGGTGAAATTAATAAATTCTGTGCTTTTATGGAGACCGATTATTTAAAAAAATTGAAGATAATTAATTGAAAATGAAAAATTCTTTATAGATTTTTTTACTCTACTTCGCTATTCACTTCAATCATTAGTCGAATTCTCTTTGATTTATTATCAATATTTATAAGGTATTCATGAGAAAATGAAATTTAATGAATACCATTTCTTCATTTCAACAAATGAATAGATCAGCACGCGCGAGAGCGCGCGCATAGATCTTGTAGAAATAAGACAAAAAATTAAGACTCGAAACCAAGAGTCACAAGGTCAGAATAAGGATCATGTGGGGTGATATGCGGATCATATGGGGTTCAATGCAGGTCATATTGGGAGCAAATGGGGCTCATGCAGAGCGAAAAGGGGGCGAAGCCCCCTAGTACGCAAATAAAACTCAATGAATAAATTCATACCAGTTACTGGCAAACTCAGCCTATCAGTCATCGGCAGCTTCGAATAATACAGAGATTTCGTTATTCTACTCAGGAATTCGTCCTCTTGTCCCATCGTCTGCAAAAAAAAGTGAAAACATGATTCAAAGTCACAAGTTTTCTCATCAATATCATTCTTCTTTCATTCATGCCAGAGCTAGGCGAAATACTATTTGAATTATTATTTGAAATATTCATGACTAATTACGTATTTGGAGTCAGAAAACGTCATGAAGAAAAATGGATCAATTACTCGAGCTGTGGTTAGAGAAATTACAACTCAAAGTTGACTTTTATTTGTGTTTTAATTCACATAAAATGAGTAGACTTTATTAGTTAGAAATGTAATCATTGTTTAGACAGAGAGAATGAATTTATCGATATTTAACAATCCTTTATTTGAAATTAACGAATTATTAATCTAGAAATTCCGCGAGAATTCGAGAAATTTCCAGAAGTTTCGATAGAATTCAAGGAATTGGTAGAAAATTCGAGGGAATACAAGAAGCCTGTAGAAATTTCGAACGAATTCGAGAAGTTTATAAAAATTTCACGGGAATTCGAGAAGTTTTCAGAAATTTTTACAGAATCCAAGAAATTTCTAGAAAATTCGGGAGAATTCACCAAGTTTCTAGAAATTTGAAGCGAATTCGAGAACCCAATTACTTAAATTTATGATTCTGTTATAGAAATACTTAAGAATGAGTCATAAAATAAATTTTACAGAAATTGTAAAGCTACTGATTTTTACTTTCATTTCTAACCCGTATAAACCACCAAAAAATTAATTGAAAAATTATTGTTAATTCAAAAATAAGAAGTAGAAAAAAACAGTTGCCCAGGCAACACCGGGCACACCAGCTATTTTATATAATTGAAAATGTTGCCGAAATGAATAAAACAAATGGACCAGAATGGGAAACAGAATGTTCTATTTATTTTTATAAATAAAATAAACAGCACAGAATAAATTACTACTCCGAATATTCATCACTAATTACTATTTAGCAGTCAGCAAACGTCCGAAACAAAATAAATCAATAACTAAATGAATCTTCACTCACAATTAATGAATTACTACTCCCATATGATTGAGAATATTTTTTAACTGAATGGGCAATTTCCAAATGAGAATCCATTCAAACGCGTCATTCCTCTGAGTCACAACAAAAATCCAAGGAAACTGATGAATAATTCCTTGAGGCAACAAAAATAAATAAAATTTTTTTTTGAAAATCCTGGGAAATCCGGAGAACGCTGTTGTTCAACTTCGCGAACCATCGGTTAACCTCTTCCTGTCCTCATTACCCTCTGACAGTACTTCACCCTCTCTCTCATTCTTATAACCACCCTCCGCCGACAGGAAACACCCAAGAGCCCCCAAAAAAAAGTGACATTTCTAAAATAAAAAAAAATCAACAACAAAGGATCGACAGGTGGCAAGAGGTCCCCATACGGCGTGTTCTACTCACCTTGAGCTTCGCAGACGATCTTTTCCCTCTGGCCACGCTCGACATCGCGAAAATAATCTTCCTATCGACGAAAAATAGTTTCAATTGCTCTAAAACATCGATCAACTGAAAAATTAGGGGTCGAATGAGCAAAAATCACGGAAAATTGAACTATTCGCTGAGGTATTCCAGAGAATGAGGGACGAGCAGGCGTGAATAATGTGGGGGAGCATCCGATCAACTCCGGATTGAGGGGGACATCCTCCCGTCGTCGGGGAGCCTCGGGAATCCCCGGAGAGCCTCGAAAATGTCCGAAGTTTACTGCGAGAGGAATTCACCCTCAATCATCCAAAAAACCGTAATTATCTCAGTAAATATCGATTCTGCGAGGAAAACTCATTAAGCCTTTTTTGTAGAGGGGAAAATTTCCGACAAAAAACGTTCGACACATTTTTCTCTAAACTCTCTAGCTACCAAGATAATTGCGTAATTACATAAATCTCAGTTTCAATTTCGGAGATTCGGTAATTAAACGTCAATTATCTCCGTAATCATGGAGTTGAGAGGAAAATGTCATTAAATATTTTTTGTGGGGAATTTTACGCTCTACAAAAAAGGCTCTCTTACTTCTTTTTGTCAAATCGATATTTACGGAGATAATTGGGGGAATGAGTGAGGATTCGGGTTTAATGGGGGAATCGATTTTTATTTCAGTTTGAAGACAACTTCACTCGTTCTAGAGTGGAGTTGTGTCCCTGGGTACATCTGTGGGTTGAGAAAGTGCAGCTGATATATGTCAATTGACTGAAGTAATGGATAATTGATTTTTCAAAAGAGCAAATTGAATTTTTTAAACGGTTTTTTCAAGTTTATGGGATTGACTTGAGACTGCTGAGGTTATAGTGAAGTTCAGGGGGTGATTTTCGTTGAGGATGAGCTCTGGGAAGTGGCAGTGATGCGGCTGAAGGGGAAAAATAACACAAAATCCTTCCAGAGTGTCTACAAAGTGCTGTCACGTATATGTCGTAAGTCGGGGGCTTAATTAATTCATTTGGGGTCATCTGGAGGCTCGGTTTTGGGGTTAATTGATGAGGTGGGAGGGGAGGAAGGGAATTGGGAGTGAAAGTGGGTGGGAAGTGGTGGAAATTTAGTTGGAAATGCATTTTTGTGAGTGGGGATTCAATTTTTTTTGTTGTTTCAGGTTTTTTGGGGGAATTTTTTTAGTTATCTTCGGAGTGAGGGGTTTAGGAGGAAATTTTGAGAGACATTTTTTGTTGGGAATTTTGTGAGCTACAAAAAAGGTTTTTTGACATTTTAGCGTACAGGGGCTCTGTTGGGAGATAAACGCATTTTTTGAGTGGGAATTTTGATTTTTTTAATCAATCTTAGTGATAATTGTTTTTATTATCTTCATTACGGGTGCTTTATGCTGGAAGAGAAATCCATATTTCGAGTGGAAGATTTTTAGTTTTTAAAATTAATTGTTAAATGCTTGTTTATCTCGGTAATAGATTTTAGAAGAGTTTTTAGAAGAATTTTTCATTGAGAATTTTAGGAACTAAAAAAAGCGCTCTTGATATTTTATTTTGGGAGCATTCTTTTGGAAGAAAAATTCATATTTCGAATGGGAGATTTTAACTCCAATAAAACAAAAAAATATTTTTGATTTTTTCAGAATCTCAATTGTGAATTGTTCAATTATCTCGATTCATTCAGTAATTTTTTTCCCTTCCATTAACGAACTATTTGGGAATAAAATATCAAGAGACTTTTTTTTAGTCCATAATACAAACAGAAATCGATAAAGTTACTCTCCATTAATGTACGAAAATTTCATACAAAAACCTCGTCAATTTTCTAGAAAATTTTATCAGATTTCTATTGAACTTTCTATGAATTTTTGGCCGATTTCATTTAAAAATTCAGCAGCTGATCTGTGCATTTTTTGTATAGAAATGTTCAGTAGAAAAAATCTAAAGAATTCAATTTTTCTACTCGAATATTTTCTATTGGAAAAAATTTAATAAAAATTTCACTAGAAATTCAATGGAATTTTCTATCGAATTAATTTCATTTTTTTAAATTTTCATTAGCAAATTCTATTGAAATTTTTCAATAGAATTCGTGAAAAACTATTTGAAATTTTAATGGAAATTCAATAGAATTTTCTATCGAATTCGCTGAATTTTTCTATGAAATTTTGTCGTCAGTGTTCTCACCCAATTAATTTCATTTTCTTTTATTTCCATTAGCAGCGAAATTTTTCAATAGAATTGGTGAAAAACTATTTGAAATTTTAATGGAATTTCAATAGAATTTTCTATCGAATTCTCTGGGTTTTCCATGGAATTTTTTGGCGCATGTTTTCACTCAATTAATTCCATTTTCTTTTATTTCCATTAGCAAATTCTATTGAAATTTATTAATAGAATTGGTGAAAAACTATTTGAAATGTTAATGGAAATTCAATAGAATTTTCCATCGAATTCGTTGAATTTTTCTCGGAAATTTCGTCAGTGTTACTCAATTCCATTTTCTTTCATTTCCATTAACAGAAAAATTTTTCAATATAATTGTCTAAAAACGAATTGAAATTTTAATGGAAATCCAATGGAATTTCCTGTCGAATTCGCTGAGTTTTTCCACGAAATTTTCGCACTCAATTAATTCCATTTTCCTCTATTTCCATCAGGAGCTGTCGACAAAGGGCAATTAGATGGTTTCATGGCTGATGGTGGGACCCAGCCACTGAAAAGTGGCCACAACTCCCAAGCAATGGGTTTCGCCTCTCAACCAGTTCGCCAGAGCACAGAAGTCACCAGTACAGTTTACGCTGTTGGTCAATACGCCCCCAAAGTCCTGAGGAATTTAAATGCCCAGAGATTGAAGAATCAGTTCAGCGATGTTGGCCTCATGGCTGGGGACAAGATAATCAGGGCACACAGGTCTGTCCTGGCAGCTGGGAGTGCCTACTTCAACGCAATGTTCACTGGGGGACTGGTGGAGGAGCAGCAGGAGCTCGTGGAAATTCACTCGATCTCTCCAAGTATTCTATCGATTCTCGTGGATTTTATCTACACGGGGAACGTCGATATTACTCAGGACAATGTGCAGGAGCTTTTTGCTGCTGCTGACATGCTGGAACTCGATGAGGTTGTTGCTGGGTGCATTGAGTATCTCAGGCAGCAGCTGCATTATTCAAATGCTTTGGGAATTTATAGGTGAGGAGGGAGGATTGGCTGGGGAGGGAGGGGATTTAGGGGAAAGGTCAAATGAAATTGTGAAGGAGGACATTTGCTGTGAAAAAATGTTCTCTGGGAGTTTCTCCCTATGGATACACAAGTACTCTGACCTTTTTTCTCCAGTGAAATGCTTTTCTACTTTTTTAGACGCACATCAGAGCTTTCATTCGAGCCTCATTTAAACCTAAGTTTCTGGACATTTTACAATAATTTTATTATTTCAACTTTGCAGATCTACATTTGAATCTTGATATTGAACTGTTAGAAAACATTTTAAAAATCGGAAAAAATTGGAAAGTTTACTTTTGAAGGAAGATGATGAAATAATTTAAAAATTGACATTTTGAAAATTACGCGGATTTTATATAAATAATTTATAAACAATCAATTTTCCACCATAACAATCATTTGTTTGGAATCGTAATAAATTTATTCATATCAAGAATTCTTCTAAAAATCGATTTTCTGCCTAAAAAAATTTGAATTTCAAAAAAGAGAACCTATTTGGAAGTAAATTGCTAATTTATTAGCAGCAATGGCTATATTTATTCATCAAAAAAATGCCATTGTCCACTTGTTATTCCAGTGAAATGCTTTTCTACTGTTGTAGTTGAACATCAGAGCTTTCATTCGAGCCCCGTTTGACCCTAAGATCCGGGCATTTTATTATTTGATTTTATTATTTCAACTTTGCAGGTCTGAATTTGAATCTTGATATTGAACTGTTAGAAAACATTTTAAAAATCGGAAAAAATTGGAAAGTTTACTTTTGAAGGAAGATTGATGAAATAATTGAATAATTAAAAAATTTCAATTTTGAAAATTACCAGGATTTTCTATAAATAAGTTATAAATTTATAATATTTTCTTACAGATTCGCTGAAGCTCATAATCGTTTGGAGTTGATGGAGACTGCCCTACGTTTCATTGAAGTCAATTTTCCTCAAGTATCGCAGGAGGAAGAATTCCTTGATCTGCCAAAGGAATATCTTATTCATTTTCTCAGGAGTGAATATATACACATCGACACTGAATTTCAGGTACTTAGTTTCACTGTTGATTGCTCAATAATTCCAATACTTCGGTTAAAGTTATAAGAAATCATAAAATATTTTTTCAGACAATTTATTTCCTTTTAAACCAAGTCTACTATTTTCTTCTAAACTTTGTAATTGTCGAGATGAATCTACGATTCTCAAATATTCCATTCATCGTCAATATCAGTCATCAAATCATTTCTATGACAATTAGTTTTCACGAAAAAGACAAATTTTTCTCCCTCGACATTTTTCTCTGAATTAATTCAGTAGCGAAGTGGTAAAACGGTTCAAGTTGACTTATCTCTTAGTTGAGTTTTTAAAGAATATCTCCGAATCTAAAGGAGATAATGTAATTTTCGTAATAACCTTTTTTCTAGAGCAAATTGAGTGCTACAAAAAGGTCTTCACAAACATTTAGCTATCTCCCTTAGATTCCGAGATATTCACTAAAAACTGGCCAATATTCAAAATCGACTTGAATCGTTTTACCACTTCGCTACATAATTTTAATCAATATTATCCCAAAAGATTTTTTTTGTTAAAATTCTTCTTAATATCTATAGTTAAAGCAATGGTTTTATTATTCATACTTTCGAGAGTCTAAACTTGATTTTCCATTTTGAAGAGATGAAAAAAATCGGGAGTCTACTTTCTGTCTACTTTCTGCGGAAGCGTTCCTCCTGATTATAATGAAACAACAAATTAGTAATAATTATAAATAATAATTTGGTGGTTTGGTTTGATGGTGATGATGAATTCTTTTCATTTTTTGGCTCAACTCGATTACCCGTCCTCGAAATAATTGAATTAAGGCCCGGGTGTACTATCTTTCGAATGTTATCTGGATTTTTTCTATCTTTCGAAATCCAAAATTGTCAATTGAGTGGTACATCATGTAGAAATTCCCAAAAATTATGATAGAATGATAAAAAAAAATTGAAAAAATTCTGAACTTTTTCAAAGAGCGTTTTTAATTGAGATTCAGAATGAGTTGAAAAAAGTGGAAATTACAAATATCTGATTCGCTGTGGCAAATTATCTATTAGCTGTCATTTTCCATGGTAGATAACAAAACACTAACTCCTCATGGGAAGTGACTGCTAGGTATCTCAATTTTCAAAACAGTGGTATGTAGCCATCTGCCATTTTTATTTGATAAAAGTGTGATCAAAAAATTCTCCAAAATATTACAACTTTTTTCAAAGAGCCTTTTCCGTAATAAATGTCTCTGTGCAGTGTGGGAAAAGATTTACGAAATCAGTCTGCCACCTGCATGATATTGGGTGACGGGCCGCTATTTGTCAGCGTAAATCAGATACATTTTTTAATTTCTTGTTCTTCACCTTATTCTGAATATAAATTAAAAATGCTCTTTGAAAAAATTAAGAATTATTTCTACTTTTTTTTTATTATTCATTCATAATTTTCCAAAACTTCTGCATGATGCAGGACTTAATTGACAATTTCAGATGACAGAAGATGAAAAAAAACATTGAGATAACATTCGAAAGATAGTACACTCGGGCCTTAAATTCATACTAGATCGAAAAACAATAAAAAAGCGTTCCCCATGATTCCAATGAAACACAAAAATGATTATAATTTTTCATTTTCTACATTTGAAGGTCTTCCAAGCAGCCTACAACTGGATAACCCACGACGTTCCCACTCGTCGCTGCTACGTATTCGAAATTCTCAGTCACATAAGGCTCCGATTGTGTTCACTGAGTCGTTTAGAGTCCATCATTCTCGATTGCAAGGACGCCAGTCTCATCGTAGCCCTCAGATCAATTCAGAAGGATTTAATATCGAACAAGGGATGCTTGGTGCCCCTCAGGGCACAGCCACGAATCTGTGCCAAGAAAAATATTCTCGTCATCGGTGGATCCAAGAGGGAACACACTGCTGACAGCTGGGCACGAGATGCTGAGTCTACTTATGAAACTATTGAAAAATATGATACTTTTACTGGGTGAGCATTAATTTTACATATATTCCAGTTTGATTATTTTTTTCTGTTTGAAACTTCTTCAGATTAATTCTCATATTTTCTCATTCGAGAGTTTTTGAAGGATTTTTTTTAATCTAATGAACACGAGAGATTTTTAAAAATTTCCAAAGTTGTTTTTATAATAGAAAATAAAAAGTTGAAAAGAGGAAACAATGTGAGACTTTTTTTGTAGCTAGTAAAATTTTCAATGAAAAATGTTTCATGATATTTTGAAATTAGAAAAGAATATGAAAAAATTGTTGAGGATAGTTTGTGGATAATTTTAAGGGTGCCAAGTGAATTTGGCGATGACCTTGAAAATTGACATTCACCAACAAAGTTATAATTTTTTTAATTAATAGTATTAGACAGATGGTGAACATCGGTGACAATTTTAAAATTTTAGAACTTATGGATATCGAGAAATTAAATAAACAAAATCAGTCTTATACACGGCCTCTTATGAAGTTTTGATTAAATTGAACGTTTCAACCTCCTAGGAACTCAAGAAAAATTTGGAAAAATTTGAAGATATGGGGAATGATGTGTTCAATATGATGGCAACAAAAAACAATGGGGTACCGGGGTGAATAAGAGAGATATTTCAACCCGCCGTACCCATTTGATCCCATGCTTTCTCGAGGTTCGTCACGCGAAATAGAGGATTTTCCGCATTTATTTTCTCGATGTCTAGTTCCGGTTGCGGGTTTGAAATTTCGTCGGATGGATGAATACATATTTCTCCAATGATGGAGGGGAAGAAAAAATTTTTTTTGAATATTTTTTCAAATTCACTTGGCACCCTTAAATCCATGAAAGAAGAAATCCATCGGTTCTCCAGATATTGACGATAGATGGCTTTTCCCAGGTTCGGCTATGGTTAAAAGGTAACAGAGGACCTCCTTTTTTTGGGAAATTTTCAAACAGATTAATGTGCTTTGATTTTGAAAAGTATCGAAAATTTTTGGTAGATAATTTGTTCAAAAATTTGAAAAATAAGCGGCTTTCTACAGCCAGGGTAATAAGGATAATAAGGTCAGGGTCTCATCATCCGCTCTCTCACAAGTGGTTGTGGGCTGCTGGTTTAGTATATAAAAGGTTCCAAACTTGCAGATTTTTGAATGGGGTTCGTCAAGTGGTATAAAGGGTCACGAGGGTCACTCTTGAGTGTTGTGCTAGACCTCCTAGCGGCTCACATCAAAAGCCAATTGAGAGGAAACGAACCCCCAGATTTTTGTATTAATTTTTGTCACGGAATTCTATGGATCAATTTTTTAGTCAAAAAACTCGTGCAAATTGGGAGAAAAAACAGTTTATGTTTTCTGAAAGCGAAAATCTTCAGTATTTTTTTTTCAATTCGTCAATTTTTCAATCCAATGAATTGTCTTTCATTATTTCTCTAGTAAAATTGGAAAATACTCCAAGTTAAATGTAAATTCTTTCTCCATTTACGGAAGTATCTTCGGAGCGACTGACTCGGAGAAAAAATACTAAAAGACATTTTTTGTAGCTTACGAAATTCCTAATGAAAAATATCCTTCGATATCTCCTGAAATTCTCAATTCATTTGCGTCAAAAAATTGTCACAAATTTTCTTTAGAATTCTGAAAATTCCCAGTGCAACACTAGTGAAGAATGGAAATTCCGACAGAGAACTTAACTCTGATGTTTAACTACAACCGTTCAAAATTATTTCAACGAAAAAAAATTGAGAACTACTTGCACTGTTGAAAATTTTTAAATTCAAGTAACAGCATCTCAATTGTGGATTATCACGTACATTTGGAAAATTCAACCAAAGTGAGTTCTATGGCAGCTTCAATTTTCCATCTGATTGTGAAAATGGAACATTACATTCAATTGAATCTTCAATAGATCGAGAGCTCAAAAAAATAGCTGCCCGAATAATCACAATTTGCAACAGTTATCATTACCCTAGCCAGAAAATCGGAATTCCATTCAACATGAAAGAAATTAACAGATTCGCAAATACCGAAGTGCCTAGAAATTCTTGTAAATTTATCGTTGTTAAAAATTAAATATTTTTCCTATAAATACCAAGAGCAATTGTCTGCTCGTCTGGATATCGTCAAAAATGTATTTAATGTATTTTGACATTTTCTCCCAAACCCATTAATTCCCTCGACAATTCCACAATTAAATCTCTTGAATTTCTCAAAAAATTGAATTAATCCCCCGACATTTCGGATTAATTACAGACAATGGAGTGAAGTGGCGCCAATAACAATCGGCCGAATCCTCCCAGGTGTTGCCCTGCTCGACGGAAAGGTGTACGTCGTGGGTGGTGAACTAGAATCATGTATAATAGCCAATGGCGAGTGTTATGACCCCAGGGACAACGTTTGGACATCGATTGCCTGCATGGTGGAGCCCAGATGTGAATTCGGCCTGTGTGCCCTGGACAATCGCCTGTATGCATTCGGTGGATGGGTAGGAGAGGACATTGGAGGCTCCATTGAAACGTACGATCCAATAAATAATAGTTGGACGCTGCATGGGGAACTCCCCGAGCCTAGATTCAGCATGGGAGTCGTTGCTTATGAAGGTCAATATGTTTGCTGCACCATTTTTTATCATTCTGAGATTAATTGAATTGATAAACCCTAGATTGGTCACCAGATGAGGGAAACCCCGCTGCGTGTCGTTTTTCGTTAATTACAATTGACTCGACAATGGGATTAAAAATCCCTTGACTGAGGTTTCGGATGGTTAAAAAAACAATAAAAATGCATAAATTAGAGTAATATCTTAATATTTCACAGAAATGTCGGCAATTAAAAGAATAGGTACAATGGAATAGGTACAATGGGCAAACGGATGAAAAAATCATTTAAAAGGTTGGACTGTCCAATTGAAATATAATTTTGTGCCTCGAGATATTTTTTAATGTTGTTTTATCCCAAATAGGATACTCACGATGTAATTAGTTCGGATGTAACCTTTCTATATCATTCAAATCACGAGACGAGGATAGGGACATGTGTCAAACGTGCATGCGGACAAATGAGCGAGCGTAGGGACATGGGACTGTCCACGTTTATGGACGATTATTCATTAAAAAATAGTAATTATCATGATTAATATAAGTGAATTCTAATTCTAAAGTTTTTACTTTCTGATATCCAATTTAAAACATCGCATCTTTACACTCATTTCAATAGAAATATTGGACTAATGATGTGTTCACCTCAGCTACACGAGCGTAGGATTATTTACCTTAGTAATACTCAACTGCGTCATAAATCATTGGAGTAGGATTTTTTTCAGATTTTACAAATCATTAAAAATAATTTTTAAAAACTGTAAAAATTCATACTTGAATGATTCACAATGTACTTTAATTTAAACAATTTGAAAAAATTTTCATCTGTAGCAATTTCGAGAAAAAACAATCCAAACCCCTAAAAAATAAGGATTTTCAGAAAGCCTTATTTAGTTATATTTATGCATATATTCTGAAAGTGTAAAACAAAATTCAAGTTAATCGATTGAGAATTGCTTCATGAGGACACTTTTGAAGATTCTTATTGTAAAAAATAGGAAGACCTAATGTTTTCTTATGTTTTTACATTAAAACTGAAGTAGTAAACTCATCAGCACAATGAAGGAAGTCCTTGCGAATAAATTCACTTTATCGCGTATTTTATTTGTTCTCTTAAACATGAACACAAAAAAACATAGGAAAAATTTGAAGAGATTGTAATGTTGAAGAGTTTACTCATCGAAGAATTCTTATCTAAAATGTTCGAGTCCTCTGAGTGCCTCTCAAGTGCAAATCTCGAGTGAACAAGAATTTTAACATCAATCAATTCGATAAATAAGTCCAATGGTGAAGTGGTAAATGTAGTAAAAAGTCCAAAGAGACATTTTTAATAATTTTAAAATTATTTTGGAAGGAATGTTATTGGGGACTTTATGTCAAAGAACATCTATTGTGGTAAGAAAAAATAAGAATAAAACAGATTTTCTGCGAATTTCGGCTGATCTTGTCAGCAAGATAATTTGATTCTCAGCATTTATCAAGTCTTTAATTTATTTGAATGAACACAACAAGAATAAATTACTTAAATTCTCTTATGGTGAAATTTTTTGTTCTTCAATTTGTTCAATTTTTCTCAATTACTGATTATTTTTTGTCTCTGGTAATTGATGAATTCGGAAATTTAACAATTTTTTATGTAAAAAAATAATTTTACGAATTTTTAAAATTATTTGTGTTAAAAAAATCGAGGAAAATTACTAAACAACTGGTTCTCTGGTATTTTCTGTTTTAGGATTGATTTACGTCGTTGGAGGATGCACCCACGACAGTAGGCACAGACAAGACGTCATGAGCTACAATCCAGTGACTGGAGAGTGGAACCACCTTGCGTCGATGTTGACCCCACGTTCACAGATGGGGATTACTATTTTAGATGGTTATATTTACGTTGTTGGAGGGATGAATAAGAATCAAGAGGTTCTGACGTCCGTCGAACGATATTCCTTCGAAAAGGTGAGGAGTCATTGCATTTTCTTGGGAAATTTGGAGGGCTAAGAAAAGATCTTATGGCATTTTTTCTCGAAACCTCTCCATTTGTTAGATATTCAGTAAATTAGTTGGGAAGAGAGAGAATTAAATTATTCCTTTTCAACTTGAGTAGCTATGATTATTCTGCCAATATTTTGGGAATGAAGAGGTTGAAAACATGAATATGAATTTGTCTCCAAATTTTATTCAGCCACTAATTTGCAAACATATTTTGAATCATGAGGTTCAGAGGAATGTCATATTAAGGGCTAGTTGGGAAGAGATAGATTTAAAATATTCATGTCCAACTGAAAAGTTTTTATTATTCGGCGAATATTTTTTGGAATGAACGGTTGAAAACAATTTCCGAAAGTTTTATGTCAAAAATTGAAAGTTACACGAAAACTTTCGACGTAAATTTTGCTATCTTCCATCAATTCTGGGATATAGATAAAAGACAGGGATGGCCATCAATCTTCTGATTCTTTTAATATTGCAGAATCGGAATTCTTCAATATTAAAAGAATTTCCGAGTTACATTGATTAACGTTTAAATATACTAATCGAAATTCAAAAATAGTAAAATAATTGATAATCTAAATTTTAAATTGATGATGAATTAAATATTTTACAATATGGAACTGTAAATTTTTTATTAAGTGAATAATTCGGAATTTACGCATTTAAATTGATGATTCCGTCACTAATTGAAATGTAAGAGTGATATTAACGAATTGACTACTTCATAATTTAACAGTAATTCAGTAGCTAGTTTTTGTTGAAACCTTTTTTGTAGAAAAAACCTTTTTTGTATTTGAAGTAGATCAAAAACTGGCTGAAAGTCAAAATCGACTCAAGGCCCGAGTGTACTCTCTTTCGAATGTTATCTGGATTTTTTTTATCTTTCGTAATCCAAAATTGTCAATTGAGTGGTACATCATGTAGAACTTTCCAAAAATTATGAATAGAATGATAAAAAAAACAGAAAAAATTCTGAACTTTTTCAAAGAGCGTTTTTAATTGAGATTCAGAATGAGTTGAAAAAAGTGGAAATTACAAATATCTGATTCGCTGTGGCAAATTATCTATTAGCTGTCATTTTCCATGGTGGATAACAAAACACTAACTCTCATGGGAAGTGACAGCTAGGTATCTCAATTTTCAAAACAGTGGTATGTAGTCATCGGCCATTTTTATGTGATAAAAGTGTGATTAAAAAATTCTCGAAAATATTACAACTTTTTTCAAAGAGCCTTTTCCGTAATAAATGTCTGTGTGCAGTGTGGGAAAAGATTTACGAAATCAGTCTTCCCCCTGCATGATATTGGGTGACAGGCCGCCATTTGTCACCGTAAATCAGATACATTTTTCAATTTCTTGTTATTCAACTTATTCTGAATATAAATTAAAAATGCTCTTTGAAAAAATTACGAATTTTTTCTACTTTTTTTTATTATTCATTCATGATTTTTCAAAACTTCTGCATGATGCAGGACTCAATTGACAATTTCAGATGGCGAAAGATGAAAAAAATAAGCGAGATAATACTGAATTATAATTTATTGAAATGGATGTCGCTGATAAAAAATTCACTTCAAAGCGGAAAAATTCTGGAAAAACGATGGATTGAAGTGGGGAAATCATGCCCCCCCCAATGATGTTGATATCTGATCCATTGACTTCAATTGAACGTCGTCATAAGCCACTTGAAATCATTAAAGTTCTCACAATCATTCGTGCAATCTCTGCAATGTCGTGAGCACGTTCGAGATATTCAAATCAAAGATTCGATTTTATCACGCGATCTGTGAATGGGTGATTCCCGAACGGCGATGAAATGTCATGACATTGAGTGAGAATCACAAGCTCACAAGAGAAAAGACAATTTCTTTCAATGAGAAAATTGAGTTTTTATCAATTCTATTTCTCCAGTCGAGAGATATTTGTTGTTGGAATTTTTTTTAATGTTAAAACTCTCTTCTGACATTTTTTTTTCATCTGCGTCAATCCCAGCTCTTGAGAACTTCACGTTATTAGCAGAATTACATAAATTGAAATTCTTTTCTCAAGAGTAATGGAATTGTTTGCATGAACATCAACTTTACGAGAACATTTCGAAGGAATTCTTTTATTGCTCATAAAATTTTCAGCAAAGAACATTTCCTTTTGTTTTTACGAGGTTTGAGGGGTTTGAGTCGATGCCTCCAATTCATTTTAAGATTATTTCGATAACTACATTGTTGACAATTGTTTTACTGAAATTTCCGCTAGAGTTCTTAGAAATTTTTGTCAAGTGACAGTTGCACTGGAATTTTGTGGAATTTCGTCATCATAAATTCGTCATTTGATGGAGAAATCAGTGAAGCCTGTAAATCTTACTTTGATTATTTCATGAAAGTCAATAGAAATCAGAAAAAATCTGGTAAAAAAAGTGGAAATCGTCTACCATTTGGTCGGTGTCTACCCATTGGTCTGTTTACCCTAGTCGAGTTTTCTTGAAATTCGTTGCTGTTTTGAATAACGTTCACATTCATCCCGAGGGTACAGTGACTTCAACTGGTTCCAGAAAAATTCTCATAGTTTAGTTGATGTCAGGACGTAAATTGAAGATCACCTCGATAACCATCGATTTCACAAGAAAAAGTCATAAAACTTTGTAGCTCATAAAATGACCAACAATAAATGTTTCCCGACATTTTTTGATACATCCACTCGTCCCTCAGATGCTCCAACTTGTCAAAAAACTCTGAAATGAGGCCAGACACTTTAGGAGCCATTCAAATATTACGTCCGACGTTTTTTGGACATTTTAGAACTCTGCTCCTCTGTCAGAAACATGGAGCCCCCCTTGTATATTACGTCACAAAATTCACGACCTCCCGCCGCTCTTGTTATGCTGAATTTTTCAGTTACTTTATAAAATTGAAACTGAACAAATTAGAATAAGAAAAAGAAGGCAAATGCTCAGGCGAACAATTAAAACTTTTTGCGATGTTCATCGAACATTTCGTAAGGTAAATGATCCTACGCTCGTGTAGCTAAGGTGAACACATCGGTAGTCCAATATTTCTATTGAAATGAGTGTAAAGATGCGATGTTTTAAATTAAATATAAGAAAGTAAAAACTTCAGAATTAGAATTCACTTATATTAATCATGATGGTTCTAGGAGAAAAGTTCCCCGGAAAATCGTGCCCGGAAAATCGTACCCGGCAAAATGTTCCCCATTTCTTTTTTTTCTGTCTCAATCCTTGAAAAGTTCCTCTTTTTTTCCCGGCCTCAATCCTCGTTTTGTTTGCATTCTTATTCCTCTGAATGGCCAGTGTTTACTCCACAGTGTGACAAATAAAATCACACATCATGTGTGTGTGTGTGTGTTTTATTTATCAGTGTGATAAATAAAATTTTTTCTCCTTCAACTTGGGCAGTTGTCGTTTTTTTTTATTGCAAAGAAAAGTCTTGTTGTTGGGGAATATTTTTCTGGGGAACAAATTTTCTGGGGAACGATTTTCCGGGGAACAAGTATCCGGTAATAATTTGTCGCCATGCACGTTTGACACATGTCCCTATCCTCGTCTCGTGATTTGAATGATATGGAAAGGTTACATCCGAACTAATTACATCGTGAGTATCCTATTTGGGATAAAACAACATTAAAAAATATCTCGAGGCACAAAATTATATTTCAATTGGACAGTCCAACTTTTTAAATGATTTTTTACCCGTTTAGTCCGTCACCAGTTGACAGTTGGTTGCAAAACGAACATAGGATCGATGCCATTTCCGTTGTACCTATTCTTTTAATTGCCGACATTTCTGTGAGATATTACTATAATTTATGCATTTTTATTGTTTTTTTAACCATCCGAAAACTCAGTCAAGGGATTTTCAATCCCATTTTACTATTAGAACGGAGATATCAGCATTTTAAAATTGTGAGTTTCTTAACTTGCGACTTAAGAATTCACTTCATCGTAGCACCAGTTGATGTGGATGGGATTTCTCTCTCTTATTCTTCAATAAATCACTGTTCATTGGTGTCTGTAACTTTCCTTATTAACTAAAATAATAACTTCAATCGTAGTTCACTCTTGATCGACTTTTGGGACTGTCAAAATGATTAAAATGTGATAGCTGACGACATCTGAACAAGCATAGAGACAGGGACGAGCGTAGGTACATATACTTTAACTCATTAAATTGCTGTTATCACAGCATTTCGAAATGCTCCTTTGGGGAACTGGAACTGCTGAAACATTTGTTTTTATTCACGAAAAAAGAGGATGTGAGCAAAATTGCATTTGCGATTTCGTCGATTAAAAATGGACAAAAAAATTCTGTGACATCCCCTTTCTGTCAGAAAGCGTCGCAAACTACAGGTCCCCTACCCCATAATCATGTAATGTAATATTTGAATGCTTCCTGAAACTAAAAATTAGAGCAGCCAAATGATAAAATTAAATTTCGTTTGGAAATTTCAATGCTTCAGAATAAATGGACAGCAGTCGCTCCAATGAACATGGGACGCTCCTATCCTGCAGTGGCAGCTGCTGATGGCCGTCTGTACGTAATCGGTGGTGATCAATCACGTGAAATTAATTTCTATCGTACACAAATCACAATATCAACTGTCGAGTGTTACGATCCAAGTACAAACACGTGGAGTGAGTGTGCATCATTACCAACGAGTCGTGGTGAGGCTGCTGCTATAATAGCACCATTCTGATCTTTCAGATCAATATTTTTATCATTTTTTGGTAATTTGAATCCAAAATATGGTTAAGATTTAATCAAAAAATGACGAAAATCGATGGAATTTATTGAGTGTGTAGATTAACTAAACACTTTACGATAAATTGTGATACTCGAACATATTATTTTCTTCTTTTTTTAAAATGAATTTAATGTCTTGTTGTATTTATTATATTCTATTCGATGCTTGAAGTAGTGTTTAATGAGTTTAATCAGTTATTGAGTGGTGAAAGACAGGAGATTATTTGTAAATATTTAGGGAAGTGGTGGATGTGCAGAAATATCTCAGAATACTTCTTTTGCGGAGCAGAAAATTTCCAACATAGAATGTTTCTGATGCTTTCGACGTGTTCATCCAATTATCTGGATAATTACTGTAATTATCAAAAAATGTCAGAAAACCTTTTTTGTTGGAAATTTCACGCTTCACAAAAAAGGATTAATGACTTTTTTGGATTAATCCACTTGTTTTTGAGACATCTGCAGGAGAAGATGAATAGAACTTTTCAATTTATCTCCTGTTATCATTTCGCCACTGAAATATAATTATTTGCCTGCTCCATGGCCTCTGAATTTATAATTGGGAACTTATCAGTACGTGAGGCTTTTGTTATCAGTGACAGTGAATTTTTAAGACGTAGAAACAAATTAAAAAAGCGGTTTTAGGAATTCAATTTTTCTTCTTGGGGAAAAAAAATCTTGAATTTTGTTGTTTGCGAGAATTTAATCTTAAACTTTGATTTTATCAAGACTTCTTGAAAGGATCGTTGCAATAACATTGACAAAACCGTAATTTCCGGGGGGAGAGGAATTTTTTAATTGCATTCACCGATGACATCAACTGATTATCGATTTTCTTTGATTACAATCGTCTCCACGATAATTTCAAGAAAATAAAAATTGCGAGTGTCACAATGAAATGCAGAAAATGGACTCTAAAACTTGAAAGACCACGAAATAAAAATTTTTATATCTCTCTTTGCGATAATCTTCTTTTCCTGGTTTCTGTGACTCATGGGGAATGACTCATCAATTGTCAATACTCGACTGCAATTTCATTCGTGATTTGTGCAAATGGATAAACCGGTAGATTTCAGTTATTCTGAAAGTGATTTTCAATGTTTCATCATTCGATGTTATTCCCTGTGCCATCACCTCTGAGTAATCAAATGAGGAATAAATTGATGGCTGTGTCTAGGATATAATGCTTAATCGCTTCTAATGATTGTCTTTGGCATGATATTGCCATGAGACTGTGGAGTTAGTTCTTTGGACCAAAAATCTTTGAATTACAAATTGACTCATTCTCTTCAATTTATAAATCCATCAATTTATTTTTGAACGAGAAAAATTATGGGTTTCAGTTTATAATCGCGACCTTTAATTAATTAATTTGAGAATTGTGGCTGGGGGACGGCTCATGAATTTAAAGCTCGTTCATTCAGCTCATATACATTAAGGTGTTTCGTGTGAAAAGTCAAAATAATGAAAACAAATTAGAAAATTCATAGGAGAAATGTCTGAGTATGCTGTATCATTGAGAATTCTTGCATATTTTTTCAGATCTCAGTCTCAAGAAAAAAAAAAATGAAATTTGGATGTTTTTGTAACCCCGCCAGCTATAACCTCCGAGGTTACCCCACTCTCAATTAGGGAAATTTCCATGGCACCCAAAAAAATAGTGAACTATTGAGGAAAAAATAGTGAGTGATAAATCAAATCTTTCTTGAGAACACGTATAAGTTTCAGATTTTTTTCAGATTTCATAAGAATGTTATTTGAGCAAATGATTCGGAAAATTATGAGTTTCGGGGCAATACGCGCAGGCGCGTGATTCGAATGTCAGTGAGCATCATGGGAAAGGTATGGGTTGGACCATAGAACTGAGAGAGAGAAAACACTCGACAGGTTTACCAACTTGAGACGCATTTCAATATTATTTCAATAATTAGAAAAACATCCAATAAAAAAAGTGGAGAATTTTCTCGGATTTACTCAAAAATCGATAACTTTTCTTGCATTTTCTATAACACCGGATAAATTTCTTTCATTCTCTGTTAAACCGGACAATTTTCTCCTATTTCCTAGAAAATTACAGAATTTCAGCAAATTTCCTCTAAACTGAACAATGTTCTTCTAGTTTTCATCCAGTAAATACACAATTTTCTCCAATTTTATATTTAAATTCACTATTTTCTCCAATTTCATTCAAAATCCGTAGGCGATGAGACAAAAATCAATCAATCTGATAAATAAAATAAATATTCACACAATGTTCAAATGCACACTTAAATAGTTATTTGAAAATCGGAAAATTTCGTGCTTCCGCCCGGTGAGATACACCCGAAACACCTTAATACAGTTCAAGTAGATAGGGGAATCCCCGTTCGGCACCTCCCTCTATACGGAAAAATTTCATGTTTTAAATTTAAGACGCGCGTCCATTATCTTTCGAACGTGATCTTATTTGTTTTTTTTATTCTAATAATCTGTAATGTTCTCTAATAGGAAACTTACAAGATTTTTTTTTAATTTTTCACGTTGGGGCTTCAGGCCCGGCTCCATTATCTGCCGAACGTTGTCTAGATTACTTTGTTTGTTCCATTTTTATCTCGAAATTTCAACTCGATGCCCCGTCATTCAGAACCGCCTGAAAATTATGAATTTGGATTGAAAAAAAAGTAAAAAAATTTCTGAACATTTTGAAAGAGCGTTTTTAATTAATATTGAGGAATGACTTCGATAGAGGAGATATGAATAATGTATATTTACTGCGGCAATTGATTTATACAAAAATTTTCACAAGAACTCTAACACGATTGATTAAAGAAGAAATATTATTCAATTCAACAAAATAATACGAAACGTTAAATGATGTAGGATAAAAAGAATGATGTGCAAAATGACCAGTCGGAAACATATTTATCATCAAATTTATTATCAAAAATAGTGATGCCACATGAACTCAAAAGCAATTTCCCACTTATTTTTAATAGAAAAAAAATGTGAAATTGTTAACTCTTTTTATTATTTCGTGGAAAGGTGTTAGTAATGACATTGAAAGAATTGTTCCTTGTACTGATGGGTTTCCAATGATCAAAAAAATAATCTTTAATCATATCTTGATGAGCTTAAAAGTTTGTTGTTATTGAAAAAATGAAGCCGAGGGCTGAATGTCTGATAAAGATGGTAGTGGAGTGGTGAAATGATCTAGTTCTTTGATTGTCTCCGTTATTTTCATAATTGCAATGATCAATAATTATCAAACAATGTTTGAATTAACTACTAACGCCTCTCATTAAGCACGTGAATTTTCATAAAAAATATCTGTTTTTTTCCCCAAAAAACCACTCGTTCTTCAGATATTTTCCTAATCAATAAACATTGATGTGCGTATTAACAATGCTCGCTCCCCAATTATCTAATTATTTTAGTAATAATAATATTTGACTTGAGAAAAAAAGTGTCAAAAGCTCGTTTCCGTGAAAACTAAAATTTTGAACAGAAATATCTTCTTTTTTTCCTAAACTCACTCTTTACTGGGATATTTCCCTAACTAACAAAATGATTGAAGTTGATGTATTTTTTCTATTTAGTAGTGAATTCATTTCGATAACGATTGGCATTGAGAAAGAAATGTCACAGACCTTTTTCTAGAAAATTTAATTCTCTATGAAAAGAAATCAAAAATTTACAAACAGTTATTTTTATGTTAAAAATAACTTTCTCCTCAATTATATTATTATATAATTATCTCAGTAATTTACCCGAACCCTAAATCCATGTTTGACTCGAGAAATTTCACCCCTCCACTAACGAATAATTTGTGACAACTCGCAAAATTCCTAAATTAATAAATTCAGCTAATTTTCATCTTCTTATAACGAGGATTCACGGAATTGCACTGAAACAAAACATAATTGAAAAGAAAAAAGTAACATAAAAAAACGAAAACGCCATTTTTATACAATTTTAAGTGTGAAAAAAGTAATAATGAAATATGACACCAGGTAACGAGTGCTTTTTATTTGCCGTTAGATTGAGTCACACGTACGAAAAATCATTGTAAAAATGTTGAACAAAAAAACTAGTTATACAGGAATATGGACGTTTTACACTAATTAATAAAATTAAAGAAAATCCATAAATGAAAACAATGAAAAATCACTGAACTCTGTCGTAAAATAAAATAATGAAATTAATAAATTGGGGATTGAAACCAACACACGATTGAATGTTTATTTCTGTAATGCATTGACCTATTAGTTTGGAAATAACACTGCATACGAAAAAAATTTCATCGAAAAGATTGGAGCACTCGCTGGAAAAGTCTATTGGACTTTTATTGGAAATTCTACTAGTTAACTTCCCGATTTATATCGGGTAGTTATTGTAATGGTCCCGAAAATCGGAACCGGAAATTTCATGATATCTCCACGTTTCACGACCTCTAGAAAGTTTCCATTAAGTTTTTAGAAGGCTGCTCGTGTGTGTGCGAATGCGAGAAAAAGTTTTCGAACGATTCCGCTCGAACGAACGGTCGGATTCAAATTTGTTTATCATGCAATCGATGCGTTTTCGCGTAACTTGGAGTAGATTGGATTTCGAACCGTATTATTTCGTTCGTTATCGTTCAAATTTAAGTTGAAAAGAAAAATAAAATTGACTAAATAAATCATTCACGTCACAAATTATTGTTCTCATCAAATTAGAAGTGTTATGGCGTACTTTCCGGTCTCAAAAACAATAATTAAAGAAAATGTTCATAAATAATGGAGGACTTGTGACTGCGGTGGTAACAGTCGAATTTTGATCGGGCAACGTCGCACGCTTCGGCTAGTAGTGGGGTTGTAACAGTGAGATGAATGTTTGTGTGTGTTATACGTGTCCATATGATTCCAGCACTGAATTATCGCCACCGACTTTACCGACCTCGATCAGCTGTTGTGCGGTGTTGTCGCGTTGCTCGACTCGTAATGGCGGTCAAATTTTTTTTAGAGCAATTCGAAAATCAATTGAAGATATCACGCCTATATGGCCCGGTCCCCTACTTATTCTCGCCGGCGATAGATTCTCCATGGTCTAAAGTAAATGGCTTGTGGTTTTTTTTCAATATCTTGAGTGTCTAACCCATGCAACATCTCGATCAAAGTTCACACGGTCACGTTTCGTCCCCAAGCGTAATGTTACAAGAAGTAATTTTCAGAAATTAATTTCTCACTATGATGCCCCGATGGAAGGATTAAGATTATTACTGACGTGTGACTCAAATGTGAACCTGGCATATGAGATAATATAAAAATTACGGTGAATAATGTGGAATTGGGTTAAACATCCTTAAACCCCCCGAAAAACTCGCACATTTGTCGCGAGCTTCAACAGTTATTAGTGTTGTTTTGAGTCTGTTATGTGTTGATTCGTCATCTATTCCCCTCGAATGTCCTGAAGCATCAAAACATTCGCTCACGAGTTATGCACAGATCATAATCGGGGTTCTATGAATGAAAATTAATCTCCAATCACTGAGGGTAATATTTTATCTGAAATTATCGTGTCTTATTTTAAACCTTGCACTGTTGGTCAGTTATTTTTAATCCCCGATACGTGAGGTTTATCCACCGAGATATAGATTGCTGGTACAATTTTGATTGATGAATAGTAGATAACAAAAAATTGATTGAAGTCGGAAAGAATAAGTGGTAGTCTTGTGCTCCATTATTCTATTTTTATTAATCTAATCTTGGGATTATGAGAGAAATTGTTGGGAAAGGGGGGAATCCCGGGGCTGGCGGGCGATAGGATCTCTGTTGATCCAGTGGTTATCTGGGAAATGAGGGATTTTCGTGAGGAAATGTCTGGAGATTTCCTTATGGATTACGGGATACTGTCACGTCCATGGGAATAAATCCGTCATCCAAAAGGTTTCAACAATTTTCGTTATAAAAAAATTAGCTCTAGAGTGTTAATTATTATAATTATGTTGATGGAAAGAGGTAGAATATTACGAATTGATCTTTTATATCTTGTTGAATAACAAAATGCCTCGGTAACAGGTGGTTTCAGGAGCAAATCGGATACTACTTTCTGTATTTTTTTTATAGAAACGTTCAACAGAAAATATTTGTAGAGAAATTCCTCGTGTATAAGTTTTTATTTAGTAAATTCTTTGAGGTATTTATGGCGTTGTTAGGAGGGGTCGAAAAAAAGTCAAGAAATTAATGATTTTTTTTATACGTTCTTTGATTTTTTCAAAACCGCTATGCAAAATCCCAGATAGTTTAGGAGAACGGGTGAAACACAGAAATTTTTCTGAAAAAGACATTTTACCACGGGCTCTTATGGAAATTCGGAAAAAAAATATTAAAAATGGAAAAAAAATCGCCATTTTCCTGAAATTTCGCACTTGGGTGGAGCTTTCAGGCAGGAACATAAAAAACAAATCCAAGTGGCCTAGGAGAATTTTTTAGAAAGGATAATTAACAAACTCGTGAAAAAAAGGAATTCTGCGTGCGCAACTTGGAATAGCGACAACGTCGAGGTTAGGAATCGTGTCGGGTAAGCGCGGCAAATACGAATGGATGATACATTTCGCTATGGGAAGGCACATAACAGTTGAGTGAATCAGTGCTGCCAACTTGTACCTCGAACGCACGACGTTGTCACTTTTTCTATCCATATTAATTATTTTCTAATGATCCAAAAGACAAGCTAGAAAAATAAAAGAAGGCTTGAAATATGTGGGAAAAAATAGAAAAGTTAAAAAAGTATTTCAAACACAAAAATGGTCGAAATAGATTGAAAATTTGTAATTGAAATATCGTTTTTTTTTTGTTCAGCGATTAGTCTTCTGCAAGAGAACAATACATTCCGCTCCATCACACCTCCTACATGGCCACCCCGCCATAAATACCTAAAAAAACACACTTCAATGTTTTCGACTTTTCTAGAATACCCGAGAATTTTTTCGATTTCTTTGAGAAACTGAAATTTTCTTGACTTCTCGGGTGTTCTAGAAAATTCGAAAAAATTGAGGTTTTTTTTTATTGCAAAAATTCTCAAAAAATCCTGATATTCCATTGTGTCTTATTCTGCCCGGGTGAAGCCGGGCCACACAGGTAGTCAATCAAAATTTGAAATGAATTGCTTAATTGGAACAAAAATTTTTTTCTTCAAAAAACCGAGAATTTTCTCGAATTTTCTAGAAAATTCATTAGTTTTTTCGAGTGTCATTCCCAAATTTTCTTATCGAAATCAATGCCTTGTCGAGTACGGAATTTCCCGCCAACTCATCGCATAATTCACTGATAATTCCGGAGGGAATTCCCGCGATGACGACTACAGTCAAAAACATTAAAATATTCAGATCTAGTCATTCTTTTATTTGTCTCCTTTTATATTTAATGAATTTAGTCTTGAAATTTCAAGTAACAAATCCGGAAATTATAAACGATTAATTTATATCTCCAGATATTTTTAAATTGACAAAACAGTCTATTGATTTCTGGAGTAGTCAATAGAATTCTAATTTTTAGCTTCATACAACAATAACAAGTGGATAATCGCATTTATTATAAATAAGTATAATTATTTGTGGCTAAAGAACTAGCAATTTGCTTCCGAATGCGTTCTCGTTTTTTTTTAATTTTTATTGCGCTATCTTCTATTTTTTTGTGTCATAGCATTATCATCAACTGAAACGTCATCAAAATTTTTGCGTATTATTTCGTCCTGTCAAATGATTCTACATTCAGACCGTCTGATGAATTATTTTTTCCCATGTTAAGGAACTTCCCCAGTAAATTTTGCGGCTATGGAGTGGGGAAAAATATCAAAGGTTCTGATACCCCGGTGCATCCTTTGAAAAAAAAATAATGAAGTGACGAAAAATTCATGGGTGTATTGAAATTTCGTCGTTTAGGTTTCTTTGCACTGATTATTCATCATTAATCAATTCCAAATAATTTTTATTCCGAAATATTATTTATCCGAATTTTTCAACAAATAAAAATTTTCGTGAGAGATTTGACAACCACGCATTTTTGATCGACGCAGTTGGTATTCTTGTGACCCGATAAAATCTTATACTGTACTATAGAATCTATAGTATATGCTTTGGCTGAGTTCTCACGATGGCCTACGTCGCGCGAATTCTAACCGCCCTCAACGTTGCCATGGTCAGCCATCAGTTTTCTCTAACGTAACTAAAATCCCAAACTATGCCATACATTTTCAATAATTACAAACAATCCCTGTACTGACGGGTAATGAAATTCTGGGGATATGTTCCTGAAATATATACAGTTCTATTCGTGAAGCGTTTGGATTTTTATTCCATTGTCGATTATTTTTTTGTGATTTTTGAAAAAGTGGTGCCATAAGACTCTGTGTTAATGACACATTTTTCATATTTTCTCCTCAGCAATCTACGTACTTCAGCGTTTTGGAACTTCGAGAGGATATTTGTAATCACTCAAAGAATATAATCTCAAGATTTAAGCTCTGTAGTCCATTTCCTTCTACTCCCATATACTCACTACGGAAATTCCTTAAGGGTGCCAAGGGAATTTGAAAAAAGATTCAAAAAAAAATTTTTTTCTTTCCCTCGATCATTGGAGAAATATGTATTCATCCATCCAACGAAATTTCAAACCCGCAACCGGAACTAGACATCGAGAAAATAAATGCGGAAAATCCTCTATTTCGCGTGACGAACCTCGAGAAAGCATGGAATCAAATGGGTACGGCGGGTTGAAATATCCCTCTTATTCACCCCGGTACCCCATTGTTTTTTGTCGCCATCACATTAAACACATCATTCCCCATATCTTCAAATTTTTTCAAATTTTTCTTGAGTTCCTAGGGGGTTGAAACGTTCAATTTAATCAAAACTCCATAAGAGGCCGTGTATAAGACTGATTTTGTTTATTTAATTTCTCGATATCCATAAGTTCTAAATTTTTTTAATTGTTACCGATGTTCATCATCTGTCTAATACTATTAATTAAAAAAATTATAAATTTGTTGGTGAATGTCAATTTTCAAGGTCATCGCCAAATTCACTTGGCACCCTTAAATGAAATTGCCATGATGCGACGTTGCCGGAAACTCGGTAAACGCGCCCGGCCAGTGTAGAGTGAATTCGGCAACGCTAAAGCCTAAATAACACGGCGGGGAATCCCAGCGGAGGTGACCAATCGTAGGCTCGCGTTTGGTGGCCAGTCTAGGGTTTAATTTATCCTAATTGAGATCAAATTCCCATCGTTGAATTCAAATGCATCTTTCACTGACTATCAATCTGGAAAATGTCCACCAGTGGTAATTCAATTTTTTTTGTTGAACAAAATAAATTCCTTGTCTAGTAGCTCTTATCCATTTCGGAAAATCTATGACTCAGAGGCAACATAAATGTTCGCTGCCTGATGGACGTCAAATAAAGAACATCGACTGATAAACACGAGAAAAAATCAAGGCCGTTTTTTCATTGCTGTCTATTAATAAATGTCGAATGTTTGCCCGATAACGATGAAGAAAAACCACTCTCCATTACCATTCAAACACGAGACATCCGCGCAGCGTCAGTGTCACTCGATGCGAAAAAAAATGAAATAAAAATTATGAAAACGAGAAAATCGAGTTCTTGGCTTTAATTCAGTTGGAAATATTTTATTGATCAACTGAAAAGGTTTTGAAGTGTGTGAAATCTTGTTCAAGCACATTTTTTTTTTCAATTTATTGATTCTTCTATTTTTCTTTTCTTCTCATCAAGAAAATCAAACGAAAAAACTTGGAAAATTTGAGCCGAGAAAATTCTATAGAAAATATCTCAATAGAATAAGTTATATGTATAGAAAAATAATTGAATTCTGTTGACTCTTCTACTGAATATTTTCTATTGAACATTCCAATAGAATCGGCCAAAAACTAATAAAACAGTTCAATAGAAATTCAATAGATTTTTCTAACGAATTCGATAGGTTTTTCTATTAAATTTTTTCGTCCGTGAATGTCCGGAAATTGACGAGATTCCGAGAATGTCACAGAGACTTCCTGTTCCAAGAAAATCATCAAGATCGCGAGTGAGTACCTGTGACACTCACTCTAGTGTCGCAAGATAAGCCCACATGTCCCGTGGCCCCTTTACCCACCTCACATGCGTCTGCATATGGGCGAAGAGAGCATAAGTTGGTGGAGGGGGGAGAAGTGGCTTGGCGTACTAGCGACGACGCCAGACCAAGACCCGTTCTCCCCGGTTTATCTCTTCAACTCGACTTTATGTATATTACCATGCACAGCGGCACTCGCGGACCAGTTTACCGCTGGTTAACTAGCCGGATAGTACTCACAACATTTGCACACCGCGATTCAATTACCCGAGCAATTATTCATAATCGTTATTAATATTTCAGTTGATTAAATTATTCTTTCGCGAGTTATTTTCGCGTCGAAAAAATTTATCGACCCAAGAAATTGAACGATTAATTAGTTAATCAATTGAACAATTGATTAAGGACTTGGGGAATTGTTTAACTGACTAGTGAGTGATAATAATTTGAGAGAATTGCCTGCATAATTTGAGACAATTGTTTGCGTTGAATTTTTTATCGTAAATAGTTGAGTCGAAAAAAAGTGTCGACCCAAAAAATTGAACGATTAATTAGTCAATCAATTGAACAATTGATTGAGGAGTTGGCGAATTGTTTAACTGACTAGTGAGTGATAATAATTTGAGAGAATTACCTGCATAATTTGAGACAATTGTTTGCGTTGAATTTTTTATCGTAAATAGTTAAGTCGAAAAAAAGTGTCGACCCAAAAAATTGAACGATTAATTAGTTAATTAATTGAACAATTGATTGAGGAGTTGGCGAATTGTTTGATTGACTAGTGAGTGATAATAATTTGGGACAATTGTTTGCATTGAATTTTTTATCGTTAATAGTTGACGTGAAATTAAAACATTGAGAAATTGTTTTTCTCATTTTTTTGTGTGGACTGAGGAGAAAAGTTTTCTCGAGCTTGAGGATTGTTAAAAAGTGGGAAGATGAAGTGCATGAGGCGATGTTTGGTCATGTGGTGAAGGCACCGGAGGGGGTTGTTATGGGTTCAAGTGGAAAAATTAGTTTTTCAAATTTTACGATGACTCTCGGCGAGTTTTGGTGGTTTGCCGTCATTGTTTCGGCTGTCGGGTGCACTGAAGCGATTTTCACTGCACCGCTGCCAGGTAAGTTTCAAATTGTGATTGAAATAATGAAGTTTTTTCGGCGGACACGGACGAAAAAATTTAATAGAAAAACCTATTGAATTCGTTAGAAAATTCTATTGAATTTCTATTGAACTGTTCTATTAGTTTTTGGCCGATTTTATTGAAATGTTCAATAGAAAATATTCAGTAGAAAATGTCAATAGAATTCGATTTTTCTGTATAACTTATTCTATTTAGATATTTTTTATAGAATTTTCTAGGTTCAAATTTTCTAAGTTTGTTCCGTTTGATTTTCTTGATGAGAAGAAAAGAAAAATAGAATGAACAAAACTTGGAAAATTTGAGTCGAGCAAATTCTATAGAAAATATATGAAAAAAATAAGTTATATAGAAAAATCGAATTCTGTTAACTTTTTCTATTGGATTTTTTCTATTGAACATGTCAATAGAATCAGCCAAAAACTAATAGAAAGTTTAATAGAAATTCAATAGAATTTTCTAACGAATTCGATAGGTATTTCTATTGAACTGTTCTATTAGTTTTGGCGGTTTTATTGAAATGTTCAATAGAAAATATTCAGTAGAAAAAGTCAATAGAATTCAATTCTTCTATACAACTTATTCTATTGAGATATTTTCTATAGAATTTTCTAGGCTCAAATTTTCTAAGTTTGTTCCGTTCGATTTTCTTGATGAGAAGAAAAGAAAAATAGAATGAATAAAACTTGGAAAATTTGAGTCAAGCAAATTCTATAGAAAATATATGAAAAGAATAAGTTATATAGAAAAATCGAATTCTGTCAACTTTTTCTATTGAATTTTTTCTATTGAACATGTCAATAGAATCCGCCAAAAACTAATAGAAAGTTTAATAGAAATTCAATAGAATTTTCTAACGAATTCGATAGGTTTTTCTATTAAATTTTTTCGTGCGTCAAGGAATTTTGGTTTGAGGATGTCGAGAGAACCGAGGGGTTTAGAGGAAAATGTGAGAAGAGTTTTTTTTGGGGGGAATTGAGTTTCAATGGAAATGGTCTTGGGACATTTTTATCTCAAGGTCGTAATTACTAAGAATAGGGTAATTGGTTGAAGTAGGCTGCACGAAGGAATTCCATTGAAAAATCTATCGAATTCGTTAGAAAATTCTATTGAATTTCTATTGGAAATTCCATTGGTTTTTGGTTTATACTGTGAGGTTTTTTTTTATAGAGAATGTCCGAGAGAAAGTATTTTATAGAAAAAATCAGTAGAATTTTTCTTACAACTTTTTCTATTAAGACATTTTCTATAGGAATTCCTGCACATGAATATTCAAGCTTTTTCTATGATTTTTCATTGAAATCAAACAAAAAAACTGGGAAAATTTGAGCTGAGGAAATTCTATAGATTATTTTTGGTAATCGGATCTGGCCTTTCCAGGGCCAATCAGAGTTCAGTATTCAATAACATGAAGTACTTCCCAATTAAAATTGCAGCGGTTATTTCCCTTTAGCTTTTGATAATTTCCCTCTAGCTCTGTAATTGTTTCTCTAACCAAATAACTGTCAAATATTATCCTGTGGCGTGAAAGAAAGTCATGAATAAAGTCAAAGTGAGTCGGTTTGGGAAGGATCCGATTACCAAAAATAATCCGTCGAATACCACTCGATCTCGAAAATTAATCGAACATTTCCCTCATGTTTTCCTGCGTATCAACGATCGAGATAAGTTTTGCACAAAAATTCCTCGCGCTGCGCGCTCGGTATTTTAATCTGCAAAGCTTCTCCATCTCGTTACTACGCAACAAAACAATCGGAAAATATCCGATAATTTTGGAGGTCTCGTGGTATTACTACTGAAAATATTTCGATTGAATAAATTCTATAGAAAAATTGAATTTCTATTGAAAATTTCGTTAGTTTTTGGCGGATTCAATTGAAGAATTCCGCAACTGTATTCTGCGTTTTCTCAACGGAAAATGTCCGATAGAAACTATTCTATAGAAAAAAAAATCAGGTGAATTTCATTGTCATGTTCAACTTTTTCTATTGAGACATTTTCTATAGGAATTTCTCGCCATAATTTCTCCAAGTTTTTTCCGCTTTGTTTTTTTTTCTTTTTTCATTAAAATGAAACTCACAATAAAATTTTATGAGAAATTTGCGAAATTTCCACAGAAAATATCTTAATCGAATAAGTTGTATAGGGAAATTATATTCTATTGATTTTTTCTACAGAACATTTTCCATTAAACATTTCTATTGAAAAAAAAAGAAAAATTGCGCAATTTTCCAATAGAATGTCGAGAGACATTTGTGGTAAGGATAAAATTCCCGACAAAAATGTATTTTGATAATGACGGAGATAATTGAATAGTTAGCGGGGGCCCATTTGAGTTGACAACACGGAGAAAAATATTCGATAAAAATTACGTACCTTTTCCGTAATTCCGGAGCGAAATGTGGTTTAGGAAATTTTACAGAACTGTCACGCAATTTTTACCTAAAATCGCGGAATTTTTCCAGAGCGTTCCATAATTTTTACCTGAATCTCCTGTGAAAAATTACGATACCGTCGCGTAAAAAAACAAATATTAATCAGTTGATTTTTGTTTAATTTAAATCCCTCTCAGTCCTCAATTGCAATGATTCCGTTTTACGACAGAACTAACATACCATCCTTCTCATTAATGTATGACGTATACAATGTATTCGTGACTCTTGATAAATTAATTAGTGTAATGAGTACAAAGTATATATAATAAAATAAAATAATTCATCTGTTCGAAATAATTTATTTTCTTTAGGAATTTTGGGAAATATGTTGTTCTGAAAACTGCTATAATTTTTCAGACACTTCAATTGACAAAGTCAATTTTTTTTTTATTTCTCCGGTCAGCCAGGCAATTGTGATTAAAGAAATCACACGCGCGGCGGGGTTTTCCTCATAGGGAGACCAATCTAGGGTTAAATTCTAATTCTCTTCGAATTTAAGGTCCATGACTTCAGACGGGTAAAAAACAATTCCCTGCCGGTGTGGGAAGTTATCCCAAGTAGGAAGATAATTATTTACATCCAGCGATGCATTTCTTTATTGAGAAAATCGTAAGATAAACACTAAAAAACACTATTCTTTCACTGAATTACATTTCGCTTCACGATTACCACTCGTATAGTAAAATTTGTCACAATTTTCGAGGCTATTTTTACCAAACTTTTCTCTCCGCGTGTAGAGCCAGAATTTCCTATGAAAAAGATCTTCTGATGATTTCTCCATAAGTAATTAATTAGAAAAGGTAATCAGCTGTAAAATCTGCAATTATCTCGAGATGTTTCAATTCTAGTAATTATGCAATTGTTCGGGGAACTATAGGAATTCCAAGGAAACTGGGAATTTTTTTTTTAGAAAATAAAGTTGTAGATAAGAAAGATCTTCTGTCATTTGTGATTCAAATCGATAATTGTCGAGATCATTGAATAATTAGGTGGAGTAGAGTTATATTGCATTGTTAATCAGTTCAATATCTTTATAAGAAAACATTTTAGAAGGAAATGTCAGAAAATATTTTTTGCAGAGGAGGGAATTTCTTTCGAAAAACCCTTTCTCATTTCTCATGAAATAATGCAGGAGCGAAGCGGTAAACTGGGTTAAGTCGATTTTAACTGTTGGCCAGTTTTTGCCGAATATCTCGGAATCTAAAAGAGATACAAAAATTGTTGTCATAACCTTTTTTGTAGAGGCAACTGAGGGTTACAAAAAAGGTCATGATCAAAATTTTGCTATCTCTCTTAGATTCCGAGATATTCATCAAAAAATGGCCAAAAGGAAAAATCGACTTAACCCGGTTTACCGCTTCGCTACTGAATTAATTATGGAGGTAATTCAGCTGTGAAATCTCCATCTAGAGCTGTTTCAATTCTAGTAATTGTCCAATTGTTCAGAGAACTATAGGATTCCCAAGGAAACTGGGAATTTTTTTTTTGAGAAGATAAAATTGTAGAAAAGAAAGATCTTTTGAAATTTGTAATTCCAATCGGTAATTGCCGAGATCATTGAATAATTAGGTGGAGTAGAGTTGTATTGCGCTGCCAATCAGTTCAATATCTCTATGATGAATGATTTTATTAAAAAATGTCAAAAAACATTTTTTGTAAAACAGGGAATTTCCTGCGAAAAAAGTTTTTTGATCATTCCTCATAAAATCAATAATTAGAGAGATAATTTAGCTGTAAAATCTCTAATTTTAGTTCTCGCCTCTGTATTCTCATCGATTTTCAGTATCTCTCCAAATGATTCTAAATGAAATCATTGCATCGGTAAAAATTGAAATCATCGCTAAATGTTCGGTAATCGTAGGCCAATCGCTCCCAAATTTCACCTCTAATTTTCAATTAGGGGAGGGTGTGCCTGTACCGTTCAGCGGGTAATATCGCTCACCCGATTTTCTCCGCAACCATCAACTTAAAAATTTCTTTCTGTTCCTGATCATGAAGAATTTGATGATAGGATGTGATTGTCGGAAAATTTTCACTTTATTTAGCATTTTAAATATGAAAAAACATGTAACGAAGTTTTGAGGTCTTTACACTGCAAAATTTGTGGACTTTTAATTAAGGTTTTTGATAGTTTCAAACGCTGAATTCTCATATTAAACTGTGGTTATTCGATTCGTGGTACTTTCACGCGTAATTTGAGATTAATTCGAACTGAAAACTCCACTCATGTCAATAATTATCAACAATTTTGTTGGCGCCGAGCGGAGCCGGTAATACCGCTCATAGGATCGGCCACGTAGTTGCTCGACAGCACTCGAGTACAGGTTAGGTTGCGGCGCGAGCGATACATGCAAAACCCTATGAGCGGCATTGGAATCGTGCCGAGCGGTATTGCCCGACGGCGAGTATAGTACCGCTCAATAGGCTCTCTCTTTCATTTTCAATCAATTTTGTGGATTCTAAGGAGAATTAGGCGTCTACACTTCGAGAATAACGAGTTCAATAGTTAAAGAAGTCTCACAAATACGTTTTTTATGCTCAAGT